GGACGTCGAAAGCAATTGCAAATTGTGATAAACTAGAGAAATAGAAAAATATGGGTCATCCTCAATAGATAGAAATCTGTTGAGCCACTTGTTCTCTGGCTCGTTACTATAGCGAAAAAGAAGCTTTGGGGGCGGAAACTGGGGAAATTAACGGCAAAATCTGTTGGAAATTCCAAGTGTTCTTTGAAAAAAAAAAACAATTACAAAATTAAGCCAAGCATAGCGCACACAAGAATACAGATAAAAGAAAATAGGGTAACAAAATATTGTTGGCTAAATTTGAAAGGGCTAACTCTTAAACAAGAGTTATGGAAGGAAAAAGAATTTCAAACTCCTTAAAGACGCCTCTAAAATGAATTTAATAATGCAGTAAACTCAAAGTCTCTGCAAATACCACATGCTGAAATGCAAAATCTAAAAATAATTTCACCCCACAGATACATGGAAAATGCTTTGATTAAATTGCATTCATCACACTCAATTTAAGTGTGGATGGAAATCCGTATTCATGTTCTTCTTCTTCCTCGCAGAGCTACAAATAAAATTTAAATAAAGACAGCGCTTAATGAAGATGATTTGTTTTGACAAGTGTCAGGATTTTTTGGTTCACAATATTATTACGATACTTGGATTGTAGTTGTTGCTGCTCTTGTTCATTTCGAGTTGTCAGAAAAGTGTCAGAATCTCAAAATTGTGACAGCGAGCACGCGGACTCTCATCTTAAATGAACTCATCCCTCCAATTTTAATTTCGAGACCCCCAAAAACCGAAAGCCAGCAAATAAATAAATATATAAGTCTAGGGAAAATAAATCAAGAAAGATGAAAATTTGGTTCAGCGAAATTAGTTGATTTGTTTGGTTTCGTTCGGGTATTTGAGTAAACAGAAAGTTCCATGATGTTTTCAATTAATAACAATTGCCGAATGATGCGGGGAAAATTGTTTATGAAAAAGGAGCACATTTATATTAAATGTATTTATAGATTGTTTAGGAATTATTCTTGATTTTTATAAGGTGACTTATTTGCTGATAAGCTTATCGATTCCACTTCAGATTGTAGTTCAACAGAAAAGTCATCGTGTTTTTCACGAATGTTTTCGGGGAACAGGGAAATTGAGTTTTCATAAACAAGGTGAATCAAGGTTTTAAAATGTAACCGAAAGAACAACTTATCTAGTTGTCCTAAATATATTTCTAAAAATATTTCATTATTCTTGAACGTATAAACATCCTGTGCCATTCCGATAAGGTCCAATTTGAATTTAGATATAACTCCCAATTAAGCGGAAATCTTTTTTTTCCCCCAAACTTTCTTCCGTTTCAGAGAACATATAGGAAATTGCTTAGTCCCCTGATATCAGTAAGCACATATAGTATAAAAAAAGCGAAAAAACCCCTTAAATTTGTCAAACTTGATACCACACATTGCGCATACGCCATGTGCTCGATGTCGTCATCGGAAGTGATTTGTTTATCGATATTCAAGTGATCCCCACACCCCATTTCCAATCAGATTTTATTGTATGCCGCATAAAACACCTAAAATACCCAGAGGGGCTATACAAATTATGTGAAATATTTCATCGAAGCGTAATACCAATATTTCAACAAATCAAGTGAAATGCAAAACATAGATCTTTGTTTTCATCACGTTGATAATATACCCAATAACAATGTGTAGAACAAAAAAGGGGCTGGGTTATCGGCAATCAGGCATAACGAATCCCATTAAAACGACAGCACATCACGCTCCATCGCCGCGATCTTCTTCCTTCTTCCATAAATTTAAAGCACTTTGATTAGACCAATCCCCGAAAAGCAAAAAGGCAAAAAGCGAACCCAACGGCACGTCCCAGGTTGATAAGTCTTCCTGTTTTCTGCTCTTTTTGGCACTGCCTTACATCAATCTAATTTACGTTTATGTGGCCACAATACGAAATGGCAAAAAGTTCTAGATGTTCGTGCTCGGGCACGTAATTGAATGCGAATCACTTAATTTTCTATGGATTTCTACTCATTTTTATGGCCTGACCGCAATTATACAATACATTAAGGCGGCATTAACATTTCCGGTCCGCCGAAACGAAACATTGGTTATTACAGGGGGCACAGCGCGTGTTTCTTTCCGAAAGTCAAAAGCCGAAACTCTAAACTCAACTTAAAACTAAAAACCGAAAACCCAAAACCGAAAACCAGGGGGCTGCGGAGAAAAGTTCGTTAGCACCACCACCCCGCTCGTAACCCCGGCGGAGCCATTAAACCCATTAGGGAAACTCGTTTCGTGGATTTGTGCGCCGCACTTTTGGGGTCTTGGGAAAATTTCCACTCGATTTTTCGGAGTTTTTTCTCTGGATTTTGGAAAACTTTCATGCAAAACTCGCCCCGCGTGTCAGACATGTGTGTATCGTGTATCTGTGGTTGTCTCTGTCTGAAAATCCACACGCATGCGCCGAATGCGTCGTCATCATCGGTTTAAGTTTAGGTATTTCAGCTGTTGCCATGCGCACAAACATATTGGCATTCCTCGCCTGGGTCCCCTTTTTTCCTAAATACCCTTTAATGGGCGACAGGACATGTGACACTTTACAAGAAACTTCTCTTTTGGTAAAAAAAAAAAAGATTCTGTTATTTATGATCATCTATTAAATTTAAAATAATAATAATTCGTTTAATATTATTGTAAAGATTCAAAGATCTCCCCTTAGGTGAACCAAAGAGTATTCCAAGTTTGCTCTGATCTGCGCAAAGTTTCGTCTGAAGTTTCCCCCATTGTTCGCTCTTCTTCTGTCACGGTCTTCCCTTAATGATCCGCTTCAGTTGGCTCCCCTATACCATTCCACACTATATATACTCACTACGAGGCATTACCTCGTTTCCTTGCCTTTTCCCTTTCGCTGGGATCTCCACTCTTTTATGTACTCACATCCACACACTTATCTATATACATTTCTTCGTTGGAATTCATTCAACTTTGGCGCGCTAAATTATCTGGGCTGTGTGTGTGGTTGCTAACTTGAATGAATATGAATGAATCGTATTTAGCTATTTGATGATTATCATATTGATAGTGATGATGTAGTTGATGAGTTCGGTGGCCACAGAAATAGAATGCATTTCCGTTTTGGCAAAGGCTGAGAAAAGAGGGGGGAAATGCGGGAGGAGGAGGGGGTACAGTGGAGCCTGGGGTGATTGCACACACGTGCCCACAACGATCTTAACGAACTTGTCGCTGTCGCATTTTTATAAGCCTTTTTCCAAACTGGTTCCACGCAATATTATCATTCCGATTCCGATTTTGATTCCGAATCCGATTCGTATGCCGATTCATCGCGATTCAGTGCGGCGCCTCCATAAATCACACGCCCTAATTGACGGCGAGCGAGGGGGCGTGACCGCCAGCGAATTTCACGATTTTGCATTCGCCAAATTAATATTACCAAGAAATAGCAACAAATTACCCCATAATTTTAAAGAGTTCTCCCACTCTCTGCCTGAAGACGCACTGGGGAAAAAGTCTTGAGGATCGAGACAAAAACATTTCATCTTGTCCTGAAAATTAATACACCTTAGTAAAAGTAATGGATATGTAAATATCTTGTGATCTCCGAATATAAATTGATATGTATGAGTAATTTAAATACCACAAATTCAGGTTTTCACTAAGCCTTTTTTTCGGTGTGGTGGGTGGTGTTTTGGGGGGCAGGCGGGGCTCAAAAGGGGGCGGGGCAGGCAGTACGCATATGGAGCGGCGCTAGGCACGAACTGGTACCTGTTTCGCAGTCGTCATTTCGACTGTCTTTGACTCGTCTTGTGCTTTCTGACAGACTTTTTGTTTTACTCCCCTCTATTCCTCTATAAACTTACTGTAGTTTCTGGGGCTCATCAGCTCGCCATCAGCCAGAAATTGTAGAAATTCCAAGATTCATTTATGATCGCGCAGTGAAAGCGAACCAGATGATGAACTTTTCGTTTATGTGCTCGTTGGCTAAAAATACCGGCAAAAGTTCTTATTGAGTGTTAAAACTCACACGCAAACATGAAAATCTTTACGAAAATAACACAAATAATTTGTTTTTTTTGGGCAATGCAAAGCAAAGAAGGGAAATACTCCGAAAAGCGATCATTTTGAGCAACCTTTTCAGGAAGCAATAAATTGCAGGCAGTAAACTTTTGTTATAAGTTGAGATTGCAAGGATAAAAGCAATTTATATTGAAACTATCTACTCGAAAACGTATACATTTTAAAGTGCCACTCAAACTGAAATGCATACAACCAACTTTGATTCAAACGAGTTGTTTCACTCACACAGAAGCGATTCTTGCCGGCTGCCTATAGTTCTATATAAGAAAATATTCAAACTGGATTTGGGCGGTCCAAAATTTGCACACCGACTTCTTTATATTAGCTAGGCGTACATGTGTGTGTTCGCATGCCCTATAAGTCCACTGATTCCGAGCACCGTCGAATTATCAGGAAAAGAGGTTTCTAGGAGTTTGGGGGAAAAAAAGAACAGCAAAACATGGGATCACATGGCCCTGTAGATTTCTGTTTTTCGGCCATTTGGACACCTTGGCAGTTGACGTAGTTGCTGTGGAATATTATTATCAACATGTTATCGGAACAGTTCAAGACACTTTCAAAACAAACAAAACATTTGCACAAAAGTATCAAAATTTTCGCCGTTGGTTTCGCTTCTTTTCGTCTTTAGTGAACACTACCACCATTACACTATCTCCACTAAATCGAATCGAATCGAGCTTAATCTTTTCTAATCCTTGGAAAAGCGGGGAGAAGCGCAAAAATTGCAAACATTAATGAAAAGGTGTCAATATCAGCCGAATTGGGGATAAACTTCGGCCAGTCGAAGACTAAGTATTTACCCTTGCAAATAGATAATTCCGATTGATTCCATAATGGTATAACTAAGAACGACAAAAAACGACTGGGTACCAAGTTTAACAATATTATCTATCTAAACGAACGAGTTACGCTGATCTTAATTCAAAACGATCGTGTTTCTGAAAGGTATTCCTCGCATTTTCCACTTTCCATATGGTAATGCGGTAATACCCTCTCCGATCCAGATACCCATGCATTTAGCATACCCACTCCCATACCCACACACCTTATCTAAGTAGGAAGCTTGAGCGACCAGGGGCACGTGGTCAGAACCTGGTCGAAAAGCGAAAAGCCCCACAAACACAGTGTGACTTGGCCTAGGTTTTATTTTCCCCCAGCGAAAGAGTCGCCCAGCGAAAGAGTCGGCAACAGAGATATAGAAAGGGACAGAGCGAGGGGCACAGAGCACAGAAGCGATGAATTCGCTGTATTCCCGCTTTATCAGCGGGTGATTCACTGTGTCGTCATCGAAAAGCGAATTGTACGACTCTGTCTCTGGGGTTTTTTCGCTGTATTTTTCTTGGCGCCCAGCTTTTTGTGTTTATATCGCGAGCGTTCGCTAATCGCGCCATTTAGTTGGCTTTCAACTGCAAGTGCAGGCGGTTTGCTAAGGGTTCCCGTATAAAATACAATAAACAACAAACCATCAACAACAGAAAATTACCAAAACAAAGCAAAGTTTTTGTTTTCCGAAACCTGCAATTAATTCGAACGCGTTTATGTCTGCAGCGGTGCGATGCATTTCTTTCTCGAAGATTTCTTGCAAGTACATCTACTTAAGATTTGTAAGTTTCGGATGGGAATAGTACTATGTGATAAGAAATTCGTTTGATTACTCTTTAAGAAAGTGAATACTAATGTGTTGCCTCCCCTTTCCAGATGACAAAATGCAGCGTTGCAACCAGAACAGCAGCAGCAGCAACATCAACACGACCAGCAACACCAGCGGCAGCAGCAACAGCAACAAACGCTGCCCTCCGAAGTACGCCGGCAACAACCTAGCAGCAACTAACGGCATGATGGCCTACCAGCAACATGCAACAGCCACGGCAGCAACATTGCAGCACGGCAGCAACAAGACTCGCAAGAGTCGCTACAACAGCAACGGCAACAAGCAGCAACAGCAGTTTGGGAATATTCAGAAGCGGAATGGCATCGGAATCGCTGGCCTCGCCGGAAGTGAGTCCTCGTCCTCCCCCTCGAAGACCACCTGGTTGGAGAGAGGCTACGGACATCGGCTGGCCAATTCTTCATGCATCGAAGGTGAGTTCTTAGTAGTCAAAGTAGGATTTAAGAAGAATTTCAATAGCATTTACTAGTCGTTTATTTACAAACAAAGAGCTTAGTAATTTGCAATTTTCACATGTGCAACATACTTAGTAATCAGCAAGTTCAGCGATTAAACAAATCGCCTGAGTCACTTTAACCACCACCATTTCTTGGCACTGAGCTTTTGTTACGAATTTCGACGGTTCTACGGGGTTTTAGTCAGTCTTGCGCCCACATAAATATATATATATACATATCTTGGCTCATGGGTATCGGAATAAAGGCGGCGGACTCCGGAGACGCTGATTCACGATTTCGCTTTGTTTTTAATAAAATTCCAAGCAAATCGGGCGGCATCTATAGTGAATCACACCCGGCCACGAATTTAACGTCATCGCCGCTAACGGCAATGAAAACGGGAACGGGAATTCGGATCGTATCGGATCGGATCGGGTATGTGGAACGGGAACGAAACGGGTATTTTGAAAGCGTCATGGCCAAACGGAAACAGTGCTGAGATACGGATTCGATCTATATTTCTGGGTCAGTGGGTGGACGGGCGGTGGTATCTGACATTTATTACGGAAACATCATTGAATGTGGAGTGGCAAAACAACAAATTATTGAGAATCTCTGCAGGGTAGCCGTTTTTATTTGTTATTCATTGTGTTTCCAAGAATGCTTATTATATCAAAAATGTTTTCAAAACATATATTCCATTTCTGTTTACAAATCTTGAGTAATGAGTGCGCAATTATCTTACCGACAGCTCATCGAAATAAATATTGGCAGGGGGCGGTGGGGGCATATATCAAACTTAAGTGCCTTACCACCCTAAATTTTCCGTATTGCGTTTCGAGGGAAACTTATATAAAGACCTTCCCCCTTACCACACCCAAGTGAAAAGTCCACTCGAACTGAAGCGATATCTATTTATGGTGTCAGTGGAAAGTTCTTATCAAAGTGGGTCTATCTATAAGTAGGCATTCGATGGGGGGTAAAGCCTCGGTTACTAGCATTTCAATTAACTTTGAGATATCCCAGCACTTGAGGTGTAATACATATTTTTATGGCTGTCACTGTCCACTGGAAACCAGCTCTGCTCACAAATAAGAAAATTGCAGGAAATCTTCGCTTAAGCTTAATATAGGAACCTTGTATCGGAACTATTCAAGAGGAATGTACGTATGGATATATATAGCATAGACAGAGAGAGAGATTCCGAGATTCCCCGCCTTTCATGGCTTTCGCTTTCGATTCGCATTAAAAATCAATTAAAAATTGGGCGGATCGACGAAAACAAAAGGAAATTAAATAAACAAACAAAGGCACCTCCATCTCCCCGAGAAAAGGCAGGGCGTTTGGGTCGTAAAAATATCAACAAACTATAATAAAAATTCAAATTCTTACGGCCAATCTTATAATATATGCGCACGGGGGAATTATGTGTGGACTTACAAAAGAGCTTCGGCTTGCCAACTGATCATCGATCGGCAATTATGATTGGGATCGAAGATTACCGATTGTAATTGCACATAAATCTATTGACCTTCATTTGTTCGTTAAGTAAGTAGAAAAAATGATTACTTTTGATTGGTTCGGATTTCCAAAACTTACTAGAAAACGTAGTCTCAAGATCTTTGATTCGTTATCGAGACTTCTAGTGTAATTTTTGTGTGTTCGAATTTTCCATAACTCATTTTCGGCATTAATCAAGAAAACTTTCCAGAATCGGGTTTGAATTTTTGTTGTTATCTTCGGGACTGGAATACAAACGTGTATTTGCCATAGAGGCTATTAAGCTAAGACGCAATAGAGAAGCAGCTGATTAGGGTTCAGATTTTTGAGTTCTCAATCAGCTGGCGCCTCTTAAAGAATTTGTTATTTGTTGTTGGTTTCTTTTCTGCCGTATCAGGTGTATTATATTGGTCGTAGTATCAGTCGTCGATCGATTTTGGTCAAACGATGAACTGATAATCGATGAGGACCCGAACTGAACGTGTGTACTATACATACTATACTATATGGATACGTGTGCTTTTGCTGGCAATGGCAATCGTTACATAACCGATCGTTTTCGTTTTGTCATTCATTAGCACTTGGCTGGAAAAAGGTGGTCGAGAACCGAGATCTCTGAGATCTCCGTGATTGCACAAGCGAAATTTGCACCGCGACGTTAAGTGCCAAAAATAATACGAAACGAGAGCAGAACTTGATATTTCGATCTCTTCCGTTTGGGAAATTAGGGAAAAACTCATACCACCGAAAGGAATAGTTATTGCATATTTAATAAGAGAATACCTAGGAAGTTCCATGAATAAATCACTAACATATTTAAATATTTCTAAAATATGATCTTGAATTGACCAACTTCCCAGCATTGTCTCAATCGAAATAGTATGCCCAAAGTCTGCCATTAGGCCATTTTATACGGCACACACTCATTAGATAATTGTCTTGGCCCAAAGACAACCGGCAGTGTGGTTTTTGCGGCCCGGCATTTGGCGAATGCGTTTTTCACGCCCCACTGAATCGCACACGGATCGGATTTGAGGCTATATATGGGTGCACATATATCTTCCCCCGACTCGCAGCCTTTCTCTGTCGATTGTTTCTCTCTGTAGGCCAGTTGCAATGCGAGTCCAAAGACAACTTGAACTCATTTTCGCTTGCCATTTTAAGTGGTGCCAACTAACGGTGCAACGTGCCACAATAAAACACAGTCACCTCGATGTAACCGGCTGAAATGGACGAGTACAGTGCGATCTACGAGTGTAATTTGAGCTATCCCCTCTTTTAACTAAAACTCCATATCATATCATATCATGTTCCGCACTGTACTTTGCATTATTAACCCATTAAAGACCGCACTACTTGTATAACAATCGTAAAAAGTGCTCGCAATTCCGTTCAGCTCAATCATCACATCATCGTGATCGCCGAGCTCAAGCAACCTCACCATCACTCGCATTTCTTTGCCGATCTTTGGAATCTTTGGAATAGCTTCTCCACTTAACCCCCCGATGCCCCACCGCACTGTCTGCGATGTCTGTGATTCGCCGCCGCCGGCAATAGTCAAGGTTAACGTGTTCGCCGTTTAAGCACCGGGCGTTTACCCAATGTCTGAATTTCTGAGACTGCGACTGAGACTGAGTCCCCGTCTCCAATACAACGCGATGCGATGCGATACGATCCAAACTTGGGGACCAGAGATCACCGAGATCGCCGCTCAGTGTGCGTGGGTGATTGGGGGTTAATTGTGGGGAGAAAGTTTAGGAAGCAAAGGGATTTTCACCTCTTATGTCAGACAAATCAATTGGGAAAGTCAGTTTCACGTAACAAAGATAAAAAGTAAAAAAGATAAATATTATCCCTTAATCGTCATATGTGGTTATCTTTCATCCATGGGTAAATATTTTCTAGGCCTTTTTTAGTGGAAGGATTACCTCTGTATAGTGCTCATAAAAGAGCATAGGTGTTTACCAAGAAAAGCAAAATGTTCTAGGAACATTTTCTAGAATATTTAATAGAGGTATTTAGCTCTCATAAAACATGAGAACGTATCCTAATGGATCCCACTCACCAAGACCTTAAACTTTAACCGAACACAAAGGAGATCCCATAACGTTATTCTTAGAACATTTATCGCAGGGTAAATATTGTTGTACATTGTTTTTTAGAATACACCTAATAGGCACATAAAGATATAAAGATTATTAATCGGGCTATTTTGAAATGGGTTCCAGAATAAAGAAATGCCTGATAAAGCGAATTTACGGGCCCCCTTTAGAGACTATAAAGTCAGACCAACAGATCAGTTGCCAGGTATTATCTAATGATTTGATTACAACAATGTGACGATTGCATGCCTTGGTTATATATCTAAATAGTTTGCCCCTAAATACAGTCGGTCATTTGGATTTTTACGGCTATCTTTTTTTGTTTTTGGCTTGGAAATTATTAAATCTTTGTGCCCCTTCTGCTGACCTCAATGGCCACATTTTGCATACGCTAATGCTATAGCCGTATATATTATATCTATACTCATACTCATACTCGTATTTGATTAATACAACTCATATTAGTTTACATTAAAGGCGACTATTGGACTGTGCCAAAACTTTGGACGGACGACGACGGGATGTTGTGACATACGTGAGCGTGTTGTGTTCGGTTTCTGTTTCTGTTTCGGTTTCGGTCACAATTAACTATCGCGATGATGTTTACGAGTATTATAGTTATACACTTTTTCGCTTCGCTCAAAGCCAAGTTTTTGGGCTCATTAAAAATGCACAAACCAATTGCGAGACGAGTAATTTTGTTCGTTGTCTCTTGGCACAGGAAGCGCCGCATAAAACCGAAGGTCGTTTTTAAGTCGTGGAAAATTATACTCTCGAGTACCTGGGTTGGGATGCTTTATAGATCTTAAAAAAAAAAAAAAAAAAAAATGGGTCGCCCAATGACGTGATGGTTGAGAATTATAACATCTATTGCGTCACTAGTGCGGATGGTTTGATAAAACTAATGCATATTTATGGACTTATCTCGACAGTTGACTGTCATATCAAAGTTCTACCTTTTAGTGCTTTCCCGAGATGAATAAATATATTAGTGACGGAGTAATATTTATGACCTTCAGGGATTGGGGATGGGGACTCATCGTCATAGGAAAGACTATCTCCCACCTATCTCGAACAGCTGTTGAATTTATAATTCCGAACCGAGTCGAATTGAGTCGATTTGATTCTATTTTTCGGGATTGCCGCACCAGAGGGCTGATTGGAGTGGCGACTTTCGGCATTCGCCACTCAAACAATCACAATCACAATCAAAATCGGAGTCACAATCACAATCACAGGTGCGGAGACAATCGCGGCACTCGAGGGAACTTTTGGACGCTGTTGCCGTAGGTAACTGGAAATTGGGCAGTGGGGAATATGTACATAGGAACGGGAATATAATGGTGGGCCCCTGGACACGCACTTCTTATCACTGCCCAGTAACCAGCAATGTGGGTAGCCTTCAGTCTAGACAGAGCAACTTAAATCTATGGCGCATGGCGCAAAAGGCAGTATTTCAGATTTCAGTTTTCAGATTTTCAGTACGCCAAACGTTTTAGCTCAATTTCCACTGTAAAACTGATATAATTGGTCCAGAAACAATAGTTGGGTAATCGTTTAAGTGTTCCCAATTATTCAATATACATTTTCCCTTTGCGTGTTTCCATGCCCGTAATATGGTAGTTAAATTTTGTATTTAAATCAATTTCTGTGCCAGTCGTATTTTATATCACGAGAGCTGATACCATGTATTATGCCTTATATACTGCGCACAGTGTACCGATGGATTATCATTTGTCAGCCGCTGACACGTTAGTCTCACTTATTTAACTAAACTATCTAATCGCGGGCTCTCGAGTGCTTTTATTTACTGCGTTCAGTCGTACTCCTTCTAAGGTTAAGGTCTGCAAATGAGGAGCGAGATGAAATGCCCTTGGAAGTGACAGTATGACATTAACTTATGATGGCAATGAAAATATTAATCTTGGAAATTTATTCACATAAGTTTAAGGTTTAACATTTGAGTGACCAATTTGTCATTATAGTGTGACCAAAAGCGCATGTAAAGCAGCTTCCCCGTAAAGTTCTCGCAAGGTGATGAAGAGTACCTGAACCTTCGATCATGCCCCACCTTTCGCTATGTTTACCTTTTAGTCGGATGTACATAAGTGTATATATATTCCCATACATGATTTTTCAAGGCTGTTCGGAGAGTTTGGCGCGTGCGTCGGTCGGCGATAAAGCCATATTATAGGGCCCGTCGTAAAAACGTTTAAAAACAACATTTCGGTGGGCTGCCGAGAGTTGGACAGATGGCCAAAAGGCGACCCGCAACACGCCCAAAACTGGCCACGCCTTATCTAATCGTTGACCACGCACTCGACATACCCCATGTACGTAAATACTGAGCCATACGTGATAGTTATACCCACATATATGTTTTTCGCACATGTGCTGGGGGTATGTGGTATGGGTACATATGTAAACAATAATTCGATCCGGCCGATATCATTTCTTCCTCCCCCGACTTATGATGATCCCATTGGGTCTTTGGGCTTCCAGCTCACGTCTGGGTGCTTAGTGGTACGGCGTCCTTCGGCTCTGCGAAGTCAACAAACCCACCTCGCCATATGATTTATCTATGCGCGCTTTGAAATTCAATTTCAGCCCGACCAGCCGACACTTTCTGGGGCCCCGAAACGGGCTATGTAGCGATACTACATGGGGAGTACGTACTACGCACATGAGTGTTAAGGAAGTGCTTTTCACTACAAGGAAGCGGTTGGCATTTCACAAATCAGCAGGTAGGAAGCAGATAAGAAAATAGAGGCGTCATAAGACCCGCGATCTCGAGATCCGAGTGACGGACTAGGAAGACATAACATGGTCGAGTTTAGTTGGCTCAAAGTGCGTCAATTCGAATGTCCTCGATAGATAGATTGTATCCACAATATATTGTACAAGTGTTTCGGGGGGCAAGGCTAAAAATAAATTATTTAAACTATGATTGGTTGATATATTGCGTCTAATAGCGCAACTTTAGGTGTCGTATTAATATTCATAAATTCAGCTTAAGTAGTTCCATTCAATCAACTGGACTCTTTGTTTATACAGCGTGATAAATCCTCAGCAAAATGTAAACCCCAAAAAGTTCCAACTGATCTTCGACAACAGGTCAAGCCAGCTCAAGTCCCGAACCCCCCTTCCCCATTATGAAACACCCCCCACAACGAAGCCCCCTTGGGAACTTTAATGATAAGTTGAGAACAAGAATTGAAATGGGAATGAGAATGAGAATGGGGAAAATGATGAGCTAAATGCGGAAGCAGAGAACTCAGAACATAAAGCGCTTAATAGGTAGAAGTAATAATAACAGTCGGCATATAAAAGTCATAATAAAATGTGTATAATTGTAATGCGTCAACACGAGAGCCCCTGGCCCCCTCCCACTCCCCACTCCCCCTCCACTGCCACCCCCTTTTGGGCACGCCCGTTGTTGGGTGGCAACCAAATAAGCTGAATTAGCAAAAACTCGAGGTAGGAACCCCGCACACATGCGTCAATTTCCAGTCATGCGTAACCTTCCCTAAATCAAATCACACTATCAAAAATTAAATACATACGGTTACAGAGAGAAAAAAAAATTTACTATTATTTTAACGAAAGAAAAAGATTGTCCCTAGTAGCTTTTTCTAAAATATCCCATGCAAAAAATACATAAAAACCTTTATTAATTTTACTTTTCGGTTTTCAATAAAGTATAAAAAAACCATTAATAGAGTTTCAAAAGGGTGCAAATTTCTCCGAGTGTACTAGCTTATAAAACAGAGAGAGGCAGAGATAGAAACAGCGAAAAAGAGAGGAAATACTCAAAAGCACGTGGCGTTTGTTGATAAGCGTGTATTAAGTGTTTGTGTGAGTATTTGGGATTTACGCTTGTGTGCGAACCTACGAGCGTGTGTGCGCTGTTATCAGAAATTTGAATTTCTGAAAGAATATTGTATTTGATTGCCAGAAATTCACGGGATGTGGTTAATGAATTGAGTTACGGGAAATATAAAATATTAAAAAAATATTATTAACAGATAAAAAAAATTTAATTGTTTTGGGAAATATATATTAAAATAGATATGGCTCTTTTTAATTCAATATAATCAAATATTATAACAACAAATATTATGCATTTAATGAATATCTAATTGGTTATTGAATTGAGTTAGGCTAAAATATGAAGTATTAAAAAAAAATTCTATAGGAAATACAAAAAAAAACTGTAAATGGTTTTGGGATACAATAAAAAATTGTCTCCCAAAACAATTTAGAGTTTTTTTTGTATTTTTTTTAACATTCAAATATTATATCAAAATAAAATATAAAGCATCTAATTAATATCTATTCCTTTCCCCACTTTCGTTCACAGACAAATTCCTGGGCCAGCACAATCCGGGGCATCGGAATAGCACCAGCAGCGAGGCGACCAGCGAGGACATCGACTCCAGCAGGGAGCACCTGAACAAGCCCAAGGGCAGTTCGAGCGGAGGAGGCGGAAGCAGTTGCAACAACCATGTGGCCGGCGGCAACAAGAGCCGCTCGAAGCGCCAGGCGAAGTCGTGTGGCCAGCAGATCCGCCAGAATCCCGACCAGAAGCCAGCGGGAGCCACTGCCTCCAAGGCCAAGCAGGCCAACGGCAAGTGGCGCCAGCAGCAGCCCAATCCCAATGGCAATGCCAATCCCAACCAGCAGCAGCAGCAACAGCAACAGCAGAAGCGCAGCAACAAGAAAGTGCAGGGAAAGTGCAGCAGCATCGCCGGAAATGCCGGCAGCAACGGCGCCAAGCACGCCGGCAGCCATCCCCGCAAGATGGCCACCTGCGACAGCAGCTCCTCTTCGGCCCTCAGCTCGCCCACCAGTTCGCCCGGCAGCTCCCCGCAGGCCAACGGCAGCCGGAAGCGGATCGAGCGCTCCCTGATGCCGGGAGCCGCTTTGGAGTGGCGGCGGGAGCGGGAACGCGGCCGCCAGAACGCCAACTTCCTGGTGCCCCCGCTCCGGCAGTACGAGCAGCTGGACCTGGACGACCGGAGCCTGGTGCAGCAGCTGCGGCGCCACGTCATCGACCACCACCTGCTGCGCGTCTACGGCTTCCCCGTGGAGTCCGTCGTCCACGAGGGCGCCATCGAGATCTTCAAGTGCCTGCCGCACATGAGCTTCGCCGCCGCCCTGGCGGAAACGGTGATCAACTGCCACGACGGGCTGAGCAGCCAGCAGGCGGAGGAGGTGGCCACCTCCAGTGACTCGGGCAACAGCTCGCCCCGCTCCCTGGACTCGGAGTCCTCCGGCGAGTGGAGCGGCAGCGAGTGCGAGTCCTCCAACTCCTCCTCGTCCTCCGCCGATGGCGAACTGGGTCTCGAGCTCAAGTACTGCCAGTACGTCCAGGTGGAGCGGAGCCTGGCCAAGCCGTGCGCCCGCTGCAAGCGGCACTTCCTGGTGGACGAGCTGACCGGCGAGTACCTGAGCCGCGAGGAGTGCCACTACCACTCGGGCAAGTACCAGCGCTACTACGACGGCGTCTGCCACGGCCGCTGGACGTGCTGCAACGAGGGCGAGGAGAGCTCGCCGGGATGCTGCCAGGGCGACCGGCACGTGTGGACCGGCTCGGTGGTGGGCGTCAATGGGCCGTACTATGATTTTGTGCGCACCCAGCACAGGGATCAGTCGGAAGAGCAATCCCCCGCCGTCTACGCCCTCGACTGCGAGATGAGCTACACGGGCCGCGGTCTGGACGTGACCAAGGTCTCGCTGGTGGCCCTCAACGGGCAGCTGGTGTACGAGCACTTCGTGCGGCCCGAGTGCGACATCGTGGACTACAACACCCGGTACTCGGGCATCTCGGAGCGGGACCTGCGCTCCGGCGCCAAGAGCCTGGCCGAGGTGCAGCGGGATCTGCTCCAGCTGATCGCCGCCGACACGATCCTCGTCGGCCACGGGCTGGACAACGACCTGCGGGCCCTGCGGCTGGTGCACAACACCCTGATCGACACCTCTATCAGCTTCCCGCACTGCAGCGGCTTCCCCTACCGCCGGGCCCTGCGCCACCTGACCAAGGTCCACCTGAAGCGGGAGATCCAGAGCGGCGACGGGACCACGGGACACAGCAGCTTCGAGGACGCGAGGGCCTGCATGGAGCTGATGCTCTGGCGGATCGGCCGGGAACAGGATCCCACATGGAGCTGGGACGATTGAGGAGGGGGATCTATCGGGGGATCTATCGAGGGGCCAGCAAGTACTTTTAGTCGTTAGGAGATCGCCTAGTTTGTACCGTATTCAAGAAACAAAACACAATCCCAAAATCTCAGCTGGGGCGCCCACCTGGCAGTCGGTTTCTATGCCACCGATCTATACTATACTGTGTAGATCTATAAAGACCCATTGCCAGGTGTCGGCTCAGCGTATATCATATACACCTATATCGAGAAAATCGAGTAAATCGAGTAAATCGAGCAAATCGAGTAAATCGCAAATTGGAAAAAATTACAAAAATGGCAAAAAAAAATAGAGAGGATAATAATATTTATATGCGATACATAAGGTACATTTTGTAAGCGTATATTTATAGAGATAAAATAGAACTTTAATCTACATATGTATATACACATATTGTTTTTTTTTTCTTGATTAATTTCGAACCACGAGAAAATGTACTGAAGTTTTAGCTGTGATGTTTTTTTCACTTTCTCACATATTTACACGACAAAAGGAAAATGAAAAGTAAAAGCAAACAAAAAAAAGAGAAGAAAAATACAAAAATATATACATACGCATACATTATTTTTTTAAGAGCACAGAAGAAAGGCAATCCAAATACTTTTTAATTTCGACCAAAACTTTCAACTAAATCACTCCATTTATCATAATCTACCATTAGGTTTCGTTTCGTTTTATTTTTTCCCCAAACCAAACCATTTCTTTTATTATTTTACGAATATACAAATCATCTCATACGCAAACGGAAGAAGAAAAAAGTAAAGTTTAACTTTAACTACTTTATACACTATGCATAAACGTAAGTTAGGTTAATCCTGTGTTTTTTTCCAAAACTTTTTGATTATTTATTTAACGAATTCGCGCGACAAGTTCATTGAAAACTTCTTCAAGTGTTTAATTTTTCACATTGAACTCCATTCTTAGGCTAAGCTATATATTTGTTTTCTCTCGAGAAACTATCGACTATTAAAACCACTATTCCTTGACTCCGATTTCATAAGACGAGACGAGGAATACTTTATTCGAAAATCGATGTTCCTAGCAGCATAAGTTTCAGCACAAGTACACTGCAAAAAGCGGCTGTTTTTATATTGAACGGAAAGAGAAAGAAGAGAAGAGTAATGCAAATGCACAACGACAAAATTTAAAGAGAATAAAAGAAACAAAGATTTGTTTAAAACTAAATATCACCTCAAGCAAATGATTCTTATTATTGGCATGGGAATTGGTACAAGGGTTTAGGATCTAATCAATTCCATATTCAAAAGAGGAATACCGAATGGGAACTAAAATTTAATGAGAAATTGAGATGGGATCCCAGTTCTTACCAAACTTTACCAAGGATGATATTTCGGTCGCTATCAAGCGAAAAAGACCGAAATATATGGCGTGTCGAAGGCACATTGACCCGCGCGAAAGATATAGACGTCATCCCCCAGCGAAATCTCACCGATCTTGGCAAGTGGAAGTTTTTTTCGGTAAACACAACCTTTATATGCTGTTAACAATGTTAACAAGAATACCTGCGCATGTCTCTTAATTTAGATGAATTTATTTGCCTTGGCCAAACATGTGGGTTTTTACTGCCTCACTACTGAACACTGAATACTGAATACTGAATAGTAATACTTACAGACCGCGTTACCTTAGTGCGGCGATCAAGATCAAACCGCATGTGTTTCTCAGCCGACTGGCGATGCTGGCCCTGCGCTGCGAGGTCAGTAGATAAGAGAGATGTATATCGTATTTCGTTCCCCCATAGAACTTTGAAGGTGTTGCCAAAAAACGATGATGGGATCAGGTTATATCAGGTATATCTTATATATTAGCAAGATAAACTCGAAAGTAAAATATTTCCCCAAAAATTGCAATAATATACCTATGATCTATATACATTATTTTCAAGAACCCTAGGAACTCTTAGCTGATCTGCACTGTACCATATCTGCACCTGCGGTCAACAGCTGTAATGCCAACTTGCGGAAGCACCGATCTCTGTGTGATCAGCTGAGGGTTCTTTCGAAAATACAAATTGTGTTTGCCCAACTAAGTAATTAGCAATCAGCGAGTGCCTAATACCTGAGTATTTCAGGCATCTGCGTCGCAGAATCCACTTAAGGTGCCCCCCGCATACCTTACATCGGAAAAGCTACAGATCAGAGGGTATCTGGTGGTCTGGTCTGGACCAAAGGGCTACCACCGCTGACGTCAATTTTTGCCATGTTAGCGACCAAGTGCGAAATGAAAATCCTGCCTTGGTCTGGGTTTTTCGTGCGACGGTGTGCGTGTGCAGCAGTGAAAGTAGAAAGTGATTCAAGAGGTGGCGGCATGTTAATGATGATGCTGATCTGATGGCTCGGCTGATGACGAAATAGTCAGGCACTGAACGAAAATTATACCTGTTTTGATGTGTGTAACTCTTGGAATAAAAAGGTGCAGGGCGCACATATATTATATTATTATATGAGTCTTAAAAAGAAAATGTTTTTACTACCTTTAGGATCCAAGTTCCTAAAAAGTAGATCAGTACCACGCCCCAGCATTCGTCTTGTCACACAGCGAACAAAAAATACTCGGCGAAGCCCAGAAAAAAACTACTGATCGATTTTTAATCGATTTAATTTCTTGCCATTTGGTTCGTGACTGAAAAAGGGGGGCCAAAAAGGGGGGCTATTGATGATCATTTGACGGATGAAGGCGATCGACTAAATATAAATTGAACGTTCGTGTTTGGCACATTTGTGCGAGAAATCGCATCAATTGTTTTAATTGTCTGGGGTATATAGGCAAAGTTGGGATGTGTCGGCGATACTATGTGCGATCTATAGGTAATGCCGCGTGCACGGAACCCAAATCTATGGCAAAACACCCGCCAGACGCGAGATTATGCAATCCCCGCCCGAGAATCTGAATCTGAATCCGAATCGGGAGAGTAGAGTCAATATGGGAAAGGCAAAGATAACATCGTGCTATTGTGTGTGTTTTTTCCTACATTTTTTCTCATTTGAGGCTTTTGGCCAGACAAACAGTCGACTCCCATAGAGTCGCATGCAAATTTTCCCTCAAAGTGAAACAATTAAATGACCATTTTACAGTCGTTACGGGAGATAAAACAATTACCGATAGCGAATTGCAGTAAAAATGCACTTAAATTCTACAGAACCCATGCAATTTAACTTATTAACTTACACCCTTTATAAGAAGGTTTCATAAAACCCAATGATAGTATTTTGGTTTTGTTGACATCTGTCGAAAGTGAAAACAGCAGATGGCCGCGTAAAGCACCCATGATTAATGCAGCTCATGTAATAATCCAAATCAGTTTCGAAATTAACCAAATAAGGCGAAACCCCGAAATCGAGTTCCCCCAAACCGATAATGGTGATGGTGATTCACAGGCGTCAGCATTTCTTGAAAGAAGTCGGCGTCACCAAGATATATTTATTTATTTTTATGCGATTCGGCGTCACCTGCTGACCCGCCTACCACTTCCTTACGATTTACGATCCATATATAAACAGCGATTAACTTATGCCCATTCCCACTATTTTCACTGTCGATTCTAACGATTAATATTTTGTATTATATTATTATATGATCTGTTTTGAAACACGGCAGTATTAACAATTAAAGTACACTGAGCCCAACATTCGGATATCAGTTTCAAGTGTTCAAAATTCGAATTATTTGTCTGCGTGGTGGAAATGTAAACAAAATCAGCATATTCGAAGTCCAAATGTCGTCATTTCGTGGCATACGGCTCATATCTATGTGGAATGAATATAGCGAAGACCGATGACGTGATAGTTGGCATCGGATCGGCTGAGGGAATTTCGCGCCGGCGATTAGCCGCACTCCCCATGACATAATTACCCAAAACGGAGCAATATGAGTGGTGAGATGATAGGCGCCTCCATATGGACATGTATCGTATGGAAACTGCTAACGGGTTGCCGTTTCCGTTGGCTTCTGGCTACACAGGGAGAAAATGGGAAGCTGCCCATTGTCATATCAAAGATTTATAGTCAAATTAGAATTATTAAAATTGTATTACTAGGTATTCTAGTTGTATACTTCCTTTAGTGCAATTGGAGAAACTGAAAGCTTGAGTTTTGAAGTGATGCCAAAGAACCCTTAAGCTTTTCCCTGTGCAGGCGTTTTCCGCCCCCCGAAGTGCAACCAATTGCTGGGTTAATCGATTTGCAATCAAGCATGGAATTGATCTATTCACAATTAAACGTTTCGATTGTCTGTTTTGTGGAATACAATTTAATGTATCAAGCTTGGATGCACATAATAAATCGTTTAAGAGCCAGCCATTCTACTTTTTTAAGTAACAGCAAAGATAAAAGAAATACTTAACTAAAGAATTCCGTAAAATCATTTATGATAGCTAAATATTCCTGTAACATAGCTCTATTAATATCGAATTTTTTGGTTTCTCTGGGGTACTTTGTTTATTTATCGCATTTTTCCTACACCCAATTTATGTTGAATGGCCGGTCGTAACTCAGGTTTTTCATGGGCCTCGAAGGGGGGAATTTTCATGTCGGGCACATATCGTAATTCTTTACGCCTGCCAGCTGTTCGCTTAGTGGTTTTCGATCAGGTCCGATCGGATTGGACTGCTATGTGAAAAATGCAGCGGGTTGCTGCGGAATTTGGAATTTCTTCTCAACTGCATCGTGAATCATCTGGCCTGCGACCATCTGCACTTTCCCCGACGGAAAGTAACCAGTTTTTCCCGTCCCCATTTCGGTTCTTTAAAAGCGAGAGTGAAGCCCACAATGTGATGACCCCGAATAACGTGGGTTAGTTTTCGAAGAACAAGCTATACTACTTTGTCTTAAAAAGTGATTTGAAAAATAAAGCTTTAGATATTTTTGCAGGCATCGGAACATTTTGAAATGGTAACGCTGCGTATGAGTAATATTATATATTTTACAGAAAAGGTTCTGAAGAGTGAAGATACTGGTTGTATACCCAGATAGACCCTCGATCGTCACATGGTGGATGAATATCCCCCGAACTGAACGCTTAATTCAAGTTGAAGGCTTTACTGCGGTGGCTAAGCAAACGCACCTTGGCTGCCAATTTCGGTGTTCATTTTTGTTTTTGTCATGTTTTATCAACTTTGTTGTCTCTGGCGGTATTTACCTTATTTACCTTGCACAGCCGCAGCTTTTCGACACCTACAGAAGCGAGGGAAAAAAGAAGACTGCGACGGAGGCCTAGACGCCACACGTGGGTCGCCAATGGCCGGTGGTGAAAGTTCAAGGCTGTTTCGGCTTCGGTTCGGGGGCTCTGCAACAGGTGAGCACGAGGCACAAACAGAGTGGGTGAGTGAGATTACCTGGCAGATGTGCATGTTTTTTAATAACTTTGTCGAGTTTTACACACTGCCAATAATGGGATGGGATTGCATCACCTTCCCATCTAAGGCACGAAACCAGCCAAGCGAGCTCCTGGCGGTACCACTAGGAACCAGGAACCTGCGACCGGGACTAGCATCAGGTGCCGGCAAAAATTTCAAATACATTTAGGCGCCGTTCGTGTATTAAAAATTTGTGTCTTGTCATACTACTTTCGAAATACAGTCAGCCCTGACTAAAGATGGTTTTTACTAGCTTTTTCCTTCGGAAATAACCACAAAATTCTCGTTAGTATTTAAATATTGATAAATATAAATCATCAAATATAATATATAAATAAATATGCTTAAATCGTTTTCTCTTATTTAGAGAACAAGAAACCACAAAAAATTCAAGATCGTATAAAAAATATGACAGTTTCTAGAAAACAGAATTTTATACCACCCAATATATGAGATATAATTAAGCTAACCCAACAGGCATATACCAAATAACAAATTTAACACACATCCCATCCAACTTATCATGATTTCAGCTACAGAGGTTCGACTGTATTGCAAAAACCATGGCTCGTGGGCCGCGGAATGCGCGGCAATTTGTCTGCTGGCACTACTGATACCGCTGCGATGTTGCTGCCTCGTTGCATGCAGCATGCCATGTCCACATCTGTGCACAATCCTCCTATGTGTATCGTGTACTTCTTCTTACATGACGTGGGCGGCGGCACTTCCTCGATGCGGTGCACCCAACCCAACGAACCAACCCAAAATGCAACCCGGAAAATGTGCAGAAACTGCAGCACGAACCACACAACACCACGCCGTTATGATTGAGTAATTACGGCTGAAAATCGAGAAAATTGTGAAAATTGAGAAAATTGCCAAGTTCAAAAGCTTGTTCGCCGGTTTGCTTCATCGCTGTAATTGTAATTGGTGTACATAGGTATATGCTTCGATCACTTTTGGGAGCTTAATCGTACAAAGTCTTTATGTACATGGTGATAGCGCTAGGCTGGTTTTAGGTTTAGACAAGGCGATTAACAGCAGTGCTTAATGCGTAATGCGTAGTGCGTTATGCGTAATCGGTAATGCTTAATGCTTAATGCTATGCGAGTCGTACAAAACAATGGTTGTGGTTTCATCGGTTAGAACGAGAGACAAATGTAACAGGCGCTGACTCGAGCAAAGCGCGTCTTGGAAGATATATGTATGATCTATATATTTGTATCTGTAGTGTCTGCATCTGACTTTGCATCCGTATCCTGACTTCCGTGTTTGGCCTGAGAGTTGCGCCTGAGGCCCCAGCTCCTGTTAGTTGCCGGCGGCGGTCGCCGATGCAGCCGTCTGCTGCTTGAAGATCACGCCCGTGATCTCGCCATCCTTCTGGATCACACAGCGTCTGCAGTGGGAGAAACGGGGGGTTGACTATTGCACTGTTGCAAAGTGTGTGTGTTCGGTTCACTTGGCTAAGCCAACAAAAATTACTTTTACGAGAGTATAGACTTGAGGAATGGAATCGGAACTGTACAATAAAATCATACTTAAAAATAAACTAAAAAAAAGTACTTTATAAAATAATATAAAAAATACAAGAGTGATTGTGACACCCTTTTATTAGATTTCATAATTGTTATATGAAATAAGCAATATTGAATTTTGAATAGACAGACACAACCGACGAAGTAGGTAACTCCAGGTAGTCTGCCCATAATCAATACTTCCCAATAAAAAAAAATAAAAAAATGTGGACAATATGGATAAAGCTAACACTGCTGGGAACCTATTTTGCCAAATACAATTTCCAAACTGATTCAAGTCTGCCTACAGAAGTACTTCCCAAAAATAGCAAGGATCTTCACTTCTGTCGAGGTCCACTGAAATAATCCCAATCGATTAAAATATCTCCCCAAGGAAAGAAGTCCCAACAAATAGCACGGACAAAGACCTTACATATGTAGTTAAAAAAAAAAGGAAAAAAAAATTATAAAATTAATAGATTTTAAAGTTCTTGACCCCTTTACCTAGATACTCCCCATCGATAAGGATGGCAGATTATAAAAAAAAAAAAGTTAAAAAATAAATAGATCTGATAGTTCCCGACCCCTTTAACTAGGTACTCCCGATATCGATAAGCATGCCCACTTACTTGTTGCCGCTGTACAGGCAGATGGTGGGAGGAACCGTGGTGTTCTGCTCCAGTTTGGCCACCTGCTCGGAAATGGCCATTCCGATGCCGGAGACGTTGGGGTCAATGTCGCCCTTGGCTGCAAGATTACAACAAGGTACTATAATAACTGATTAATCGAGCCAAAGCCCCGATATACTCACTGCCCAGGCACAATCCCTGACGATTCGCCAGCAGAGCGCCCATCGTGTCCTGTCGCGCGGCGCTGCAAAGAGAAGGTATTCGCGGTTAGCAGAGGGCCTCGGGCTCCGCCGGATCGGATACCTACATCTCCGCCAAGACCTTCTCCAGTTGCTGCTCCATGGGCGAGGCTTTTATCTTTTATTTCACAACGTAGAACAGCAAGTGCAGTGAAAAAAACAAAGCAAGAGGAAGAAAAGAACCAAAACAATGACAATAGAGGTGGACAAACTGCGATGATTTCAAAACATCGATAGCATTGGAGTCATCGATGTTCGATAGCAGGAAGCGGTATTTTTCCGGCACTAAAAATACCAAATACAGTGGGCATCACAGGGAAAGACATCACACAAATTAAACAATTATTTTTTATTTATTGCTAGTACCACCTAGATTAAGTCCTTTTATCAGCAATAACATTGTGTATTGTGTATAGTTTATTGTATATAGTTTACTTATAGCATTTTCCATAAAAATACTCCAAATTAAGGGAAGCGCACGGAGCGCAGAAACAAAACACTTTACAATCGCCAACTACAACTAATTGCCTTTCATTTATTATATACCGTTATACGCAGCGCTTGGAGTGCACAAAATTAGTTTAATTAATTGGTTTTGATGATTTTCTGCAATTTTTTCTTCTTGCTTTGCTTGAAATTACTTGCTCTGAGAAGCTGTTGGCGCGCCATAAATATCCAAAGTTCGAAACATATATAAAAATAATCTTTAACATGCTGCAGCAGTTGAATCAATCGTATCGAATCGAAGCCCCGGAAAATAATGGATTTCTAGGTATATGTTTATGTACTACTTAGGTGGGCGTGGCCAGGGGGTGCGGCCGCGGCCTACACGATCTCGTACTTCTCGACGAACAGAATAGATTCGCTCGAATACTTGACCGCCGCCTCGCTGTCCACCTGCACCACATCCTGGGCCACGACGCCCGCGTACGGCGTCTTCGAGACGAAGGACACCTGCAGGGGGAAGAAGTCGCCCGGAATGGAGGCACTGCAGCTGAACTCCATGGACCCGGACTTGTTGGCGGCATCGATGATGGGGATGTGCCACTGGAGCACATGCTTGCGTGCATCGTAGTTGTAGGTTCCGTCGTACTCGGCCACCGATGGCTGGACATTCATTCTGTGATAGAAAGAGTAGATAAGTAATCCTTTCCAGGATCTAAGTTATCCCCTCCAGGATCTACTCACGGCAAGGGAATGACAATGGCCACGTCCTGCAGCTCCAGCTGCTGCGCCTCCAGTTCGTACTCGATGTTCACGTCGCAGCCGCCCTCTCCATTATCCGATGGCCAGCAGTTGACTGGAAAAGAGCGAGAAGCACACATAAGTGAAGGTGAGAGTGAAGTTGAGGGGGACGACTTACTGGTTAGCGGAATGGCCGACTCGTCCTGCGAGACGAAGCGCCACTTGAGCACACCCACGTCGGTGTTGAGGGGGAACGGCTTGCCCAGGTTCTTCAGCCCGATGGTGGTGCGCGACTTGAAGAGCTCCTTGTCCACGTTGGGGTGCGTCTGCAGCTGCAGGCCCTGTGTGTGGTTGGGGGACAGCTTGAGCAAGATGCGGCCGTAGGCCTCGTCCGCGATGCGCAGCGTCAGCAGGCCCGAGTTCTCGAACTGCTGCACGCCGCCATCGCGTCCCAGGCGCACCACCAGCTTGTCCTCGATCTTCAGATGCACGCTGCAAGTGGAAGTTCATTAGTGCTTTCTGTACAAGACTGACAAATCATGGGGAAACCCACCTCTCCTTGTGAATGTCCGCCGAGATGGCCGCCTTGGCTGCTGCACTGGCGCTGGCCGCAGCACTGGAGCTTCCGGCGGGCGCCGCCGGTGCCAGGTTGGCAATCTTCTCCCCCTCGCTCTTCAGCTGGTCCACAAAGCTGTCCACGTCCTTGGACTTGCCGCCCAGCTTGAGGGCATTGCGCGAAGTTGGTTTGCTGCCGATGAAAATGATAAAATGGCCACAATTAACCGGAAGACTTGCAGACTTACGCAGCCGCCTTGGATTTGGTGTCCACGTCGATGGAGGTTATGCCGATGGAGGCGCTGGAGCCGCCGCCGCCGGAGCCGCCGCTGCTCACGCCACTGCTGCCGAAGCTGTCGGCGCTGAAGCCGCCGCTGCGGCCGCCCATGCCGCCCAGCGAGGGGCCGCCCCGCTTGCTGGCCTCCATGCGCTGCCGCTGCAGCTCCTTGGCCTTCTCGCGCATCTTCTGGCGCGCCTCGCGCTCCTGCGTCTGCCGCACCGCCTGGTAGACCTTCTCCTCGTGCGAGTCCATCTCCACGAAGGTCTTGATCTGGGCCAGGTTGACGCTCTCCCTGTAGCCGAGGGCCACGATCTCGTCGAAGGCGAAGATCAGGTTGAAGGCGTTCTCCACGATCTCCTTCTCGTCCAGCGAGTGGCTGTACTCGGGGATCTGTTTAGCGTGGGGGGAACGGATTAGCAAGGGGTTCTGTGGCCAAGAGGACGCAGGGAACCCACCACTTTCGAGAAGAGACGCAGCGTCTCCAGATCCTCCAGGATGTTGCTGGCCTTTGTGGTGATGAGCAGCATGTAGAGCTTCTCCATCGGCTGGTAGACGTAGCGCACCGAGTCCGTCTCCACGTAGGTGTGCTGCTTGCCAGCGGTCATGAGCTTGGGGAAGGCGGCCAGCAGTCCCTCGATGCGGGCCTTCGTCATCTCGACGAACTGACGTGACAGAATCACTGTGCGTATGCGTTATATGTTACATGTTACTCGTTATTTAGAAGGATCTCAAGGGAACACACTCACCTTTGCCATTCTTCGTGCAAACAGCCGCAGCAATGAGTACCTGCAAGTCGAGCATACACAAACAGGGGTTAATTCTCGAATACCCTCTTAATAATATCCCGGAATCGGAATAGGAATACCCTCATCCGACAAGCCCCACAAATCGCCGACGTGTATCTGTGTGCGTGTGCAGGTCGGGGGCCCAACTCTTACCATTTTGCAGCTGCTCTCGACGTTTGGGCCCTGGGTAAATACTTGGCGGATCGGATGCGGACGGCGCAGGATGGTCTGCTGCTACGGATCGGAGTTGCGGGGCGCTCGGAAAGCTGGTTTTCAATCAATCCGCGTAGCTGACGTGTTCGGTTCTGCGACAAAATGTTTACGCTGTGCGTGTGTGTTGAAATAATCGATGTTGCTATCGGTGATATCGATGGTTGGGCCCCGGCCACAGCCATCGATATTTTTTAAACTACTCTTACGGAGGAAATGTGAGTGACGACTGCCGGATACCCTGTTTCACGTTTCGGATATATAATAATACATATTTGCATACGTTTAAAATTTGCTCCAATATGTATGTATAAATCGATTAAAAATTTTAAGCCTTTTTTTTATAATTTAATAGCAATAACTTACAGGGTACGTGTACACTCCTCCTTTTCGGCAATGCAAAAACTCGCTACACAACACTGGAATTCAAATGTCCGTTACATTTTATTTACATATTTTAAACTTTTGTGGAAACTTTGTTTTTTGGTCAAGTAAAAAATAAAAACTAACAAAATAATATAAAACAAAATATACATGAATGTCCACATATCGTCTATAGACGGAAACTTTGACAACTGATTAAATGATCAAATATATAATCAGATTTCCCAGTGATTGAGGCTAGTCGTCCAGTGTCAGCGTCTCCACTCGGCTGGCGATCGACGCCGCTGCCTCCCCCGCCGGCTGGCCCTTCTGCTTGGCGTACTCCACGCTAAGGACACGCATCACCTGGGCGGCGGTCATGTTCTCCCGCTTGTGCTTCTGGAAGTTGTCCTTGACGAACTTGGCGAATCCCTTGGCCTCGCCCGCCGGCGTGGACACGGTGTTTCCCTGCTTGTCCTTCTTGTTGAGGAACAGGGTGATGGGTCCGCGGCAGATCCTGCAGCGCAGGTCCTCCGCCTTGCGCGATCGGGAGTGAGCGTGCGAACTGTGTGAGCAAAAGCAAAAGTAATATATAATTTCCCTCATCATCCTACGGAAACTCACGATTTGTCGCAGCTTAGGCACTTGTAGGTGTACTTGAACTCGATGCTGTAGTTGTGGCAGACCTTTATCTGCGGCAGGTCGGGGAACTTGTCGTTGGCCCGCTGGGCCCACATCTTCCACACGCGTCCGTGGCCGCCCTCGCCGTTGAAGACCCAGGCGGCGGCGTGGCACAGTTCGTGGATCAGGGTGCAGCGCAGGCGGTCCGCCGTGGTCAGGACCTTGACGCTCAGCTCCACCACGCTGCTGCGCTGGTTGAGTCTGCGCTTGTTCATGCAGCGCCCGGCTGTGTTGCGCAGCAGTTTGGACCAGGTAATGGGCACATCCAGCTCGTTGTTGAACACCTGGGCGTTGAACATCCTGTACAGATGCTGGGCCAGCTGATCCTTGTTCTTGGCGAAGTTCTCCCGGTAGAAGAAGGCCTCGTTGTCCGCCCGATCGCGGCTCACCTGCCCCTCCAGGGACTTGAGGAAGCCGCACTTGCCGCCGCTGGCGATGGGAGGAAGTTCCTTCGGCTTCTTGGCCTTCCGGGCAGTGGATTTCGGCGGGGCGGTGGTTTTGGGCGGACCAAGCGCCTTGGGTGGCGCCGTCTTTGGGGTGAGCAACTTGAGGATGGGGCTTTGCTGGGGCGTCGTCTGCTCTGGCAGCCCGATGCCCAGCTTCCGCCTGACCTCCTGCACTCGCTTGTGGACGGGCGTGCCCGGCAGGTAGTCGCTCTCCAGCTCGTCCAGCATGTCCAGGTCCAGTGCCTTGTCCACAATCGCCCTGGCCTCGGTCTCGTCCTCGAAGCCGACGTTCGGTGTGAAGAGCTGCCGGCGCGTGGTGGCCTGGGGCGCAGGCGTGGCGGGGAGTTTGGCTTTAACGCTGGCGCGGCACGAGCGCAGAATGTCATCCAGGCGACGATGCGTCTTGGGAGCTGGCAAAAGTAAAAGGAGTCTTGAGTGTGGCTCTGAATTGGTTAGGATTTTAAAATCTGACTAGGATTGAGAAGGAAGGAGGGAAAATAATTAACGAGAGTCTATTTAAGTGTGTTTTTTAAGTATAGCCTTAAGTTTAACATTGTATGCTTAGCTTAATTTGTTAAATAAATAAGTAATAATAATTGCTAATTCCTTAAAATAATATAAATAAAATAATACATACAATGTGGTTAGGATTTTCTAATGCAATTGGGATTAAAACTTGGGAAGGAGGAAAAATAATAAGCGTGGAACTTTTAAAGTGTGTGTTTTTTAGTTAAAATTAATTGGAAATTCATTATAATTCCCGCAATGAAAGAGAGCTCATAATACATACAATGTGGTTAGGATTTTCTAATGCAATTAGGATTGAAAAGAAAGGAGGAAAAATAATTAACGTGGAACTTTTGAAGTGTTTTTTAGGTAATAATAATACGAAATTCCCTATAGTTCCCGCAAAGAAAGAGAGCTCATAATAGAATGGCCACAGAAGAATTGATAATGATCAGTGCATAAGCAGTGTAATTAACGGTTGTTTCTCAATTCCCTTTTAGAAAATTTCCCCTTAGGAAAGGGCAATACCTGCAGGCGTGAGAATTTATATGCTCTTACACTGTGAATCCTCGTCGGGATTGCTGATGACCTCTACCTCGTCCTTGGTCAAGTCCAGGTAGGTAATGTCGCCGCCCTTCTGCTGGCCCTGCTTTCTCCCCGAGTCGCTGTCGCTCTCGGAGCCGCTGTCGCTGAACGTGGCGTCCGCATCCTCGTCGTCGGAGGCGTCTGTGCCGCTGTCCGAGTCAATGAGCTTCCGCCACCGGTCCTCGTCCACGTGGTTGGTGCGCGGTCGTGTCACGGGCCGCTGGCTCCGCGGACGCCTCTCCGTTTGGACAGCTCGCAGGGGAGGCAGGCGCGTGGAGTTCAGAGGCGTCTGATTGGTGCGCAGGGCGCGGGTGACTGCAGATGAGAGTGATGATGATAAAGGCTTTTGGAGAACTAAAACTAATGGCTTACACAGGCTGAAATCGCCCAGGACACTTTCGTCTGTCCTGACGACGGGCGGCGGAGCTCGTGGCTTCTTCTTTTTGGCGGTGGTGGCCGCAGTTGCTGGGATATTCCTGGGCCGCAAGGGAGCTGTTTTCCCGCCGCTGCCACTGGAGCGCTTGAGGGTGCGGATCACGTCGGGTGTCTGCCAGGACTTGCCATACAGCTGGTTCAGCAGCTTTTCGGCCTGGGTGAGGAACTGCTCATCCTCGGAGGCGTCACCCGTGGACAGCATGGATTTTTCCTGCTGCTGCGGCTGCTGCTTCTCACACTGCACCTCCTCCGAGCTGGGCAGCGACTTGGTGGCCCTGGGAGAAGGATACTCGTCCTCCGCCGAACTCGACTCCATGGTGGGAATGCTGATCTTGATGTTGATCTTGGCCGAAATATTAATGCTGCTCACATGAACGGTTTCACGGTCGTCCTCGTCCGACGCCGAGGAGCCGGAACTGGGTTTCTGCGGCGAGGGCTCGCCCTCACTGCTGGTCTCTGGTATTTCTATGGACTCCTCCGGCACGGGCTGCTCCTCGTGGAGCGTCGAGTTGTCGGAGCACAGGGTGTTGAGTTCGGTGTCATTGTCCGCCAGTCGCTTGCTGCTGTCCCTGGGCTCCAGATGCTCCAGATCCAGATCCTCTGATCCCAGGGTATTGGCCTCCGTTTCGTCGTCCGCCAGGCGCTTGCTGCTGTCCAGCCGAGTCGCGTCCGCCGAGCAGATGGTGTCCACCTGCGTCTCGTTGTCCGCCAGTCGCCTGCTGCTGTCCACCGGTGGCTGCCAGTCCTCGTCGGTGGGCGACATGGACTCCGTGTCGGCCTCGGCTAGCCGGGATCGGGATTGCCGCTTGGTGGACGAGAGGGGCGATGGTGTCAGGGGGCCAGTCCGCTCCATCTCGCGCCGCTCCATGGACACATCCCGCAGGAAGGCCTCGATGCGCTGCACCTTGTCGGTGGAGAGCATGGGCGGTGGGATGGCCTCCTGGTCGGCGGTTCTATCACTCACTGCCATGCTGTCGGGGGGCAGGGGCTCATCCTCGTCCTCACTGGAGTCGGATATGGTGATGCAGGAGGCGTCGTCGTCGTTGTCGGAAGCGTTCTCCTCCGTGGTGGAGGAGATGCAGATGGAGATCTCCTGCTTGCTTGGCTGCGGTGGCTCCCGCACTGTCAAACTGCTGATGCCGGCGGACAGGTGCTCCACATCGCCCACATCGGCCATTTCGCCCGCATCCTGGCTGCAGCTCAGCTGCAGGGCGTCCATGTAATCGGAACCATCGAGATTCTGGGCCGTGTCATCCAGATTGCCTCCGCCGGCGGCCGGAGCACCCACATTTACGCGCATGGCAGCTGCTTCAGCTTCGACTTTCTCCCGAGGATTGACCTTCACTCCTGGCTGGTCCACCTGCTGTCGTTTTTTGTGGGAGGATAGCGTCAAATTGGCGAATTTCTGATTGAACGGAACCTTTACTTTGCTCGGATCGACTGCATTGAAGAGCCTGTACTTGTGATCCGCCATTTTGGGGGCGTCGTTGGGGGAATAACGGTAAAGTTGGCCTTAAACTCGGCTTTGAGAATATGCTTTCAACAAATTCGTAAAATTTATATTTTGTGCGCGTCGTTTTGCTGTCATCGTTATCGATAGACATTTTGGATGCTAGGCATGATCTAGCTATAGCTAGAAACAAGCTACTTGGCTTTGAACTTTTAACATTAAATTGATTCATTAATAACACTATTTTACATCATAAATGTACCTAGATGGAAGTAACACTGCGTTTTCCAAAAAGTTTCCCGACGCAAGGATTCTTAGCAGAAGAACCTCAAAGTTCGAGAAATGCTGAAATTGGGGTATCATAGGCGAAAAGATTCATGGTTTGTTTTGCTGTTTAAGTATTTTAAAAGTGACACTCTTTATCTTTCAAACCCCATACTCAGAAAAGGTATAGGATTTTTTTAAGGGAGAAAAATAAATAAAATAAAACATAGCCATGAAATGTAAAAATATACAGCTGCGGTCAAAATGGCCCTTCACTTTTTATAGGGTCTTCCCACAGAGATCCATCCACCATCCGTTGAACGGATGGTTTTGCCGTTCCGAATATTTCCCAGTTAGTCCGCCTTCCAATTTTGACGGACTTTGACGGGCTCTTTTATGCAACAGTTAAGCAATGTTTTCTCGGTGCAACTCTGAATTCTTCCTCTTGACTGTGAAAATTGGAACGATGACTGCGAGAACAAATGAAATCGATGGCGGGAAAAAAATTAAATAATGCTTATGCTCATTGTTTTTTGGGTTTTTTTTTAGTTATTTGTAGTTTGTTACATGGGCGGAAAAGCATTCGCAAACAGGTTGCTATAAGTGGGCCAAAATTTAAGCTGTTCTGTATACGAAAACATCAATGTTTGCAGCGAAGTCTCAGAATATGTTCTGCAATTCGTAGATACCCCCAGTCAGCAATATGTATGCATACTCGTTATAGAATATGTTATAAAAGCTCAGATATCTTTTAAACTATTATATTATGCTATTTATTGAATTATCCTACAATAAGATTAGGAGAACGCAATTTTACGACAGTTTTGCCGAGTTGAAATCCCCCTTCGTTAATGTTGAGTTGAGAAACTGCTCTGTAAGTCAGCTGTTATTGGATGTGGATGGGAACACGAATTTCACATTTGTCAAAAATCCCAACCGTTTCAAACGGTTGGACTCAATGGGAAGAGGTTATTAGAAGTTTTTTGTTGGACAATGTGAACGAAGAATAAAAATCAGGTGGTGTAGATGCTTTATTTTTAGGGACAATTGAATAGCGTGGCAACGCTATTTCTGTGCTTTAATTGCGCCATTCGAGTAAAGGCAATCGCAAGCAAATTACAAAAGCGAAATGAACTTCCCTACTATTGAAAGTGACTCGGACTCGGAGGACAATGACTCCTTCTACTCCTTTTCCCAGAGTGAGAGTTCTTTGGACAATCTCTCGCTCTCGGAGAGCGACTGCGACATCGCCACGATCTTTGAGTCGGAACCGGAGCATGAGACTTCGATAGAAAGTGTGGAGAACACGGCAAGTGGATTAGGGTTTCTGTATAGCACATAGTCTTAAGATGACCCATCCCCACAGATCGATGAATCCGGCCAGCTGGACCAGGCCGCAGGGGAGACTTCTAAGCCCGCCTTTTTGGGCGTCATCTTAAAGAAGAAGTCGCCTGGTTCGGAGATCCATTCCAGCGATTCATCCGCCTGCGAAGGCGTCTCCACCGGCAAGACCACCCAGAAGACGGTTCGTTTCAAGCCCTCTAAGAAGTCCCTTCTGGACCAGTTCCCTCCCAAAAGTCAGCCAGCATCGATGCTAAAGGACGTCTTTACCCAATCCTGGGACTTAAAGCCTGCTAAGGTAAATTTGAAAGAAAATCCTATCTTTTTTTTAAAGCCTGTAGTTAACTCCTCCTCCTTTATGGGCTGCCCTCAAGAAACTCACCTCTTCCAAATTAGAGTTATATTAGAAACACGATTATTATTTAATTAACCTGCATTTGTGTTTATTAACTTATTTTCTAATATTAATCCCTACCTTCAATTGTTTTATTTTATTTTATTTTTCAGACCGATGAGTATGTTTCTCCTTTTCCGAGTGTGCCAGAGCTTCCAGCTCCGAAGGTACCGCCTCAGCTGGAGGGAGTTAAAAAGCCTATTATAGTGCCGGCTGGCTTTGATTTGTCCCGATTGGCTAAGTACAAGGATCCCAACCACTGGCACATCCGTCCCTACATGCGCACTGGCGATCGCATCTAATAGACGTTAAGCAACTATACTTTGATCATCTTAAAAAACACTCAACTACTATCAAGCGTTATACTATTTGATCATCATGATCGATACTCAATTGCTATTATTTCATCACGATCATTATTAAAAAATTGTCGCCAGCGAAATATGTTTGCCGTTACTTTGATTTCTTATTTAACTATCAAAAATAGCTATAGCTAAGGGAAAATGTCTAAAAGGACAGCACTTGTGACAGTGTTGGTCAGTGTTAGAAAAAAAATAAACAAAACAAAGCCGGGCCTCTAAAACTAGTTAAAAACCATAGAATTGTTAATACAATGTCCATGGCAAGTGTGTCCTCGGCCCGCGAGTCGCTCTCCCATGCGATGAACAACCGCTTCCTGCCCAACCTGGAGTACCTGCTGCAGGGATCCATCCTTGACTCCGCCGTGGAGCACTTGATGCACAGGTGCGGAGACTACAGATTACAGAAGCCTATTAACCCCTTTAATTATTCCCTTCAAATGCCCTCACAGACTCAAGGGACTCTGCGACAACGTGGACACCTCGCCGGAGCCCTTCCACGACCTGGAGGTGTGCATGAGCCTGCGGCAGCCGAATGCCAATCAGCCGCTGCTGCTCCGCGTGCGCCGGGCCCTCGGTCGCGATGCGCCCTTCCAGATGCGCTACCTCGGCAATCCCGAGGTGGACCAGCGCCGGCCCACGCTGGTGCGCAGCTGCATGGACTGCGCCTGCACCAACGGCATCCTGGAGTTCCTCACGGAGATGGGCTTCCGCCTGGAGTTCGAGTACATAGCCAAGGGTGAGCATCGTCTTATTTCGCACCCTAAAATATCAGTATTTTGGGCGAAACATGGGAAATAATGGTTTAAAAACAGAATGTGATACCTTGTTGAGCTCGTAATTTAATTCCCTATCGATTGGCATTATAACCTTAAACTCTTAAATTTTTTTAATTTTTTTGCAAAAAATCATAAGCCACCCCCTATCAAAAGTGAAAAAATTTATCAAAAAATAAATTTTTCAAAAAGTGATGGGGATTGTTAGCTTAGGTTGTTAGCTGTTCAAAACAGTCATTCGTTTAACTGTCGGGCTTGATTTCTCCAAATTATGACTCTCAGTTGTAAAATTAAATAAAATTCCAATGGGCCACGTCATCGAATGTAATCCATATTTTCCAGCCTAAAATATCAGTATTTTGGCCGAAACGTGGGAAATAATGGTCTAAAACCAGAGTGTGATACCTTGTTGAGCTCGAAATTTAATTCCCTATCGATTGGCATTATAACCTCAAACTCTTAAATTTTTCAATTTTTTTGCAAAAAAATCATAAGCCACCCCCTATCAAAAGTGAAAAAATTTATCAAAAAATAAATTTTTCAAAAAGTGATGGGGATTGTTAGCTTAGGTTGTTAGCTGTTCAAAACAGTCATTCGTTTAACTGTCGGGCTTGATTTGTCCAAATTATGACTCTCTGTTGTAAAATTAATGAAAATTACAATGGGCCACGTCATCGAATGTAATCCATGTTTTGCAGCCTTATATATCAGTATTTTGGCCGAAACGTGGGAAATAATGGTCTAAAACCAGAGTGTAATACCTTGTTGAGCTCGAAATTTAATTCCCTATCGATTGGCATTATAACCTCAAACTCTTAAATTTTTTCAATTTTTTTGCAAAAAATCATAAGCTACCCCCTATCAAAAGTGAAAAAATTTATCAAAAAATAAATTTTTCAAAAAGTGATGGGGATTGTTAGCTTAGGTTGTTAGCTGTTCAAAACAGTCATTCGTTTAACTGTCGGGCTTGATTTGTCCAAATTATGACTCTCTGTTGTAAAATTAATGAAAATTACAATGGGCCACGTCATCGAATGTAATCCATGTTTTGCAGCCTTATATATCAGTATTTTGGCCGAAACGTGGGAAATAATGGTCTAAAACCAGAGTGTAATACCTTGTTGAGCTCGAAATTTAATTCCCTATCGATTGGCATTATAACCTCAAACTCTTAAATTTTTTAAATTTTTTTGCAAAAAATCATAAGCTACCCCCTATCAAAAGTGAAAAAATTTATCAAAAAATTAATTTTTCCCAAAAGTGATGGGGATTGTTAGCTTAGGTTGTTAGCTGTTCAAAACAGTCATTCGTTTAACTGTCGGGCTTGATTTGTCCAAATTATGACTCTCTGTTGTAAAATTAATGAAAATTGCAATGGGCCACGTCATCGAATGTAATTCTTTTTTTTTCAGCCTTATATATCAGTATTTTGGTCGAAACGTGGGAAATAATGGTCTAAAACCATAGTGTGATACCTTGTTGAGCTCGAGATTTAATTCCCAATCGACTGACATTCAAACCTAGAAATTTAAAATTTTGTCCATTTTTTTGCAAAAAATCATGTTTATCAAAAATGCAAAAATTGGTCAAAAAATTAATTTTTCCCAAAAGTGATGGGGATCGTTAGCTTAGGTTGTTAGCTGTTCAAAACAGTCATTCGTTTAACTGTCAGGCTTGATTTGTCCAAATTATGACTGTCAGTTGTAAAATGATGAAAATTACAATGGGCCACGTCATCGATAATGTTAATCTAAAAAGATTCTTTCGGGGGGACAATATAATTCCCAACTTGTTCTAGCTTAAAATGCATGACCTAGGGGCTATGGTAGCCGATAAATCAGTTGACCGGAAGTGGGTGTGGGTGTTAGTGGTTGTGAAGTGACTTCAGGAGACTCGCATATTGGGATGTCATCTGGATGGAACTGGACTCCAAGATGCAGTGCATCGTAATCCTGTCCAGGTATGTCCCTTAATTAGGTATTTATTTACAAAATGACTTATAAGAAATGCAAAAATTGGTCAAAAAATTAATTTTTCCCAAAAGTGATGGGGATCGTTAGCTTAGGTTGTTAGCTGTTCAAAACAGTCATTCGTTTAACTGTCAGGCTTGATTTGTCCAAATTATGACTGTCAGTTGTAAAATTATGAAAATTACAATGGGCCACGTCATCGATAATGTTAATCTAAAAAGATTCTTTCGGGGGGACAATATAATTCCCAACTTGTTCTAGCTTAAAATGCATGACCTAGGGGCTATGGTAGCCGATAAATCAGTTGACCGGAAGTGGGTGTGGGTGTTAGTGGTTGTGAAGTGACTTCAGGAGACTCGCATATTGGGATGTCATCTGGATGGAACTGGACTCCAAGATGCAGTGCATCGTAATCCTGTCCAGGTATGTCCCTTAATTAGGTATTTATTTACAAAATGACTTATAAGAAATGCAAAAATTGGTCAAAAAATTAATTTTTCCCAAAAGTGATGGGGATCGTTAGCTTAGGTTGTTAGCTGTTCAAAACAGTCATTCGTTTAACTGTCAGGCTTGATTTGTCCAAATTATGACTGTCAGTTGTAAAATGATGAAAATTACAATGGGCCACGTCATCGATAATGTTAATCTAAAAAGATTCTTTCGGGGGGACAATATAATTCCCAACTTGTTCTAGCTTAAAATGCATGACCTAGGGGCTATGGTAGCCGATAAATCAGTTGACCGGAAGTGGGTGTGGGTGTTAGTGGTTGTGAAGTGACTTCAGGAGACTCGCATATTGGGATGTCATCTGGATGGAACTGGACTCAAAGATGCAGTGCATCGTAATCCTGTCCAGGTATGTCCCTTAATTAGGTATTTATTTACAAAATGACTTATAAGAAATGCAAAAATTGGTCAAAAAATTAATTTTTCCCAAAAGTGATGGGGATCGTTAGCTTAGGTTGTTAGCTGTTCAAAACAGTCATTCGTTTAACTGTCAGGCTTGATTTGTCCAAATTATGACTGTCAGTTGTAAAATGATGAAAATTACAATGGGCCACGTCATCGATAATGTTAATCTAAAAAGATTCTTTTGGTGGGACAATATAATTCCCAACTTGTTCTAGCTTAAAATGCATGACCTAGGGGCTATGGTAGCCGATAAATCAGTTGACCGGAAGTGGGTGTGGGTGTTAGTGGTTGTGAAGTGACTTCAGGAGACTCGCATATTGGGATGTCATCTGGATGGAACTGGACTCCAAGATGCAGTGCATCGTAATCCTGTCCAGGTATGTCCCTTAATTAGGTATTTATTTACAAAATGACTTATAAAAAATGTAAAAATTGGTCAAAAAATTAATTTTTAAAAATGATGGGGATTGTTAGCTTAGGTTGTTAGCTGTTCAAAACAGTCGGGCGTTTAATCCATATTTTCCAGCCTAAAATATCAGTGTTTTTGGACGAAGCATGGGAAATAATGGTCTAAAAACAGAGTGTCATACTTTGTTGAGCTCGTAATTGAATTCCCAATCGATTTTAGGCTACATGTTTCGCAAGGGTCGCATGAAGATCACCGTGTCCAAGCTCATCAAAATCGTGCCCGGCAAGCAGCAGGACATGGCCAACGAGCCAATCTCGCAGAGCTACATAGTGGAACTCTCCGTGGTGGCGCCCACGGGACAGGAGAACGTCGGCGAGGAGATGCGGGTGTTCGCCGAGCAGCTGAAGCCCCTCGTTCAGCTCGAGAAGATCGACTACAAGCGGCTGGGCGGCATGCCATAGCTACGGATATGTAATAAAGGTACTCTTCGTATTTCCTCAACAGTTATTTAATCGCTTAAGGATAAGGACATAGAAAAATATACGGACAACAACGAATCTAGCCGGAATGGTTTCTTTACAATACAAATTCATCCTTAGATACCACAGAAGTATTTAATTGCTTACAGATATAACGATAGAAAAATATACATGACAATAGGGCTGCTGATTGGTGGTTAATCCTTGAAGGCCTCGTTCAGGGCCGCCAGATTGCGGTCACTCACGTGGCCCTGGAGATCGCTGCGACCCATCAGCGAGATGACCATCTTGACTGTGCTCCAAATGGACTCGGACATCTGGTTCTGCCCGCTGCTGGTGGCCGCCATCGCCGCATTGGGCAGCTCCCGGGCGGCGTTGGTGTGGGCCTGCATGGTGAGCGCCGTCAGCAGGTGTTCCACCGCCTCCTTGTAGGCCTTTAGGTTCATGCAGCAGACGCCCACGTTGTAGCGCACCCGGATGAAGCCCGGCTGGAGCTGCAGCGCCTGCTGGTAGGCCTCCACCGCCTCCACGGACCGCGAGCCGTTGGCCAGGCTGGCGCCCAGGCGGTTCCACGTCTTGGCATTCTGCGGATCCACCTGCAGTGCGGACTGGTAGCAGTCCACCGCCTTGTCGAACTCCCCGGACAGATTGTAGAGCACGCCGAGGGCCTCCTGGACGTCGGCGTCCACCTGCGCCGGGTTCTGACGCACCGCCTCCAGGTAGATCTGCTGCAGGTCGCGCAGCCTGCTGGGACCAATCAGCGAGGAGGCCAGCGCAGTGCCCTCGTCCTGCAGCTCCGGATGGGCGGCCGCCAGGTGCTGGTACTTGGGGTGCACGGCCAGCCAGCTGCACAGCATGCGCACGGCGTTGTTCTGCAGGCCCTCGTTGGTGTAGCAGACGGCCAGGGCCATCAGGACCTGCTGGTTGTCCGGCTGCAGGTCGTAGGCGCGCCTCAGCGCCGCAATGGCCTGCGGGTCCATCTCGTTCTCCGCCTGCGAGGTGCCCAGCAGCTGCCAGACCTCGGCGCGCTCCGGCTGCTTCTTGGCCGCCACCTCGAAGCAGAGCACCGCGCTGGGAATGTCGCCCTTCGCCAGGTACTCCTTGCCCTTCTCGAACGCGTTCTCCAGCTCGGCCATGGGGTTCTCCTCGGCGAACTCGTACTCCTTGTAGGCGTCCATGTTGTCGTTGTACTCGGACAGCCAGGGGTGCTCGTTCTCGTCGGCCAGCTTCTGCCACTCGTCCTGCAGGCGCTGCCAGAACTTCTCATTGAAGTTGGAGGCGGTCTGCTCCTTCTGCGCGGCGCTGCGCTGGTAGTCGCTGATCCAGTCGTCCAGCGACTCGCCCTGCGGCGCCTGGGGCAGGTTGTCCGTCACGATGGTCTCCATGGCCGAGTCGAAGAAGGGGTCCTGCTGCTGCTGCAGCTGCTGTCCGGCCGTAATGGCCATCAGCGGCTGCCGGTGCAGCGGCCGGAAGTTCTGGCTGCTGATGAGCGGCTCGTCGAAGAACTCCTGGGCGTGCTGCAGGTCCTGCTGCTGCGCCTGCATGTGGATCATCTTGTTGGGCAGGGCGGGGGCCAGGCCGCGGGCAAAGTCCTGGCCCCACTGCTCCGCCTGCAGCTGCTGCATCTGCTGCTGCTGCGGATTGCCGTGGATGTTGATGTCCCGCATCTCCTGCAGCAGGGTGTCCATCTGGAAGGACTGCGGCGGGGCGGCCACCTGGCCCAGGAACTCGTTGATCAGCTGGTCCTCGGGACGGGCGCCCCGCTCGAACTGCCGCTGCACGTAGCCCTCGTCCTTGTGGGCCACATCGCGGGTGAACTGGCCGCCCAGCTGCATCAGCGGATTCACGCCGCCGCAGTCGCCCTCGACCAGCGGGCGGAACGACATGGTGCTCGGAGTGGGGGAGGCTACGTAACTGGCGTAACGGGCGTACAGGTGCAACCGGCGATAAGAGGAGGAGCTCAGAGGTCCACAACAAAGGTCCAAATGTCCACCGTCCGGGGTTAGTGGTGGACAATCGGATAGTCTTGACGGTGCGATAGTTTGCCGATAGTGCCAGTGTTGGCAGGCGCCTCGCTTCCGATATCGATTGGCATTTCAATAGCCGCGCAAAATCCGATCCTCCCGAGAAATCGCAATCCCATGGACTACGACCTGTTCCAGTCGGACGACGACGAGGAGATCCTGACCGCCTTCACCCAGGCCACCGAGCAGCTGCAGCAGGCGGGCCACGATGGGCAAATGCAGACGGACGACGCGGATGAGGAGGAGGAAGTGGACTTCCTGCCGGAATTCAGCTGCACCGGCCGGAACCCACTGAAGAGTCAGTTTCCGGGCGAGGGCTTCCTGCGGAGTGGCTTCGCCCAGCTGGATCCGCCCCGCTGTCGGCTGGAGAACCTCTGCTTCGACTTTGCCCAGGGACAGTTGCTGGTGGCCGCGGTGCGAAGCTACCTCCATGCGGAGGCCTGGTGGGTACCGAGCTCCCTGCCCATCTAACCTAGCCCAGGCCTAACCCACGCTCCATTCCCAGCAAGAACGTGCAGAAGCTCTTTGCGGCCGTGGCCGGTCAGCAGCAGTTGCAGGCCGCCCCATCTGCCGCCCTGAACTCCGGGTGGTTTCGGGTGCGCCAGCAGGTCAGCCACTTCTACCACCTGCTCCTCTGCCTGCGGGAGAACGACCTGCTGGCGGGGGCCCCGCAGTTCCTGGAGGATCTGCGCCAGCTGCTCAACAACCAGCTGGACGCGGAGGCCTGGAAGGTTCTGTACTTCGCGGAGCACAGCAAGGGAAACGAGTGCCAGGCGCCGGCCTACCACCTGTACCACGGCGTCCTGGAGTGGCGCTTCCTGGACCTGCACCTGCTGTACGGCTCTGGCGAGGATCAGGGCTTCCTGGGGCAGCTGGAGCGCACGCTGGACGACCTGGTCGTGTGTGCCGGCCTCCACTACCGGGGCAGACATCGGCCGGAGCTCATCCACGCCTCGCCGTTCATGTGTCGCTGCACCAAGGAGCTGTGGCTGCTGCTGAAGCTCCTCATCCCCCAGTGGCTGGGCGACAGGGACCTGGACTTCTGGACGCTCTTCCACAAGGCCATGCAGAGGCACAGGACCAGCTACTTTCAGGGTGAGCTTGGATCTTCTAGTGGGGTTCTAGTTCTTAAGTTGTGATCTCTCTTCTGCAGGTGAAAGCAGTGCGGTTTCCTTGGCGCACCACGAGTTCTACGCCTGGCTGAGGCTCGGGGTGGCCCGCCTGGAGGAGAACCAGCCGGATGAGGCGCTCTCCCCACCACCGGGCAGCTTCCAGTCCGCCGCTCTGCTCAAGCAGTTCCTGGCCAGCCAGCCGGACGAGCAGCAGCGACGCGTGTACCTCACGCTGCTCGCTCCGCTGCAGCTGCAGCTGGGTCAGCCGGACACGGACGTGCTGTGCCAGCTGTGGGAGTACCTGCACCGCTCCCTCAACTGCAACTTCAGCGCGGGCGCCGAGCTGGACCAGCTGCCGCTCACCTGCCCCACGGGGGCTGCCTACGTCGAGCGCTACGGCAGGCTGCTGGCCAAGTGCCAGCTGGAGGACCTGAATCTCAGCAGCTTCACCATGTACGCCTGGCTGCTGGGCAGGACCCTGAAGCTCCTGCCCTCGCAGGGCCGCAGCAACCAGCGCCAGAAGCTGCTCGGCCGCATCTTCAGCAAGTTCAGCGCCGCCAAGCTCTTGGCTCTCAACGAGCCGGGCATCCACCATGTGATCGAGCTCTTCCTGTGCCTCCTGCTCTCCCACGAGGATCTCGGCGAGCTGGCGCCCAAGCTGCGTGAGATGCTGCTCTGCCTGGCCCTGGATAAGCTGCCTCCTGCGCGGAGGATTCTGGTGGCCAAGGGCCACATGGCCCTGCTCCTCCTGCACGCCCAGCATCGCCTGTCCATGGAGGACTATGTGGGCAAGCTGCTCGGCCAGTTGGCCGCCATTCGGAACGATGTGGAGGTGGGCGCCATCTACGTGAGCAGCCTGCAGGCCGTCTTCGAGCTGGCGGATGACTTCAAGCGCGGCGAGCAGCAGCTCCTGGGCCCCTGGCTGGCGCACTTCGTGGAGAAGAGTGGCCAGGCCTCGCAGGACCGCGTGTGGCAGGCCATTCACCATCTAATCCTGCGCCTCGGCGAGCCGAGAGCAGCCGCAGGCAATGCCAGTGGCATCAGGGAGGCCCTCCAGCAGCACATTCTGCCCCTGCTGAGGACGCAGTACGTCAGTGGCCACAGCGCATGGCTCCCCAAGCTGGCCGCCAGCTTTGTGGCGCTGGACAAGGAGGGCGACAAGCTGCTGCTGGGCTTCCTGCAGGGACCAGAGCCCCTCAACATGGCCGCTTCGGCCCAGCTGATGCTCCAGGTGCTGGAAGACGACGGCCGGCCTGCGAACTCCACGATCCTGCAGGTGTGGGTCAAGTCCCTGGTTCTCCTCAACGCGCAGCACGAGTCTGTGGTGGCCCTAACCCGCCATGTCACCCGGCTGGAGGAGTTCCGGCAGCTGGCCATCGATCCCGCCTCCTTGGAAGGCGGTCGCGAGCCGCTCTGCGGCTTCTTCGGCGCCCTGGGAAGGCGGGCCCAGCAGGAGGAGGCTGCGGCCCACGTGCGGATGCAGCTGAGCCACAAGCTGCACGCCTACGTGAGTCACTTCGAGCTGTGGCTGCCGCCGGAGCGGCTGCGCTCGGAGCTGGGCGCCCGCTTCTACAGCTTCCTGGCCATCGTCATCTACAACTGCCCCACGCTGGCGTACGTGCGCTCCAAGCCCACCTGCTTCTTCCACCTGGCCATGGTGCGCTTCCTGCTCACCACCCAGCTGCAGGCGGGCGTTCCGCCCGAGGGCCGCCTGCCGCAGATGGTGCACAAGATATTCCCCGTGCTGCTGCAGGGCATCGGCCGGCTGCCCTACCGCACGGACACCTACGTGGCCAGGACCCTGGAGCAGCTGGTCCAGCACTGGACGCCGCACTTTGGCTTCTCGCCCAGCGCCAAGCTGGTGGCCCGTCCGTTTGCCACGCTCCTCCAGGCGGACGTGGACGGCGAGCTGGCGCAGTGCGTGCTCCGGCTGCTGGTCACCCAGCATCTGGTCGTGCAGCGACGCAAGGCGGGCCAGCAGGCGGGCCTGGTCATCACCATCGTGCAGCAGCTCATCGAGGGCACGGCCAGGGAGCAGCAGCAGCAGCTGCTGACCCTCCTGCGCGGCGTGCACATTCCGCTGCTGGAACATGTGATGTTCGTGGACGAACTGGACTTGAGTCGCGGCCAGGTGTTTGGGCTCTATGGAGTGCTCGTCGCCCACGAGGCGTACAGGCACTCGCAGGCCGTGCGGGACCTGTGCTCCCAGCACCTGCGAGCGCTGGCCGAGAAGCACCTGGCCCACTGCACCTACTTCTACTTCCAGATGCTCATCAAACTGGCGGAGCTGGCGCCGGATCTTGTTTCTCCACTCCTGCCCTTCGTGAGGCAGCAGGCGCAGCAGGTGGAGCTGAAGCGCGGCGCAGGCGAGGATGTGGGCATACGCAAGTGCCTGCAGCGACTCCAGAAGGTCTTAGGTCTAGATAGTTAATAAAAAATATGCTTACATTGTTTTGATCGAGATATCTTTCTATTCATATTGAGTAATTGAGTTGTAAATCCTTGTGTAAATCAAGAAACCCTTTTTTAATGTTTGGCATTCTATAAAAAATGTTATTACTTCAGTCGGAAGGCGATCCTCCTCCCCTGGAGATTGACTCTAACATGCGGCAATACTTTACATGATCATCTATACAAATACACCATCTGAGCTTACGGATTTACTTTAAGGCCTGGCAATAAATACACTAGGATGCCTCTCATCCTGGCAGTTTGGAGGGCAGTTTCAGGAGACTCTACACCACATTCTTGGCCTCCCGCGGGATGCGGTTCGTGAGCAGGGCGGCGGGCATGAAGCCCGAGTCGCCCAGGTACTTGATGGACACGTTGCCCGACGGACTGATGGTCAGCCAGGTGATGGAGGCGTGGTTGATGCTGATGCGCAGCCAGCCCTCGGCGGGGAACTGGAGGGCGCGGCAGACGAAGTAGCGGATCACGTTGCCGTGGCCCACGATCAGCGTGTGGCTCTCCTTCTCCTGGTCGGGGTAGGCGCGGTGGAAGTAGCGCCGGAAGGCGGCCTCGATGCGCGATCCGTCGCGGAGGAACTGCTGCAGAGAAAGGGGAGCTGGTAATCGGATGGGATTTGCAACGACGGTTGCCGACTTACAGATGCCTCCGGCTTCCAGTGGCCCACCGGCGGCTGGGGCGGAATGGGCGCCCCCTCGCGCAGGAAGGCGCAGTTGACCACCTTCTCCTTGTCGAAGTCGATCTGCTGCAGGATGATGTCCGAGGTCTCCTGGGCCCGCACCATGGTGGAGGCCACCACCTTGTCCCACTTGATGCCCAGCTCGCTGAGCCGCTTGCCGGTGAACTCCGCCTGCTTGCGGCCGCGCTCGGTGAGGTGGTGCGTGTCGTCCGAGTCGCCCGCGTCCAGGTACTCGCCGTGCCGCACCAGGATGATGTGGCGCGGCTTCTTGGCCTTGGCCTTCTCCAGCTCCGCGTTGAAGCGGTTCTCCTCCTCCGGCTGGCCGTTGCGCAGCGGGCGGACCAGCGCCCGCGGCTCCCGGCAGTCCCAGTTGGAGTCCCAGAGGGCCCACGGGTCCACCGGCTTGTCGCTGTGCGTCCACGAGTTCTGCACCGCCGCCTGGGGGTCGCGCAGCCGCTGCAGGTAGTAGGCCGCCAGGCCGGCGCCTGTGCCGCACACGAAGCTGGTCAACTTGCGCATCTTGTATCTTAATTCCTCTAAAATTATTTGTTGTCCCGCTGAGTGGGAAGTGCGGTATTTAAATACTGCCTCTAACCCTAGTATTTAAATGCTACTATCGATTACCTTGCGGCGGCCTTTGGTATTTTTATTTATCGCTGGTGCTGGGGCAATCGATAAGCGAAACGCCCGAAAATTGCAATTTTTTCATTTCACACACACACACTCGCGACACACACGCCAGCAGCGCAACGAAGGACCCAAAAAGGCCGCAGAAAAACGCCCAGCAAAGCCGAGGGTTACGGAAAAGGATCTAAGGTGACCACCAGGACCGCCCACCAGGAGCCACCACTGCGGGAAAAGCCAAACATTCCAGTTCCAGCGGTGCAGGAAGAAGAAGCAGAAGCAGCAGAGGAGAGGAAGAAGCCGATTCGTTTCGATTCGACGACGTTTATCAATTATGAATTTCCTGGGTTTCGGCCAGTCAGCGGACATTGAGATAGTCTTCGATGGGGCTGAGCACAAGACGGCGGAGGTCAAGGGGGAGGACGGCAAGGTGGAGAAGATGCTGCTCTTCTACGACGGCGAGACGGTGTCCGGCAAGGTGGGAGTAGCCCCGATAAACAGATAGACCGATATATATATCCACCCCCTTATTTTGATTTATTTTGATCAATTTCGATTTAATTTCGATTTCCCACCCAGGTGAACGTGACCCTCAAGAAGCCGGGCAGCAAGCTGGAGCACCAGGGCATCAAGATCGAGTTCATCGGCCAGATCGAGCTCTTCTACGACCGGGGCAACCACCACGAGTTCAAGTGCCTGGCCAAGGCGCTGGCCCGGCCCGGCGACCTCATCCAGAACAACAGCTACCCCTTCGACTTCCCCAACGTGGAGAAGCAGTTCGAGGTGTACGCCGGCTCGAACGTGCGGCTGCGCTACTTCCTGCGCGCCACCATCGTGCGCCGCATCAGCGACATCACCAAGGAGGTGGACATCGCCGTGCACACGCTGTGCAGCTACCCGGAGATGAACAACCCCATCAAGATGGAGGTGGGCATCGAGGACTGCCTGCACATCGAGTTCGAGTACAACAAGAGCAAGTACCACCTGCGGGACACGATCATCGGCAAGATCTACTTCCTGCTGGTGCGCATCAAGATCAAGCACATGGAGATCGCGATCATCAAGCGCGAGAGCACGGGCACGGGGCCCACGATGTTCAACGAGAACGAGACGATCGCCAAGTACGAGATCATGGACGGGGCGCCCGTCAAGGGCGAGAGCATACCCATCCGGGTCTTCCTGGCCGGCTACAACCTCACGCCCACCATGCGGGACATCAACAAGAAGTTCTCGGTCAAGTACTTCCTCAACCTGGTGCTGATGGACACCGAGGACCGGCGCTACTTCAAGCAGCAGGAGATCACGCTCTGGCGCAAGGCGGACATTCCCGCGCTACCACGGCGCCCAGCAGCAGCAGCAGCAACACCAGCACCAACAGCACCAGCACGTCCCGCTGCACGCGCCGCCGCACCTGGTCAGCGGCCCGGCGGCGCCCACGGTGGCCCACTCGCTGATCAGCTCCAGCACGGACAGCGGCGACGTGGGCGGAGCTCCGGGCACCGCCGGCTCCGAGTCCAAGATGGGCCTGTTCACCCGGGAGAGCCCCAACCAGGAGTTCAGCCAGCAGCAGCTGGACTCGCCACCGCTGACGCCCACGCCCGCGACGGTTCCCGCTTCAGCGGCAGTTCCTGCACCCACATCGGCCTCATCCGCTCCAGAGCCGGCTCCCGAGCGGGGCATGGGCGATGGAGCCGCGGCGGCCACCACAAGTGCCTCGCCCGTCGCCATGCTCTCCAGCTCGCCGCCGCCGCTGCTGCCCGCGTCGCCGCTGTCCCGTTCCGACGGCGACTCGTCGGAGCAGCAGGTGCTCCAGCCGGAGGAGGAGGCTGGGGAGGCGAAAAAGAGCAGCGTGTCGCCGCTGGCCGCCGATTGAGTGGGCGGCTGGGCAGGATCAGGATCAGCAGCAGCAGCAAGCGGAACTATTACGCATATAATCGTATACAGCAGCAGGAGGGCGGAGGAGCGGAGCAGCAGCAGCAGCAACAAATATGCATATATCTATTTTTTTAACGTTAATTTAAAATTGTTACAAATGTTTTATTGAGGTTATGCGCGTCATTTACCAAAAGCAAGCAAAACGCATATGATAGTAACGAGAAAACAAAACGAAACTTAGGACAAATGAGGAGAGGCGACCTCGTAGCTATAGCCAATCTCTGGGCAAGGAGATGGTGACGCAAATCCCAATCCCAATCCTAACCCTCCATCCCCCAAAAACTAGTTAAACCCCCTAGTATTCCGATGACCATTCCCTGTATCCCTGGGGCGTTTGGAAAATATGATTTTTCAATTTGAAAAATGTTGAAATTGCTTTCTAAAAGTGAGAATAGAGTCCCTGAAATCGAAATCAAAGTGTGCATTAAACTAAACCAACTCCAATACAGATAACAGATGAAGCAACAAGACAAAACACCCATTAAGTAATAAAGTTTTAGTCTATAGCGAACTAGCGAGTCGGTGAAGCTGGGAAGGATCTCTGACCTGGTCTCCGGAGGATCGGAAGTGGAAGTGGAAGTGGAAGCGACGAAACATGTTACATGCCTTGCATATGTACATAACAGTTCATAAACATAATATACACGAAATATTAATATATATACATACACTTAGAAACGCAATTAAACGAATAAAAGCGATGCGAGCGCCAAACACGAAACAAACTGGGATAATTCAGCTCAATTGAATACAGGAAATAGTAGTAGGATATCCTACACTATTATTTAAAAACAAATCTAAACAACAAGAGCTTTAAACTGATAAACATATGGAGATGAACATATCAAGGATTAGATATTCAACAAGTGACTGAGCAGCGGGCGTTACATAATTTCCATAAAATCTATATTTATTGTACAAGTAACAAGGCTTCAACAGACGAAGCCGGCTAGTCCCAGGCCTCCTTGATCTTCAGCTGGCTCAGCCGTTCCTCGATGGTCACGTGCGGCTTCATCTTGCGCAGCGTCTGCTCGTCCGTCCACTTGGCCACCAGCTTCTCGCGCTTCTGCAGCTCCTTGGCGTGACCGGATGACTGTTCCTAAAGGGCGGAGGCAGTGGTTAGTTCGGTTAATCCGCGGATATCTCCAGACAACTCACCAGGGTCAAGTAGGGGTGCCGGAGGAGCAGCATCATTTGCTCCTGGCGCTCGTACTCGCGGGTCAGGGTGTCCATCGCCCGCTGGCTCACCGGCTTCACCAGGCGCCGCTTGCCGCGGAATATGTGGCCCGGCACGGTCTTCTTGAACAGGTTGATCAGCGTCAGGTGCATTTTTCGGTAAATTTAATTTATAAATAGTGTAAATAAAATATGTAACGCCTATCGGGGCCTATCGTTATTCGATAGCAGGAACCTATCGACAGTGTGGCCACTCGATAGACCGACCAAAATCACGCCTTGTGCTATCGATAACGAGTTGACCGCATGTTTTCGGTGCGGTTGAATTTGTAAATAATAAAGTTAATAACAATAAGCGGATACAGCGGATAATGGCAGACGCCGTGGAAGCGCTGTTCATCAGCACGACCAGCGAGGACAACACGACGTGCAGCGTGCAGGACCTGCGCACGGGCACCGACCTGTGGCGCTACAAGGGCGGCGGATGCGCCCAGCACCACGGCCTGGAGATGATCCGGCTGAACTACGTGTTCGCGGCCAACGCGTCGAAGCCCCTGCTGCACGTGTGGCCCATCAACAAGCAGGAGCAGCTGGCGGGCCTGCGCTTCGTGGTGCCCGGCAGGGTGAACGCGCTGGCCCTGACGCCCGACGGCAACTTCCTGGCGGCCGGCATCCAGGAGAACATCTACCTGTGGCACCTCAACTCCGGCCGCATGCTGAACACCCTGGCCAAGCACTACCAGCCGGTGACCTGCCTGCGCTTCACGGACAACGGCGAGCACTTCGTCAGCGGCGGCAAGGACGGCTCCGTGCTCGTCTGGGACCTGACCTTCGCGGCCGCCCCGCTGGACACCGGCGGCGGCAAGGACAGCACCGACCCGCTCTACAGCTTCAACGACCACGGCCTGGCCGTGACCGACCTCTACTCGGGCATCGGCGGCATCCGCTCCTACCTGTACACCGTCTCGCTGGACCGCTGCTGCAAAGTCTACGACCTGTGCGGCGGCGTCCTGCTGCTCAGCGTCGTCTTCCCGGTGGCCCTGCACAGCGTGATCGTCGACAAGATGGAGACCCAGGTGTTCGTGGGCTCCGGCGACGGCCAGGTGTTCGTCTTCCACATGGAGAAGGCGCCGCGCATGAAGGAGTACCACCTGGAGGAGGAGGACGTCCAGGCCTTCGTGGGCCACACCGCCGGGCGGGCCATCACCTGCCTGGCCCTGAACATGAGCGCCACGGCGCTCGTCTCCGGCGGCGAGGACAACCAGGTGTGCGTCTGGGACGTCGGCAGCCGGCAGCTGGTCAAGAGCCTGCCGCAGAACGGCTCGGTGAGCAACCTGCGCGTCCGCCTGCTCAGTCCCGCCGTCTTCCTGCCCGAGCACAAGCAGCCGCAGCTCTTCGCCGACAGCCTGAAGCGGATGATCAGTCCGCCGGACGAGAACGACGGCATCGAGCTGCTGATGGATGGGGATGGGGAGACGGGACTGAAGACACCAGAGATAGACTGCACCATCAGTTATCCGGGAACGGATGCGGAGATATTGCGCCAGCTGCTGGTGTCCCTGAGCACGCGGGAGAAGGAGGAGGACGAGGAGGATGAGGCTGAGGAAGCCGAGGAAGTGGAATCCGCAGCGGAGGAAGCGCAATCCGAAGCCGAGGAAATGGAGGAAGTGGAATCCGCATCAGGGGAAGAGGATGCAGATGAGGATGAGCCAAGCGCCTCCAGTACAAACGGCGTGGAGGTGGAGAAGCTGCTGGCGGAGAACGCCCGCCTGAAGGAGGAGTCCAAGCGCATGTTCGAGATCATGTTCAAGTACATCTCCAGCGATCCCAGCGCCCTGGGCGAGATCCTGGCGGAGAAGGAGAAGCCGAAGCGCAAGAAGCCGCGCCAGAACCAGTGAACCGTGTGGATTTGCCTTCAATTACGTTTACTTAGGTTTAGAATCAATAATACATGATAATAGAAAAAACAAAACACAGATTAAAAACGATAGGGGTGATTGAAACAACAACTGGTCGTAGGTGCCTCTACTTGGAGGCATTCCCGTCGGCCGACTGGCCGTCCATGTTGTCGTCGGCCGACTCCGGAGCCTGGTCCTTCTCCTCGGCGAGCAGGCGGCGGATCTCCCGGTTCGAGTTGAGCAGCTCCCGCAGCTGCGACATGATGTCGTCCGTGCGCTGCTCCACGGCGTCCAGGGCGCAGCTGAGGGCGTCCAGGCTGTTGTTCACGTCCTCCATCTCTGCAGGGGTCATTATCAATTAGTTATCCGCTGGCAATCCCCACCAGAATCGGTGGGAGGGCGAGACTCACCTCGGAGGTCCGCCTCCTGGACATTGGCGCTGCCTGAGTCCCCGGACGACGAGGGGTCGTGGTTGTTTTTGGGTGACATTTTCCCAGCACTTTTCCCCGATTTTCCCGTTTGTTTTTTCAATTGGATTTATTGTCACGGGATGGCTGTAAAAGCGCTAGGGATGGTCGATAGTTGCGCAATAGGGGTATTCCTGAAATACAAGGGCTTTTGCCTATCGAAGATTGCCCATCTCTAATAAGCTCGGCTTAGTAACGGTTCTTTCCCATGTATGCTGCTGGTAGGGCTTTTGCCTATCGAGGATTGCCCATCCCTAATAAGCTCGGCTTAGTAACGGTTCTTTCCCGTGTATGCTGCTGGAAGGGCCGCCATCTTGAAAAAGCACCGTTATGTGGGAATTATCAGCAGCGACCTTCTACTATTCCTGTGCGCCTGGTATCAAAAATCAGAAAATTAGCCATGAAATGTCTAAGTTGGGGATTACGGTAAATTTCCAACCAAATTTGGTCCGAGATTTGCCAAAAAATTACTAGATTGATAGAAAAAATCCAAAAAAAATCGCAAAAAAATGATAAATTAATAGAAAAAATTCAGAAAAAATGGCAAATGACCGAGAAAAAAATTGAAAAATACAAAAGTGATTCTTAAATTTCAGAAAAAACAAAAACCTGGAAATTATTTTTTAATGAAAATCCACGAATGCCCATAATATTTATATTTAGTCTGTGTTACAGTGTTCCAGCCGGTCACACTAGCGAACTGACATAACATAGTATTATCGATAATAATAATAAACCGAAAGATGAACAAATGCCTTAGGCACCAGCCCCGGATACTGCTCTCCCAGCTCGGCGTGAGTCATTGGCCAACCCGGCGGATACTTGATCTCTCAATTCTGAATTCGCACAGCTCCCGCGGTTCTATGCCGCCGTCCAGGCGGAGCCACCACAGAAGAAGCCCGCTCCCAGGGTGGGACTGGCCCACAGGCCCGATCCCAAGTCGGTGAAGTGCGACTACATTGGGCCGCCGGACGCGGAGTCCAACCTGCGGCCATATGTGCGGCACTACGACGACGAGGAGACGCGGCTGGCGAGGAGCCTGCGGCTCAAGCGGATCGAGGTGGAGGCCTGGAACACGGACTTCTGGACGCGGCACAACAGGCGCTTCTACGAGGTGAGTGCATGCGCCGTCGCCGTCTCTTTCTCCCACCCCTAATGCCATCTCTTTCGCTTTCGCTCGCTCAACAGGAGAAGGAGGACTTCATGCGGCTGCACAGGGAGAGCGGGAGCAGCGAGGTCTCCGCGGACCAGATGAGCCACTTCTACAAGGCGTTCCTCGACAAGAACTGGCGCATCCACATGATGTACAATATCTCGTGGTACCTCAAGAACCTCGACATCCTCACCCTGGCCGCCGGAGTCCAGCTGCAGCGGCTCCTCGCGCTGGCCAAGCGGCGGAGGTCCACGTAGATGCAAAATTCCTAGTCAAATCCCTTTACTTTGCCATGACTCGAAATAAAAGATCGTGTGTGTAAAATGTGGTGGCATAAAATTTACTTAACTAGTAAGGGGATGAAAAATACACGTTGCTCGGAGTTGGTTAATGTACTTAAAGGTATTGCAAAACTATTTAAAAAAAATAAAATAAGAGTAGGTGTTTGTATCCTTATCAAGTGTATATATTCAAAGAAGGTTGCACATGTTGCACGTGGGGCATGTTTGCATGCAAAGTATGCGAATATTGAAAGATAGCCACTATAACTATGATAATAGTAGTGTAATGGTAAATGGTAAATGGTAAATGGTAAACAGAGGGGAAGGCACACACGCATAAAGTCAAGTTTTTGGGTTTTCCATCGGCTGTGGATGTGGAGATGGTGCTAAAAAAAAAATAAAAATAAGAAGCTCAGGGGTCAAAGGTCAGGGGTCAGATGTACATACATTACAGGGGGCGTGGTCATGTCCTAGCATTAACATTTATATTTATATTCTCTCTATATAGAAACGATAGCAATCATTCAATTGAAACTATGAAACACTCTCCACTTGCTCCACTTTCCACTTACGGCGATATATGTATATGGGATACGAATTAGCTACAGTGGGCACATATACATAACTTACAAGGTTCTATGCTCGCATATAGCATAATATAATTGTATATATGTACACGGTCTATACTGCCTATCTGCTTATCTGTTATCTGCTATCTGCTATCTGCTTATCTGCCTAGCGAATCTATCTATTTGATCAGATACAACAATTCCTATTCCTGTTCACTGGGAGCGGCGCGCGCGTCGCCGCCTCTTGCGCTTCCTTTGGTCCTTCGTAGGCGGAGGAGGCGGATCCCGACTCTAGTTCATCCACTTGCGGCAGTTGGGCGCCCCGCAGGCGCACGGTATCTTGTGCGACTCGTCCTCGATATCGAACTTGTAGTCGTAGGACAGCTGGGGGGCAAAACGGAAAAGAGATTAGTATCGTATCTCTTGTACTTTGCCAAACCAAACACCGACCTCCTCGCCGCGGTAGATCTTCCGCTTGGCGAATATGATGATCCGCACGTCGCGATCGACCTCCACGATCTCCGTCACACAATTGGGATTGCACGAGTGGTTGATGTAGCGCGCCAGGCCACCGCTCAGAGTGGCGTCCACCACGCGGTCCTCGTCGAGCCGGAACATGTAGATGCCGCGGTTCTGTGGAAGGTGACAGGTGTTAGTCAGGTACAAGTAAAAGTTGGAAAAGAGATCTACAAACTAGTGTTGGGTTGCTCATAAGTGAGCGAACAAAAAAGAGTTGCTCACTAAACTGAGTGAATTTGTTCTTTATTGTTCACTTGTTCATTTTTGCTTGCTCTCCTGCTGTTTTTGGCTCAAAAAGTATATTTTTTTTACTTTTAGGATGCATTTTTCATACGATTTTACAGACAATGAACTGTTTTCTGAGGGCCAGTGAAAAAGTTAAGGACAGAACAAGTGAGCCAGCGAACAAGTGAGCAAATGAGTTCATTGGAACAAGAACAAGACCAAGTGAACATGTTCACCCAAATGAGCAGTTTTTAGCCAACTCTACTAGAAACCCACCTTGGACTCGTACTGCTTCTCGCGTATCTCGGAGACCTCGGTGCGGATGACCTCGCCAATGTACTCGATGATCATGGTGTGCTTCTCAATGTCCCGGGCGGCATACAGGCCCAGTCCCTGGATCTTGGACCTGGTGGATAGATAGATAGGCTTTAGAAACAAGGTTTAGGCACACAATTAGATCCCACTGACCTCGCCAGGTACACGTTGTTGCGCCACTCCTGCTTCATCTTCTTGTACTGGGAGCTCTTCGAGTGGACGAACTGCTTGCTGTAGGGACAGGCCACCTCGCCGGCGATGGCCGCCGAGTTGGCCATCCGCTGGGTGCTGCAGCTGCCGGCGGTGCGCTGGGTGTGCGGCTTGCGCCAGACGAGCAGCTGGCGCTGCTTGGGCTCGGTGCGCGCGGCCCCCGACGGGTTGATGGCCAGCGGGAACTCGAGCAGCGGGTTGCGGCCGTACTTGAAGCGGTAGTCGGTGAGCGTCTCGATGCCCGGCAGGCTCTCCAGGATGCGCACGATGGCCGGCTCCGTGAGCCCGAAGAGGTCCTCGCCGCTGATGTGCTGCGGGAAGAGCTGCAGCCACTTGTGCGCCCTGCGCAGCCGCGTGATCGGCTGCAGGATCTGCTGCCACACCGCCGAGGGCGAGCTGTCGCGGAACTCGCGCTCCGGCTCCCTGTCGCCGGCGTCCTGCACCAGGATGCGGAACTCGGGCCTGCAGCCGGCCTCGGCGATGCTGCAGATGTAGCGGCACCTGCGATTCGGACGCAGCACGCACCAGTAGTAGCGACTCTGCGGGGGGAAACGAAGATCTTAGTGTCTGGAAGCTCAGCAGGCTCTTCGGAATACTCACCACCTTGTAGCCGATGGGGTAGATGTAGTGCGGCGTGTGGAAGGCCTCCAGCTGGTGCGGCAGCAGCTGGCCCACGTTCAGGAACGTCATGTTGCCCACGCGCAGCAGGTTGCTCAGCTCCGAGTAGTGCATCACAGTGGCCACCTGGCGGTTCTCGTCGCGATCCACGAACACGCGGCGGTGGACGACCAGCGAGCTCAGTTCGTTCTCCGCCAGAGCAGCAGAGCCTGGCGCACCTGCTCCTCCTGCTCCTGCTGCTCCTCCGCCTGGTGGAGCATGCCCGTGGGCGCTGCAGTGCACCGACTTGTTCTTGTAGAAGACGCACTCCTCGCGAATGGCGCACGGCAGGTGGTACAGGCTGTTGCAGCGCGACTTGAAGCACTTGATGGTGGCGCCCAGTTGGTGGCAGGCGCTGCACGCCTGGTTGAGACCCGCCTGCAGGGCCGTCTGGAAGTTCATCAGGGCCCCGGAGACGGTCTCGTAGACGCCGTTGGACCACAGGGCGCAGTTGAGGTGCACCTGGAGGGGAAATGGTTAATTAGCCGGGATATATACCAGTAAGGGGTTATATACAGTTGTAGTAGACGAAAAAATCGAATTTTTTATTGCATAGTCTTTAAGTATATACTGTTGAGAATGCTCCTACAAAAATTCATAACGATCGGAGCATTAGAACCGAAGTTGTAGGTAATTATAGCGCGCTATCGTGCACATCGGCCGGTCTCAGAATCTTGTTTTTTCGAAATTACCTTTGCGGTGGACACGATTACTAAAAAAACTATTATTTATTATAATAATAGCTAGTCCTTGGACGAAGGATTTTTATTTTTTTTGAAAACTTCCCTTTTTAGAGCATAAAAATCGAAAATCGTACCTTGAAAAAGTAAATTTTTTGTTAAAACCGTCGAAATTTTTTTTAAATCAATATTTAATATTTTTTGTATGAAAAAATTGTAATAAGTGCCCAGAAACATTTACTAAACAACGCCGGCAAAACATTTTTAATAAATACTTTTTATGGTGTCAAAAAAAAACCGATAAAATTTCCTTTTTTTTCCGCGGTACAACTGTATATAACCCTTTAAAGCCTGGATAACTCACCCATTTATCCACATCAAAGTTGAGCAGTCGCGAGGGTCCGTCCGCCTGGCCGTCGCCCCGCTGATTGCAGAACACGCACTGCCTGGTGTCCTCCAGCTGCAGTCCACTGGCCTCCGTTTCCCAGACAGTGTTGTTGGTTCCCGCTGTTCCCGCTCCTCCTCCTCCTGCTCCGTCTGCAAACTCCAGCTTGACGGGCGAGTCCGTGGCAAAGCAGTCGGCACTGAAGCACTTGACGATGCACTTGCGCTGCACGGGGAGATTGGCGGTGGGCTGCGCCTGGTCCGCCTCGTCCTCCGGCTCCTGTTTGACCACCGTTTCCGCGAGTGCTGAGGAGATGGAGCCGCTGCCGGTGGGGGAGTCACCGGTGGACACAGAAGGCGCTGCAGTGGAACCTCCCGCCGGCTGGAGCAGCAGACTGGCCGCCTCCTCCTTGCCGCCGCTCCACTTGAATCCCGCAAAGCAGGCGCGGTCGCAGAAGTAGACGAACGGCGGGGCAGCCGCCTTGCGGGGCAGCAGGTCCATCAGCTGGGCCAGCCGGGGCAGCTGCTCCTCCAGCGCGGGCACACTGTGCCGCGGAACACGCAGCCCGGTGGCGGGGACCACCTTCCCGCAGCTGCGGCACAGCTTCCGGCGCCCGTCGAGGATCTTGCGCAGGTGGCCGTGGCTCACGGCGATCGGCGGGCGGCGCTTCTCCTGGTCACGGTCCGGGAACTGCTCCTCCGGCTTGTCGCCCGCCTTCTCCTCGAGGATCTTGCACGTGAGCGCGGGCGCCAGGTGCAGCAGGTTGGCCAGATCCCGCAGCACGCCGGCTATGTTCTCCGAGGAGGAGGCGGGCAGTGCGAGTATCACGTTCTGGTTCTTCTGCTGGTAGTTGTTGTTGTTGTTGTTGCTGGCCAAGGAGCCCAGGGCCTCCAGCTGCTGGGCCTTGCGCAGCTCCTCGCCGCAGGATCGCAGCAACGGCGACACGGGCACCCGCATGGTCAGCGGGTCCTCCGGGCAGCGCCACCGGCGACATGCGTCCGTGGCAGCGGCTGTTCCCGTTGAGCAGGATCAATCCCGGGTAGCGGGTGAGCCGCGGGAAGGCCGCCCACGCGGCCACGCCCTCGCCCTCGACCAGATCGACGGTCTCCAGGTTGCAGTCCTTGACGGCGCCGATGTGCCGCTGCAGGCGCTCCCGCGAATTGCGCTCCATGTGCGTGGAGAACTCCTGGTCGTAGAAGTCGTTCTGGATGCTGGACAGCGGCAGCAGCTTCTCGGCATCGACGGAGGGCGAGGGTGGGCGCGATGATCCGCCCACCAGACCTCCGCTGCCGCCGAAGCGCTCGCTGTCGTACAGCGAGGGAATCCCCGGCAGACGCACGCGTCCAAAGCGCCCGAGGATGGCGCCGTCGCAGTCCTCCAGACCCTCCAGGTGCCTGCTCAGCGGCAGCCTGGCTCCTCCCTTCAGTTTGCCACCAGCTGATGCTGCTCCTCCTCCTCCAGAAGATGAGGGCGAACCACCGGCGGAAGCGGAGGCGGAGGCCTCGTTGCTCCCGATGAGAAAGTGAAAGTTGCGGTTGAGATGCGGTTCCAGCACCTGGAGCGGCTGCATCTGGCGGATGTGCGTAAGCAGCTTTTCGGTAAATGCATCGTGATCCTCCTCCACCTTGGAGAACTTGCGCACGCGCTTCTTGAGCATGGGCGAGGAGCTGCCTCCCAGCGCAACGCCTCCTTGTCCTCCGTGTCCGCCGCTGATCACTGGAGCTGCGCCCTGGATGTACTGCGCTCCCGGCGGCATTCCCGCCAGCTGGACCATTGCTCCCGCCGGCAGTGCGCCCGTCAGATCCTTGAGAGCGCCCGCTGCTCCCGCTCCTCCAGCTCCTCCCGCTCCGGCATTCAGATTCGTGCGCCGCGGCTTCTGAACCTCGCGTTTGCGGCGCTTTCTTTGGTCACCCGCCTTGGGCTCCATGGTGGGAGGATGGGTTTGGGGATGGGTTAGCTGATGGGTTTGCTGATGGGTCTGTTGATGGGTTTGCTGGTGGGGAAGGGGATGATGTCCAGGCATTGCCACCGAGGGAACCGAGGGAGCCTGCTGCTGGTGAAGATGCTGCACCTGCAGATGCATTTGTGCCGGCATCTGGTTCGCGATCTGGCCAGGGATCTGTCCAGGAATCTGTCCCGGGATCTGCCCCTGCATGGCCGCCTGCATCTGCGCCTGCATCTGCACCTGCCCCTGGCTTTGGGCTTGAATGGGTTGTGGGGTCTGTGCCTCGGACTTCTTCACATAGCTGCCCATCGCCGAGATGAGCTGCACCTTCTCCGGAGCAGCTTGTCCCGTTGGGGTGACCGGCAGCGAGGCCATCTCCAGCTGCTTCTCGTCCAGCTGCGGATGCATGGGCAGCTTGCGCTTCTGGGCCTCGCCTGAAGGCTTGAAGGGAATCTTGGTGGCTGTGGCTGTGGCTGCTCCTCCCTCGATGTGGTTGCTGTTGCTCCAGGTTGCGCCACTCCCTGCTCCGGATGGGGAGGCATCTCCGCCTGCTCCGGCAGCGACTCCTCGCCCTGCTCCATGGGCAGCGACATGGCCACCGCCTTGGGCTTCGTCTGCAGCTCCTTGGGCGCCGCCTGCTTGGTGGCTATGGAGATGGTCACGTTCGAGACGGGGGCGGTGGCCAGTTCGTAGGGCGGCGGAGGCAGCGGCGGAGGCAGCAGCTCGGCAACTGGCGGCTTGGCAGTGGCCTCCGTCGGGGGTTTACTCGATGCCACGGGGCCCGAGATGAACGACGTTTCCTTGGACACAATCTGCACGGTCTGCTTGACTTGGAGGGGCTGCATCTGTTGCTGCGGAGGAGGAGGTGGTGGTGGTGGATTCTGATTCTGATTCTGGTTCTGAACCACCACTGGCGCTTCGCTCTTCTGCTCCAGCTTTGGTTCTCCAGGCGTGGCGATTGCCACAGCCGTGAGCGGAGTAACCGGAGTAACCGAGGCGGTGGCCACCGACTGGCCACTTCCTCCGCTGGCCACCGTTGTGGTCGTGGTGGAGGTGGCCACGGACTTGCCGCTGCTGCTGCTGCTGCCCGCCGGCACCGGCGGAATCACCGGACGCGCCAGCTGCGCCTCCAGGCTGCTGACCATGCCCATGCTGGGCGCCCGCACGTTGATCACCTTGCGGGCCGAGAGGGGCGCCGTCGTGGCGGCGGAGGGGATGCTGAGATTGTGGCTGCTGCCGGTGTTCTGGAGCAGCTGCTTGAGCAGCGCGTTGTTCGAGTCCTCCGCCCCCGAGCGCTGATTGTTGATCGCTGTGGGAGTGGCAGTGGGCGTGGCAGTGGCAGTAGGCGTGGCACTGGCCGGGGGATTCGGTGTGCTGGGATTCGAGGCGGTGGAGGTGGGAGTGGTGGCCAGCGTCATGGTGGTGCTGGCGTTCAAACGCTTCTCCGGTGTGCCGATCTCCTCGCCGCGCTCCTGTTCGCCCGCCGGATTACCACCGGGTGCCTCCTTGGCCACCGCCTTCGGTTCGCCGGCAATCTCCTCCAGCTTGACCACCTCGAGCTTCGCGGGCGTCACGCTGGCGCTCGTCAGCTTGAGCTGCACCGAAGAGGCTCCCGCGGAGGCCACCGACACCGTCTTGTCTGCACTGGATTCCTGGACCAACGCATGGTGCATCTGCAGCGCCGACTGGCTGGTGATCATCTTGGGCTTCTGTTGGGCCATCGTCGTCTTGGAGAGCACCAGGGAGATGTTCTTGTTCTGGATGGAGATGATGGGCCGCGAGCCCATCATGGGACTGTTGATGCAGATGGTGCCCGCGGACACGGAGACGGTGGAGGAGGAGGCGGAGGAGGTGGTGACCAGGTGGGAGCCAGGTGAAGGTCACGGGCGTAGTCGTTTGGGCAGACTGGACAGACTGGACAGACTGCTGCTGCTTGAAGATGTTGAAGCTGGGCGGGCAGTTGATCGCGCTCTTGTCCAGCGGCTTGATCACCACGCTGTTGAGGCCGGCGAACTCCTCGGTCTCCTTGCCCTTGCTGAGCATCTTCTGCAGGTTCTCCGAGTAGGCGGTGATCTTACGCGGCGCCGTCGATCCTCCTCCGAGTGCGGGACCGCCTCCTGGACCATCGCGTAGGTCTGGCTGGGATTGGTGGTCGTGATGGTCACTATGCTGCCCGTGGGCGGGGCCAGGCCGCCGCCGCTGGTCGCCTGCAGCTGCTGCTGGTGGTGCTGCTGCAGCTGCAGGGACATCTTCTTGCTGACCACCTTGGTGGCCACGATCTTCGTGGTCGCCGGCTTGATCTGCAGCCCCGAGAAGGAGACGATGGTGCCGGGGTTCTTGGGCACGCGCTTGATCAGCTTGGTGATGTTGTGGTGGCCGTGCGGATGGCCGTGCGGGTGGACGTGCGGGTGGACCTGCACCTGCTGGCCGCCGCCGGTGATGGCCGTCACCTGGCCGCCCGGCTGCAGCAGCTGCTTGCTCTCCACGATCGTCGCCCCGCCGGCCGTGGCCGCTCCGCCGGCGCTCATCAGGGGCTTGAGCAGCGGCACCGAGATCGTCTTGTTGCCGATCGACACCTTGGCCGTGGTCTGCGTGACCTCCGACAGCTTCTTGGCGTTCACCACCAGCTGGGTGGTCTTCATCTTGGCGTGCAGGTTCACCCGGTTCAGCAGCGTGGTGGTCGGCTGGCCGGTCTGGCTGCCGGTGGCCGTGGTGTTGAAGTTCAAGTAGTTGGTGTGGCCGGGCTTCTGGGTGAGGATGGTGGTGGTGGTGCCGCCGCCGGCACTGACTGCTCCTGCTCCTCCTCCGTTGTTGGCGTTCAGGATGATGGTGGAGGTGGTGCCCGTTTGGCTGCCCGTTCCCTCGGAGGAGGGCACCAGCACGTAGTCGAGGTCCTCCGCCTTGCCGGGATTGTCGGCGTGCTCCTGCCCAGGGCCGCCGGGCTCGATGGAGATGACGGAGGCGGTGGAGGAGGAGGACGAGGCCGACGAGGAGGCGCCCTCCTTTTTGGTAAAGCTGGCGAAGGCTGCGTTTTTCCGGGGAGGAAGCGGGTTAGCTGGACTGCTCTTGGGGGATGGGAGGCTGCACGGGTACTCACTCTGCTTGTCGGCATCCTCCGCCTTGATGGCGCCCATCTCGCTGCCGGGGCCAAAGTTGCACACTATGATCTGCTGCTGCTGCTGTTGCTGCTGCTCGCGGGCTTCCCAGGAGGCGCCGTCGGGCTCCGACTGGGCCTCCTCCTTGGCCTGCACCTTGACCTGCTGGCCGGGAGCCCGCTGGTAGAGCAGCTGCTGCGGAGCAGACGCCTTGGCGGGCAAACTGGGCGCGGGCGCTGGCACGGCCACTGGCGCCCCGAGGAGCAGCTCCGTCTTGGCCTTCTTGCGCGTGGCATCCTCCGCCGCAGCGGAGGGGTCGTCGGCGCCGCTGCTGCGCTTCTGCAGGCCGACCGCTGTGAAGGCGGCGCCTCCGACGGCACCGACGGCCGCCACGGATGCTACACGTTCGGGTTTCGCCTTTTCGGCGGCACCAAGCGATGTTGTCACCTTCGGTATATTCATAACAAACACACAAGTGGAAACGCTGGACGCGGGATGCGATGCGCTGCGCTTCGTAGGACGGGAGGGGCGGCGGTCTAGCTAGCTAGGGCTCGCGCGGCCTGCTTCTTTTTTTTAGCCAGCGAAAACATGCACGATTTTGTCAAAAAAATTTTTATTTTCGTGTATGCAGTAGAGCTGGCAAAAGAGCCGATGTTTCGCCGATACTATCGGTGTTTTGGGAAGTCCGGCAGCACTGGCCCTGTTATACACTGTGCACACTAGCGCGATAGGAATATCGATAGCGATTAAAACGAAAAAACTCCAAATCAGTGCTTTTTACCATTTATACGGCTAAAATATATCTTGAAAAATGGTCTACACTTTGTCCGACATTTTACTCCAGACAGCTGTTGCCAGTTTAGCCAGTGGAGAAATGGTATTTTTTCACGCAACAGTAGCAGTCTGGCAGCGCCGCATCGATAAAAAATCGCTATCGATGTTTTCATAACACATTTTTAGGAAAAAGAATTATTAAAATAGGGAATTAATAGTAATTTAAGACACAAACCCGCCATGCTGAGCCTGAAAACAGTCGCGCAGCTCTTCAAGCAAACCCTGGCAGGTGAGCTTCATGGGTGTTCGCCCCAGTGGCACCGAGGATAACAAGGATAACTTCTCCTCCACTTTCAGGGGGCAACATAGCAACTGTCAACACAGCCGGCCTCAAGTACTTCGCCCCGCCCATCAAATACCAGAGTAAGTAGCTCCACTCGGAGCACAAGCGCAGCCAGAAGATACTCACCTGCCCGTCCGCGGGCTCTCCCGCAGATGTGGAGCAGCCGGAGCGGCCCAAGCTGCGGATCATGGAGCGCCAGCCGCAGCTGCCGCCGAACATCCGGCCGCCCAAGATGCAGAAGCGCCTGCGCTACATGCGCGGCCCCGAGACGGTGCACAACACGCTGCTGCACAAGCAGTACGCCATCGTGGCCACCGGCGGCGGCCGCCTGCGCTGGGGCCACTACGAGATGATGCGCCTGACCATCGGCCGCAAGATGAACGTGGCCACCATGTTCGCGACGTGGCGCGTCCCTGCGCCCTGGCAGCCGATCACCAAGAAGGGCCAGGGCCAGCGCATGGGCGGCGGCAAGGGGGCCATCGACCACTACGTGACCCCCATCAAGGCCGGCCGCGTCATCGTCGAGATCGCCGGCCGGTGCGAGTTCGTCGAGGTGAGGCAGTTCCTGCAGCAGGTGGCCAACCAGCTGCCCTTCCAGGCGGCCGTCGTCTCGCAGGAGATGCTCGACGAGCAGCGGGCGGCCGAGGAGGAGCACGCCCGCCAGAACGAGAACCCCTTCACCATGAAGTACGTCATCCAGAACAACCTGAGCGGCTGCCACCGGTGGCTCTCGCCCGTGGACCACAAGTGGTTCGGCAAGCACCTGTAGGGTGCTTTATCTCGCCAATAAAGAATCCTTGTTAACCTGTTACGAAGTGAGTTTCCCTTCCAAATATCAAAAAAAGACGCCATGTGAAGGGAAATGTACGAGTTCTATTGCAAACATTTGTTTAATTTTCCATTTCGTTTACGTGGATAATATGTAATGCATCATATAATATGTTTTATGCCGCTGCGTTCGCATTATAATTAATATATAATATTATTCATGTATGCCAGTATGCCCGTGTGGGTGTGTATGTTTGTCGAGGGGTGTGTGAACAATAGCCTTCTTCCACGGACACGGACCTTCGGATTGCCTTCGTCTCGCTCTTCCTGCCGCAGCATCCTATCTTCCTTCCTCGTCTTTGTCAAGTAAAATCAACACTCTCCGTTGATCTAGTCAATATCGGTATATCGGTGATCGGTCATCAGTGATTGCTCCATCTCCATCTGCATCTCCACGTCCTAGTGGAAAAGGGCTATATTGCTGGGACGGGGGACTCGTGTGTTTTGTGTTATCTCGTTTTTGGGGTCGAATGGATTGATGCTCCTCGACCCTTACCCTTAGCTCGGCTCTTTCGCTCGCTCCTCGTCATCGTCGTCTAGCAGTCGGTGTCGTACCAGGCAGCCAGATTGTTGTTGTCATTGGGTGGCGTCGGCATGGCGTCCAAATCAAAGTTCAATGCACCGGCATCAATCTCGCCGACATCCATGTCCATGGAGTAGGGTGATGTGGGTGCGCCGCTGGGCGGGATGGGGCCGATGTTGCCGCCGCCGCCGCCAGCTCCGCCCACCGCTCCACCATTGCCGGCAGCACCGCCAGCGCCGCCGCCGCCCACCGGGCTGCTGATCTCCAGACCCTGCATCGAATCTATTGGTAGAGTATCATATCCTGCGGACAAACGAGAGGGGTAAACGAAACAAGGGGAAAGTTGTGATCAGTGAACGGTGTTCTTCAGGTCAGCCAGCAGTTGTTTGAGCCCCCACGGAGTCCTGTACAAGTGGATGCATCGTCTTTCGCTGAAATCGGGCAACTATATCACTGTAGTCTATTGTTTTACTTGAATTCTTTAGACCCTGTTCAAGCGAAATGAAGTCTCCACTCGTACATGTCCGCCCTTTGCACATTAACCTTAAAGTAAGTATATCAAACAACACAAATCAGTCGTCGAATGCCGCTTAAGAAGTCTAAAACTAAAGTACGGCACGACAGAGGTCACTTGAGTTCGATTGGAGTTCGTCCTCCCAATCTGCATGCACGCGGCTTAGGAACTAAAGATATATTTATATTTACACGATCTGGATATAGGTGACTAGTTCTATGCGATTATCTCGCAGGCTACGTGACATGCAAAATGAACTAAAGTTTATTACTCCTCTTTCTCCGTTGACGGAAAACTTGAACTGTAAATGCTTTCTAGTGAAATCAAACGCAAGAGATGTATAAACAAGAAAGGATAATTATATTAATTAACAAATCGCAAAATGTTCAATTTCTAATATTTCTCATTATTTCATTATTTCTCATTAATTTTCCGATCGTTCCTATGGCAGCTATATGATATAGTCGTCCGATTTTGATCAAATTAAAATTGAAATTCGGAAATATTTAAAAAGAGTTATATCCTAGAGTAGAAGATAATACAATAAAAACCAAAGAAGCTAGAATTTATTTCTATTACTTTTCCATTAATTTTCCGATCGTTTTGTAGCTTATGATATAGTAGTCCGATTTTTTAAATAATTTAATTCAGAAATATTTAAAAAAAGTAAAAAGGTAATATTTCAAAAACACCGAAGCTAGAATTTTTTAATTAGTTTTTTCTTCCTGGAGCTATAAGATATAGTTGTCCGACTCCGACATATTTACAATAGAAGGAAGACTTTGCAAAGTTTCGTCCCGATAGCTCAAAATTGCTGGGTGTATTTTGGTGTAGAAACAGACAGACGGACAGACGGAAGAGGAAGAGGAAAAGTATAGGTTGTGGACAGACGGACCTGGCTAGATCGACTCGTTTGTGATGCTGATCAAGAATATATATACTTTATGGGGTCGGAGACGTCTCCTTCACTGCGTTGCAAACTTCTGACTGAAATCATAATACCCTCTGCAAGGGTATAAAAAGGATAAATATGTTAAATCATCATTGTAACGTAAATATTGCTTTATCTGTCATCTGTAGAATCTAAATCCAATCGACGATATAGTAAGAGATTTAAGTAAAATCTTCTGGTAATCTTCTTCAGAGGGTTGCACTTTGTTGTTATTTGTGGTTGTGTTTTGGTGTGTATATGGTGTGGTAAGATCTTCTACATAAGAGGTCAGGGGATCCAATAAATGCAAAAAGATTGGCGCCCAACGAGGGACATGCAGCTTCCATCCTCGTTTAAATCATTTTTATCTATAATGAATGTAGTCCTTAAGGTCTGGCGTAGTCACGAAATACTCATTATTACAAAAAGGTGGAAACTTTGGACTTCGGAGACCCATGAGCAGCATTAACATGACATCTGTAGTATCTTATCAAGCTTCACCCGATAGGATGTTGATTTCTTCAAAAAACGAATACCGCAAATCAAGGTGTTGCAAGTGGAAAGGGCGAGGCTATGGTTAAATAACCGAACAACACGCACGCAAAATTAAAGACATTTATTTATTTCCCTGCATGCAGCCATGGAAATTAAGGGGTAACGAAATTAGGGGGTGAACGAGCAGGGGGACAGAGATATAAAGAGATCGAGCGTGGGAGCACGGTGAACAGGGGGTTTTGTTTGGGTTTGGTTTGGCCCACACTGAAGAAACTTAGGTGAGCTTAAAAAGTTGTAGCTTCGGTTAATTAGTGCTTATTTGAATGATGAACAGACATGATAACGATTAAATGTATGGGGGGCAAAGGCAAAGGGTCGGGGCCCAAAGGGAGTTATCGAATTGTCAGAACCTGTAAGCGTTCCCGTTAGTTTCTTTTTCTTTTTAGCAGGGTGGTTATGCGGGGATTCTTCTTCTTGGGGCGGGGGTTCGAGGGCGGGGTTCTCTTCTTCTTATGCATATGACATACATACCTTGCTGATGGAATGCGCGACCTCCGTGCGAACTGTGCACGCTGGGCGGACCTTGTCCGTACAGGCCTTCATATGCTTCTTCTGGTCCAAGCATATCCTGTGATCGATCGATTTCGTGTTTGTTTATCGGTTTATCGGTCGGTGTGCGTGTGTAATATGTGCGTGATCGTTCGTGTGAGATTGCGTATTGGATGTTTGGTTTTTGTTTTTTTCACAGTTTCGTTTTCATTTATTTGTTGTTGGGATGGATCAGAAGTGAAAAGTTGTTAGGAAAGAAGAAGACACGCGCGAACGTGAGCGAAAGGGAGGGAGAAAGATTGTGGGGTTGGTTGGGGCGGCGAGAGTGAGACAGAAGGAGAGTCGCGTTGTTTGATTGTTGTTGTTGGTGAGATTTTGGTGCAGTGATTATCCGTCGTTGGTTGTTTCGGTTCATTTACCGTTGCAGTTGTGTTTATAGTGATTTTTTGGTTTTGTTTTGGTTTTACACACACAAAGTAAACATAAAGGAAAAAAAGAAAAGAACAAAAAGTAAATAAAAACGTGAATTAATTACAAAATCATAATTAAACATAAACAAAGATTGAGATGTCGCAGCGAATATACAAATTTAAATTCATGTAAGTATGTTTTCTGGTGGGGGTTGTTTCCGGGGGGATACGTGGATAGGGGTGGAGGTAGGGGGTGTGGTTAGGGAAGAGGGGATAAAATACGATGATAACTAATCGGAATCCGTATTCTTAACTCGTAATCGACGTTCATCTACTATGTACTACCTATGTACTTATCGACTAACATTTACGCTCTATCGATTCGTGGTTTACAAGAAAAGCAAGTAACGTAAAAATCAAAATCATATTGAAAGTCAACAAAAAGGTTATCGAAATCGTAAGCAAGCGGTATATAGGTCGATAGTTAATATGGATACCATTATATAATGCTCGACTAGAGTAAGTTGTCTACAAATTTACAATTTTATGTACAGAGTTCGCTTTTCGCGCTGCTTTTCAAATCAGAATAACTAGAACAGAAGAGGAGGGGTTCAAAAAGCCGGAAGACCGGAATACCGGAGACCTCGCACTTAAATTAGCCCTCTACTGGCACGCACCTGCAGATCGGGACCCATGCCCAGGTCGGCGTTGGCCCAAATGTTGTTGTCCTCGCGCAGCAGCGAGTTGGTCAGCTCGATGGACAAGCGCTTCTTGTAGTCCTGCGGCTTGTCCTCGCTCATGCGGAAGAGCACGGCGGCAGCGTACGTGGCCACGCCCTCGTTGCGCGAGTGCAGCAGGTCGGTCAGCGGCCCGGTGGCGCCCTCCTGCTCGATAATCTCGGCGCCCTCCTTGTCGGCGGCCAGCTCACAAAGAACCCCAGCAGCCACGCGCTGAAATCGGAAGCAGAAAGCATTTAGCACACTAGGAATCCCCTGAAATGATCTTCGAACCCACCTGAATATTCTCGATTTCGTTGAACAGCAAACGCACAAAGATCGGTATCACCGACTGCTGGCGAATGAGCGCCCGGTTGTGGGACTCACGGGCCAGGATATGCAGAGCCCCCACCGTGCCCTCGACAATCTCCTCCATGCGCACGCCGTCGGCGTAGGCAGACGGCTGCTGGGAGCCCGTGGTGGCAATCGAGGAGCGTTGCTGCAAGTAGAACACAGTGGAAATCAGCACAAATCATCAAGACAGTTAGATCCTCCATCTACTCACCCTCTCTGTGTCCTGGAAGGCGCGCATTAGCAGCCGCACCAGGTGATGGATGGCCCCGTGCTCCCGCAACGGGGCGTGGTTGGCCGGACAGAGGGCCAAGTTGCGTATGAGCCCAATGACGGCCTTGATCAACGGCCAGCGGGACGGTGGATGCAGCAGCTTCACAATCACCGACAGCCCGTAGTTGAGACGCACGGCATTCTGGGCCAGCTCCGAGTCCACGTGACGCGAGGTCAGGTGGCGCAGGGCGCAAACGGCCGGCTCGGTGATCTCCTCGCGATCCCCGGCATTGATGATGGTGCGGACGAGGGCGTCCACGCCGCCCACCTGGCAGACGGTGGCCTTGTTGCGCTGATTGTTGCACGTCAGATTCGAGAGGATGCCGGCGGCACAGGTGACCACGTTGACATCGGTGGAGCCCAGGACCTGGACGAGCGACTGGAGCAGGGCCTCGAGCCCCTCCACCTTGGTAGCCGCGTCGGACAGGTTGCGCAGTGTCCACAGACAGTTCTGCACGAGGCGCGGCGACATGTTGCCCAGGTGCATGGCCAGCGCCTGCATGCCGCCGGCGTCCACGATGGCCGGCTTGTTGCTGGAGCAGACGGACAGCACCTTGAGCACCCGCGAGGTGGTCCACAGCAGCTTCTCGTAGTCGTAGGAGCGCATGATGCGCACCAGCTCGTTCGGCCCGCCGGAGGCGAGGATTATGAGCTTGCTCTCCTGGTTGCCGTAGGCCAGAATCTGCAGGCAATCGGTGACGATGGCCAGGAACTTGACGTTGTTCCTCTGCAGCAGCGTGACCATCTTCTGGAGGCCGCCGGCCAGGCGTACGGCCATCTTGGAGCCGTCCTGGTGGAGCAGCAGGTTGTGCAGCGTGGTTATTGCGTAGAAGAGCACACTCTCCACCGGCGAGGAGAGCAGCTTGACGAGTGCCGGGATTCCGCCGCTCTTGAAGATGGCCAGGAGGCCCTGGCGATGGTGCGACAAGTTGTGCAGCGTGCCCACCGCGGCCTTGGTGCTCTCCAGATCGTTGCTGTTGGAGATGGCGCGCACCAGGGCGGCCACCATCTGGGGGCTGTTCATGATGGCGTGGCGCGAGGCCTCTTTCTTGGACAGCTGGTGGACCATCATGGCCGCCTGGGAGACGACCACCTGGTCCTCGTCGTTCAGCAGCTTGATCAGCTCCGGAATGGCCCTGGTGGCCAGCTCGGCGTCGTCCTGGTAGTTAATCAGATTCACCACCGCGTGCTTCAGCATCTGCGACGGCTCCGAGAGACGCTGCACCGCCGTCGGCTGCTGGGGATCGAACTGGGTGGAGGGAATCTCGATGCCCTCCTCCAGCGTCTCCGGGAACATGGCAGCCCGGACGCGTTGGGAGCGCGTCTGGCTCAGCTGCTGGTTCATGTCGTCCACCTGGTCCTGTGTAAAGTTCTGCGGGAACCCGGTGTCCAGGTCGAACATCAGGGGATCCCCCTCCATCTCCTCGTCCTCCTTGCCGGACAGCGACGGCACCTGGGTCACGGCCCCCGAGTGGATGCCGGAGTCGCCCAGATACGAGTTCTGCTGCCACATGAGGGTCTGCTCCTTGGCGGACACCATCGGCGGGAGATCCGGCGGATTGTATTGATTATTATGCGACACTGCAAAAGAAAAGGAAGGGTAAAGAGTGTTGTTAAAAGTGTCTAAGTGCGGTGGAAAGCGCTTATACAGGCACTTCAATCAGTCGAGACGCCTTAATGCACTGGGAAATCACTGGGAAACGAAGTGAATTTTCCCTCCTCAAATTATCTGAACCCTAGTTGAAATGAAACCTAAAACTCCAGTTGAAGGAATATACCGATAACTAAAGTGCAGGGTATTCCCAGCTTCGAATAAGGTTTTCTTACTGTACAGACGTGTATGTTTTCTTGTAGAAAACCTTTTGAAGCAGAAGAATGGCGCAGGACAACGGAAATCATGGCCATCAGACTGAGTGCAGCACAACATCTATATCTCTGGCACCGGATTTGGATTCGGGTTTGGGTTTAGCTTTAACCCTCTCCCAACCATTTGCATACTTTTCCTTGAAGGATGGCCAAATGGAAAACGACAGCGACTGACAGCAAAGTGAACAGCATCACAGCACCACAGCAAAAAAGGAAAAAAATTGCAAAGGGAAAACTTTGAAGCGTGACAAATTGAACGCTGCAGGATATTCCCACAAAGTTTAGAGCGGATGAAGGGAGGATGGGGTCATGGGGACTCACACATGAGAGGATCCTGCCAAAGGATTGGCGTGGGGCGTTTTGTTTGCCACTTCTGTCTTAATTATGCCGTTTCAGGCCCAGCTTTTTGCCTTTGTTGTTTTACTTATGCGCGGACACAGTGGCCACGCCCCTTTTGTGTGCATTTGCATTCGCAATTTTAAACTCCCCCGTTTTGCAAGTACAGTGAATTCGCCTAATATGGAACATCAGGTCGATTTGTGTAAATAGAATGGTAAATGGAAATTATTAACATATTTTTATGACTTTGGTAGGATACGCTGAATAACATTACTGATTGATTATACTAGTTTATAAATGAAGAACTCTATTTAAAAAAGCATTTAAAGCATTTCACTCAGAATATTATTATTTGTATTATTTAATAGCAAACATTTATTTCGCTTTAGGCAAGCAGGACTGTAATCCCATTTCGTTTCATTTCCCAAATCGATTAAGCGCTCTTTCTTTTTCTTTCGCTTTATCCCTCGAGTGGGCCACGCACTCGAAAGGAGTACGACTGGAATGGAAAGGGGGAGAAGGAGGGATCCTTTAAGTGGAAGTTGCCGCTTACTAATTAAATTCTGCACAGCAGCACCGCAAAAAAGGAGGAAAATGCTAAAGAAAATGTGCAGCCAAGTCGAAAATGAGATTGGAAGACAGAGAGGGAGGACAAGGTCCCGTTGCGGAAAAGGGGGAGGGAAGGAGAGGGCGGGACACGTGCAAGTACACGAGGACTTGAGTGTGTGTGTGCGTGAGTGAGTGGAAGTGGGTGGGAATAAAGTTTCAAGGGATAACAAAAAATAAAGCAGTGGCGTATGAAGGGGGTTATAGTATAGAATAGATGTTGTGATACTAGCATGTTTAAATCCGAATTTTATGTAGTGAATATGCAATTACACACATATACAACGTATATTATATATGCTTTTTAAAATGTTCTGCCCCTCGATTCCTACGCCCCTGCACACTGCAAATGAAGTGGCAAAAAGGAGCGCGGCAGCGAGAGGGAGGGAAGCATCTTCCTTCCTTCTCCATTTAGCTGCGTCGTCATAAAAATTGTAAATTGCAAAATCCAAAGGAGCAGGAACAGAGTGATTTCTGGTGGTTAGGGTAAGGACACTGGATACGTCTGGTGGTTGCTGCCTGTCACACACAGAAAAAAGATCATCCACATCCAAATGGTGTATGCTCAAGCATTAACAAGTATGTAAATGTGGGCAGCTCATAGAGCGGACATAAATTATTCCATCTGGGGTGGATGGATCGACTAGTTACCCTATATATTTCACAGTACAAACAAAGGGAGCATCAAGAACAAATGACAAAAGCAAATACTTTATGTCACATTTGGCAAATTTGTCAGAAACAAGGTTTGCATCTTGCAATTACCATGGAAAGGGGTGGTTATTGTATTACGTTACAGGAGATAATCCCTTCTCTGGGACTTAATAGTACTATTAAAAACGTAACATTATCTCTAATTTTACACGTATTTCTTGAAATCTGACACTGTTTTTAACTGAGTACAGTGGATTGAACCACGAATAGAAAGTTCCTGACGTATCTTCTTCAAAATGGATCCCATTTCTGCACACTTTCTTGGAAGTGGAGTTCAGTATCAGGGGGCCAGGGGGGAATACTTACTGGTACGATTCTGGGCTGGCATGTAACTCATCTTGGTGATTAAGGCGCTTTACACCACACCTGGAAGAAAGAGACGGGGAATAAATGAGTAATTTGCTTAACAGTTAACATGGAGTTGGGCTGTGTGTGTGTGTTGTATGTGTTTCGTGTGAGAACAAGACACTTAAGTAGTCCGCAAAACTCCGTGTTTTTTCTGCAGACACCTCACAGACACAGTAATCACCCGCTAGTCACTTATTTTATTTGTTTTCTTTTTCTTTAATTCATTTCCGCTCCGAGATGCCGCAGCACAGTACCAAATATGCTGCGTATACCAAACAAGCCCACAAACACACTCGCAGGTACGCAGGTAGAAGTGTGTGCGTGTGTGTCTACCTGCCGAAGACTTAAACCACGAACCTTGAGTTATTTAATTACTATGTTTGGCACTTTTTCAAATCTGATGCACTCAAAGAAAAACCAAAATAATTGTGCTTCACTCGCAGCTTCTGGAAAAGGCGCAGCGGAAAATGCGACCGACCAGCACGCTCGTTAAAACGGAACAGAATCGGAAAGCGGAGAGCGAAGCACTTGCAACACGGCGCGTGCGAGGGAGTGAGAGAGAGTGCGAGCAAGAGGGAGAGGGAGAGAAAGTAAAGGGCCGCAGTGCAGCACACAAATGCAGTGCTGCGCAGAGTTGCCACACATCCGCCAGATTGTGCATACACACGGCCAGGATTCCGATTCCAGTTCCAATTACGGAGTTGCACATAGATTAGATATAATGCCCAGCGATAATGAGCCTTTAATTCGGGCAAACACGATTTCCTGTCTGCGGCATTGTTTACATTCCAGCGAGCGCACGGTTTTCGGGGGAGAATACATAAAAATGCCGTTTGTGTGTATCCAGCTCCAACGCTCACACACACACAGCCACTGCCGCTCCCCTTGCCGCCGCCCCCGCGCCTACTTGTTTGTCCTCGCTTTCCTCGGACTTTTCACACAAAAACTCGGCTTTCCAAGCGGCCATTACTCACCGCGTCCAAGTAATCTAGGTCTGCCTTAGAGCAGGATTTATTTGTTTAAAACGCACTGGGACACAAATTAACGGTGAACTCGCTCGAAAAAAACTGTATACGACAAAGCAGAGACCAACTAGCGATGGGCGATAGTCGATAGGTCGTGGAATTTTTTGAGCCCCTTAATTCGGGGAATTCTTGCTACTAGGAAAACAGTTCCACTTCATTCACATTTAATATATCTTTTTATATTTTCTTAAGTATAGTGGGGAATAGCGCTTTTTCAGTCCCAGCTTTGTAATCGTTTATCTTGTACAAACATTTACCCACACAAGCACCTGCCCGTCCCTGTGTGTGTGCGTGTGGGAGTTTGTCAACTCAGGTTTTTGTTAAAACTAGCGAATTCCGAGCCCAAACTGTGGAAACTTCTATTACTTCGTGTTACTTACCGCGTCAGAAGTAATTTTGTCTGCTCAAAGGCAGGTTTCTGTTGTTTAAACGCACTTGAATCTTAAAATTCGACAACAACCGACTGCGAAAACTGTGTATAGGGCTATAGCGATAGGGAATATCGTATACATATATCGCCCTTATCGAGGGGCTTTTCAACACTCAAGAATGGGTTGCGTTCCTGGCTAAGCAGATACAAAAAAGATGGTTCCGTTCTAGGCTTAACATTGAGTGACGAGTTAACAGACTTGAGTGGAAATTGCTTGCGAAGTTAACAGTGCGCAGGAACTGGAGTGAAAAGTTAACAGTGCGCAAGAACTGGAGTGGAAATCGAAACATGATCGATTATCGCACTTATCGAGTGGGCATCATGGGGTTTTCCAACACTCAAGAATTGGTTGCGTTCCTGGCTAAGCAGATGGTTGCGTTCCAGGCTTAACATTGAGTGACGAGTTAACAGACTTGAGTGAATATTGCATAGGAAGTTAACAGTGCGCAACAACAGGAGTGGAAATCGAAACATTATCGAGTATCGCCCTTATCGAGTGGTTCAATTCCTGGCTAAGCAGTTTCGTTTGGCTGGCTGCCAACCTGCTTAAAAAATACATATGTTGGCGCGATTTTCAAATTAAAAAAGATTTACAGATACATTTAGGAAACATCCAAGCACTGGTCTTTATTTGTTTAATAACTATGTTTGTTGGGCAAGCGGAATGGGCTTATGTAGTCGAAGTGGGTTCCTCGGAAATGGACGCAGGAGCAGGCGGTGGGCTGCGCTGATCCCTGACGAACTTAACCAAAGCGCTCTTGTGGCGCTCCATTCCGTCGTAGAGCCCGTAGACTTGGGCGAAGCCGAAAGTAGGCGGCCACGGCGGCCACACCGAAGAGGGGAACAATGATGGCGAATCCGCCCAGGCAGGCGAAGAACACCATGGACACGATGGTCAGGAGAGTGCCTACAAAGAGAGGTCCATTCAAGTGAAGTGCAATTCCAGGCAAAAACGACGGGGAACCCACCTTCTAGCACCAGCAGACCAGTGAAGGTCATCACCATGGTGGCGATGCCGAAGCCGAAGATTATGAGGAAGGGGAGCAGGAAGACCAGGCCGCCGGCCAGCAGGCAGATGGCGATGTGCGGGTTCCGGGCGCACCAGGCGGCGATGGCCTCCAGGAAGTCATTCCCGCCCAGTTCGGACATCACAAACTCAGCCAGGCGACGCACATGAAGCCCTGCAAGATCAGTGGAGATTATAGGAGGTAAGTGATTAGCTTTTAGAACTTATGACAAATTACTTTCATGAAAACTCAGGTTAATGACTTGCAGATCGGGTTTTGGAATGACAATTAGCAATTAAACAACTCAGTAACTCTAATTACACTTTACTTAGCCGACGTACATGACTTGTAGAGGGTCTGGAGCAAACTCTCCAGGAATTGGTCGGCTGTGGGGGATTCTGCACTGCTTTCGCCAGGGGTTTCCACCTTTTGGGGCTCCTGTTTCGGGTTCTGCGTTCTCGTTTCCGCCGACTTCTGGGCATTCTGGGCATTCGCTTCTCTGGCCGCTTTGCGCGCCTTATTTGAGTGAGCCTGCAACAGCAATAGAATCAGATCAATAGTATTTATTAGAGGGAATATATTCATGATGGAAATCGAAAGTGATTAGTAGCCGGCTGCTTATTATAATGCGACCTTTGACTCGCCATTCAATCTATGGACTCTCCCGGATCACCCACACCCACCATGTTGTGCGGCTGCTGCGGGAGTCTCAGGCGGTTTCCGTGCTCATCACAGGTGAAAAGTCCAGTTTGTTATCCGGGTTAATTTGCTTGATTAAAAAGCAACAGTAAGGAAAAACAAAATAAATAAACAAATAAATATCGGCAACTCAGCCCTGGGACAAAAGTTATCGTTACAGCGTTGCCACCTCGGTGGGGTAATTCAAATTAACCCTCGAAACGATATTTAAACTGTGGATATAACCGAAGAGTACAAGTACTCTATGAAATAAGATAATAATTATGTATCCTTAAGTAAAAAAATATAATAAATTTAGTATACTACTTAAATTGGTTGTACTATGCACATTTTTAATCCAATAATCTCTTTTTGGTTTTAACGCTTATTTAACCCTTGAATCGTAATTTAAACTGTGGATATAACCGAAGAGTTTAAGTACTCTATGAAATAACATAATTATTTATTCGTAAGTTAAAAGATATAACTTAAATTGCTTGTACTATGCACATTTTTAATCCAATAATCTTTTCTGGGTTTTAACGCTTATTTAAAAATTCTAATAACTAGTGGAGCAGGAATCTTAGTCCGTTGAAAGGAGGTCGCGTCGTAATCCTGTCCGCGATCAACCGCTCCCCGTGAACAGTCATGCCGCACCGCAGTTTCGGGGCGTGCAGGAAGTTCAGATGGGCGGCCCGCTCGCCACTTTGGAGCGGCAGCCAGCCGTAAACCTGCGACTCCAGGAGCGGAACCGCCTTCGCCAGCTGCCTCTGGCGCTCCACCTGCTTCTCCGGCCAAGTGTGCCGCAGGTAGCCCAGCGGATCCGGCGGCTGATGTTGCTCGAACTGCGCGTAGAACTTCCGGGTGAGTGGATAGACTGGAAAACAAGATGGTATGATTGATATCTTCTAAAATTCTTCCTTTTTTATATTTTATTTTACCCCTGCTTACTGGAACGAAGGTCTCGTAGAGTCGGATGTGTCGATTGGACTTCTCGATCAGCTCCTTTTCGAAGTCGTAGGGCAGCGGTCGGGGATCCCCCTCGTGGTGATCGTGTCCCTCGCCATCCTCCTCGCCCTCGTCGGCGGTTTCAAGTGGCGGCTTCATGGTTTTCAACTCGCACTATCACTTTCAGTTCCCTTCTTTTCCTTGGTTCCAGCTCCCCGAAGGAGCTGTCTCTCTGCAGGGAAATCCAAGGAGCCCGTCCGCTACCCGTGGCGTGCTCGGTTCGTTTGACTTGGGCTGCGCACTTGGCTGCAGCAAGGACACCTGTCCGTCCGCCTGTCCTTCCTGTCTTTCCGTTCTGGCAGCAACTTGTACTCATTAAAGTTTTCCCATTGTTGCCGGATGGCAGGCAATGTTACCAATACTGCACACGCATCCCCACGACGCACCCCACGAGGCCCACGAAGCCAAGGCCCAAGGAGCAGGAGATCTCCGCGGGGGTATCCATGGGGTGTCGGTGGTGGTGTGACCCACAATCACAGTTTCGCCAACGTCAGAGGCGCCTGTCGGGCGAATTTCCCCAGCAGTTGCTGTGGGGTATCCACAATGTGTGCGATTGGGTCAGGAGAAAGTAAAAGGATTCCAGACAGTGATGAGTAGTGACTTGGGTACCTTCTTTATAAGATATGTGGGTATATGGGCACTTCCAAAATGTCGCTCGGGACATTTGCACACCTTTAAAGTTGAAAAAAAATTGTAAAACAATGGATTTTAATTTTAATGATGGGCTTTTCTTTTCACTCTTCCTAAGCTCTATTTTTGGTAAAAATCTTAATTTTGCACCACTTTTAGTTTTTAAGATATCGGTTAAAAACTGCCGTATTCGCTCGGGACAAAAATAGAAGTGTGATCTTCGGGGAAGTTCATACAACACCAGAAATTAGCAAATTCTGATGGAATATTTGAATGCGATTTTTTTAGAATGTTGTTCAAACATGTGTTTTGAAATGCTTTTGGTTTTACCCACAAAATTCTTTGCCGTTTTTTTTTTATGCAGTTTCATACCACATTCGCTCGGGACATGTCGCTCGGGACATTTTTCCGACTGTTTTGTAAAGCGGATTTCTTTACCTCTATCTCTCAATTGCTGGATGTTTTGCTTTTAACTTAATAGTTTAGCATGTGAATGAAGCATTCAGTACAGAAAATGTCACATATTAGCATTCCTATAGGATAAATTTACAACAGAAGACAGGTCCAAAAATAACAAAAAATAGCCAAAAACTGATTTTTGCGTATATTGGTGGGGTTTGTCATAAAATAATCAAACTATACTCCAAATTTGTAGTTAAGCTCAGTATCTAACTAATTAGAAACTAATATCGGGGCAAAATCATGTGGAAATATGTTTTATTCAAGTTTCAAGGTTTTTGGCTTGGTGGACTTTTTTTTGGAAGTGCCCATATAGGCTTGCTGCTAGAAATTTAAATGATATAAATTGTTTTCTTCTGGAGACAATACTTTTATTTCCTTTAGACTACCCACATACCAAGTTTCATATCGATTGGGCAAATATAAACATTAAATCGCATACCTTTAAAAATATATGACTATTTATTTGTATTGCAAATTCCAAAAGGCTCACCTTTCGCATCACTGCACCCAACCACCCAAATATTGGCTCCATTTCATGTCGTTGGCGTAATTTGGTACAAGCCCAAAAACCCAATCCTCGAAGTAAACAGCAATTTCCGAAAATAAACCCATTCGGGCGATTGGCATTGCGTGTCCAACCAATCGCAGCCGCAATCCGCTGGATTTCCCAGGAGGCGGAGGATGAGGTGGCAACCACATCCGGCACTTTGCTGCCTCAAGTTTATACTTATATACCTTTCGGGTTGTGCAACTCGATGTCGTCAATTTCAGCCTAATCGAATATAATTGAATGCATAAATACGGAAATAAATCAATTTAATTACAATACAGCCAACAACAGTCATTGCAAATAGTTTACACGCACACGCAGACACACGGATCCCAAATGGGATTATTATAGATATAAATATGTATAAGCCTTGGTAATGTCTTGGGTGAACCACGAAAAAAATTGGGGATCTAAGTATATATTAATAAATTAATTGCCGGAGCAAGTGGAGCCACTTGACGTTCGGCACGCTGAAGGGGTATTCGCACTTGGTCTTTAAAATAGGGTTTAAGGATTAAGGTTGTAAATCCAACTTGACTTGACGATTTAAAATCTAATCAATTACACCTTTAAAACCATTATTTCCCGCTACATTTGTCTTTGCTTATCTTTTTTAACTTGTTTTTTAAATATAAAGAATCGTGGCACCAGTTCTCAGTTGGATTTCACATTGAACTGAGTATATTTGCGTAACAACAATAAAAGCATGTCGAAAAACTAAATACTATGTCCAGTACTAAAACTATAATGATCGGTAACATTCTAGGGAACCCTATGAGATGACAGTTCTCTAGCGAGGTTGAGGTATATTTGCATGCTCCAAAACCAATGAGTGCTCCTTGAGAATTAACTATATTAACCCTCACAGAGCGAATACCCCTTCACTAACTATACATATATATCTACAGATCAGTCGAGTTTAGTTGGGGAACTAGAGCGCCTCCGGATAGAAGTCCCGGTAAGCGAAGCCCTCGATGTACTCCGGCCGGTGGCAGGCGAACAGGTGGTGGGGCAGCTCCTTGTGGGCGTGCTTCTCCAGCGCCTTGCGCGTCTTCTCCAGCAGAACGGCCTCGTCGAACTTGACCCGCTGCACGGTCGTCTTGCGCAGAATGGTCTGCACGAACTGCGACCACACGGAGCCGGACTCCTCTTGCCCGGAGCCGGAGCCCTCCTCCGCCAGCTTCTCCTTCTGCAACTTCTGATCCTGCTGCTGCTGCTGCTGCTGTGCCTTCGCCGCCTCTTTGGCCTCGGTTTGAGCGTAGACCGTGGACGCATCCGCATCCGCCCTCTGCAACCCGAGAATCCGACTCAGCGGCCTCTTTACTCTTGGCCGCGGGTACGTCCTGCATGAGCGTCTGCAGGCGGTCCACCGTCTCCGCCATCCGCTTGCGAAAGTCCACTATGCGGCGGGCGTAGCTGAAGAGGCTCCGCTCCTCGGCCGCCTTCAGTGGCCTCAGCCGCTCCTCGCGAATCAGTTCTTCGGGCTCCAGCAGCGGGTGAATGCGCACCCCGGCCTCCGAGGTGCCGCTGAGGTAGATGCGGATGGCGAACTCCTGCATGGCCGTGGTGTTCACCATGGCCATGGCATAGGCATGGCGCGCCCTCAGGATAACTTCCCTTATGCCACCCAACTGGGACGAGGAGGAGGCATTGGCCGGAGATTGCAGATCCGGCCTGTCCAGGCTGTCCAGCACCTCGGCCAAGTAGCCGCGCATCCGCTCGCTGTCCGCCTGGATGGCCAGCAGGCCCAGGCCCTGGATCAGCCGGATGTTGGCCGCGTACTGCTGCTCCAGCTCGTACAGCTGCCAGAGGGACCGCATGCGCGACTCGTACTCCTTCTGCGCGCCTGTGCCCAGCACTCCGCTGATGTTGGCATTGTACAGCTGCAGGCCCCGGATGAAGGCCACGTCCATGGTGTAGTTGCCCATGAAGGCGAGCACGTAGTTGAGGGCCTCGGCGGCGCTGCCGAAGTTCTCCCGTCGCTGGGCGAAGAACTCGTCCAGGTCGCTGACGGTCAACTGGTTGCGCGGCACCTCGCTCCTCTGCAGGCTCTCGTTGAGCTCCCGCTCCTCGCGAATCCGCTCGAAGTTGCTCACCAGCAGGTCGCCGGCGGGCTGCTGGAACTCATCGAACACCTCGATGTCCACGGCCATGGTGGTGCTGGCGCCCTGCTCCCGGCCAGCCTCCTGCCCCTGGACACTCTCCTGCTCCTTGTAGAAGTGCTCGTGGCTCTCCGGCTGGCACTGCGGCACCCACTGCTCCTGCGCCGCCACCTGCCGCTCCCTGCTCCGCTCGAAGATCGCCCGCGGAGTGAAGCGCTGCAGGTCCAGCGAGGCGTATATGTCCTCGTGGTGGGCGTGGCAGCAGTGGAGGGCCGACATGTCCATGGGATGGGCCTCCGTGTTGAAGACATAGGCGCCCGCCTGCACGACGCACACGTCGTCCTCGGTGGACTGCAGCTCCCCGCCGGAGCCGTCGTTGTGCAGGAAGTTGTCCTCGTCGAACAGGAGGTACAGGTACTTGCTGGTCTCCGCCAGGAAGAACGACTCCATGCGGTTCTCCTTCTCGTGGGTGACAACGTTGCGGATCTGAAAGAGCAAGTCAACTTTAGATAACTTTGAAAAGCCTTGGAAGAAAACCCCGCACCGTTGCATAGCCGCACTTGGTCTTGGCGCTGAACTCCAGCGTCTCCAGCATGTGCTCGCCCAGCTCCAGCAGGTACTCGTTGCCCGTGGCCCGGTAGAGATACATGGCCGACTCGATGAGCTCCGGGCGCAGGGGATACACCTCGCGATTGGGCGACGCCTCGCCCGCAGCAATGTTGTAGAACTCCGGCAGGAAGCCGTACTTCTTCCACACCCCGATGTATCGCGAGATGGTGCGCACCGCCGGCTCCGTGTCCCCGATTATGCTGAGGATGCCGGGCCAGAAGGCCTCCAGGGACTGGAAGACGGGCAGGGTGACGTGGCCCTTGTTCATGCCCACCCACACGTACCAGTCCTCTTTGCGCATGTACTTGTCGATGGCCGCGCGGGCCTCGTGGAACAAGTCCAGCAGCTCCGGCCGGTTGAGGAGCACGGCCGCCTTGACCAGGTACTCGAACAGGGAGTCCACGCCCGCCCCGATGCCCGAGTCCAGCGCCGTCCAGCGGCCGCTCTGCACGTCGATGTGGTTGCCGAAGAGCCCGATGGGCGAGCGGTGGGCCCACAGGGCGTGGACCGCCTGCAGGGCCACCTCCTCGTAGATGCTGTTCCCGGTCAGGCGGCTCAGCGTGCCGAACTCGACGAGGAAGGTGCCCACGCCGGCCGTGCAGGTCACCGAGGTCTCGCCCTTGGGCACGCCGTAGCGGAGGTTCACCGTGCCGTAGGGCATGCCCGTGCTCGTGTCGAAGGCGGGCAGCAGGCGGCGGGCCACGTCCTCCGCCAGCCGCAGCAGCGGACCCCGGCAGGGCCAGCCCTGCTCCACCGCCAGGCCGGCCCGCTTGGAGAGCAGGTGGGCGGACAGCAGACCGCCCACGATGCGGATGTTCGTCTCGAACACGGACACGTTGATGTCCCGGTCGAAGTTCATCTTCTCCTCGAGCAGCCGGGCCACGCGGCGGAACTCCGTGAAGTTGCCCATGGCGGCCAGCGTGTCGAGGGCGTCGATCAGCGTCAGGGAGTAGCTGCCCCAGGTGTCGTGGCCGTCGCAGGTCAGCGGGCGCAGCTCGTCGTAGTTGGAGGCGTGGCGCAGGTAGCCCTCGTAGGCGTGCTGGAACATGCGGCGCACGTCCTCCCTGGAAAGGGTTCGAGATTAGCATTTGTTTGCCCATGGATGGATCGACCTACCGCAGCTCCAGCTTCCGCGCCTTGGAGTACTGCTTCTGGCCGTTGGCTCCGCCGGCGGTGGCCAGCAGGAGGAGCACCGCGCAGCTCAGGATCACCGTTCCGGTCATCTGCTGCTGCATCGTGGGAGAGTCAATCAATCAGGGCCGCTAATTCAATTATGGGCATGGTCAGTGCCCCATCGCCAGCGTGGATGTGGATATGTGGATGTCGAATGCGGCTACGTTGTCGCAAAATCACAACAACGCGAAGTTGCCTCGACCGCTCAATACCCTATCCTCGGATTTTTACTAATTATTTAGAAATATATGAAAGTATTTTAAAATTATTACCCATCTACATATTGTTTTTAATTTTATATACAATCTGAATTTAAAAACACCTTACTTATTTGACAGAAATAAGTTATAATTTTGTTAATAAATAAATACTGCTTCCTAGGCTGTACCTTCATCTCAACCAAAACAAAAACCTCAACAATCGGCTATGCCCCGCTGTAGGGTGCAATCAGCTGTTGCTGGCCGATAACTATCGGCAGGGTGGCCAAATCGCACACTGATTTTATTTAGCGACTGCAAGAGACCACAGCAGCTAGAAACAGTCCCAAAAAATTGTGTTTATAATTAAAATTTATTTTATAAATGAAAAGCGCGGCTTTCCATTGCTAAACACTCAAATTCGTGCCTAAAACTGTACCGATTGTTCGTGGTTGCTTTGCGCGGCACGCGCGCCTTTTCTTCTTCTATTCGCGGCGAGTTGGCAGCACCGACCTGTGTTTTTTTTTGCCCATTCAAAAGTGTGTGTTCGTACGGGTAAAAAGTGTTTAAAATTCAAAATAACCAGCGAAACGGCTGCCCACAACAGAAGCAACTGCAATAAGTGGTGAGTAACTGCCTTTCGTATTAGTTTTTACGCCCGGAGACCCTCCGGCTGAGCTCATCCAGAGATGGCCAGCCTTTGTTGGGCCTGCGGTACAACGAATCACCTTCCTGTCCACGGGCAGCGATGGGTTTCGATTCTGCATCGCGATCGCTGGGAAAATAGGCCCCAGTGGGGGATACACTGCCGCGCCCCCTCCGGAGGCAGTGCATCATGGCCCGGATACCCTGTGTTCCCCCCTTAAAACGCATTCCTCCGAATGCAATTGCGTATGCTTAATTGTCCGTTGGGCGAAAAGTAACAACATTGTGGGTCAAAGCCATGTGGGATTGGCCCTGGCCAGCCAGAAACCCCGTCGAAACCTTCCCCATAACCCGTAGGCTAGGGATGTATCGTTTCGCGTCTTCATTTCGCTCCCCCCTCGATATATTTGCAAAATTAAAAAATATTAGGGGAAAATATTAAATTTTTAAGACAGGGCTGTCGCCGCTCGCACGGATGGCATCGATAGCAGAGCGCCCGCTGCTGCGGCGACGGTGGCAACCCTTGGTGCGCACACGCAAAACCTATCGAGAACCCCACGGTCGATAAATACTTTCGTTGCTTTTTTCCAACGTCGTGTACAAAAAAAAGAAAAAAAGAGCAGGAAAAAAGCAAATACAAGGGAAATACCTGCAGAGTGCAGCCAGTAAAGTGTTTAATTTTGTTTCCCGTGGAGTGCCGACCAGTGTGCAATTGTCCAGTGGAAAGTGTGCAGTGAAAAATGCCCAGCACCAAAACCCAAAGGTGGCCAGCAAAAGCAATAACAAAATAGCAAAGAAAAGTGCTCGTGTGTTGGTGTGCTCGGGGGGTGGTGTGCGTTTCGCCCGTCCCGTGTCCATAAATTAGAATCGAAATCGAGCTGAAGTCACCGCGACGACGATGTCCGTCGACCAGGATCAATAACCACTATCACCATCGCCGTTGGACCATTAAGTTCTCCATATCCGGAGGCAATCGGAATCTGTACCTTGGAGGAATAGGAATCGGAATCGGAATTGGAATAGGAATCACGCGCGAATCGGCCACCCCAATACGGAAAACTGCTGAAAAATGTTAGCTAAACGCCAAGTTATCTACAATTATTATGGTTTGCCCCTGTGTGCGTGTGTGTGTGTGATAGCAAAGGCAAAATCAGCTCAAATTGCCATGCCAAATTGTCGCCCAATTAATTGATCTTTCAATTGGCGAGACACCCCCTACCTCCCCCATTTCCCACTCCCTATGTATACATATCCGTGCCTGGAACGCATCTCCGATTTTGCCAGTGCCGCACAAACCGCACACATATTGTATAACGCTTGTTTATCTTTGGACATTCCGATTTCCAAGTGGAGTACGGTGTGCGCAGTGTACGGTGTACGGTGTACTGGGTACAGTGAGGGCTGCCCAAGGTGGACGCGCAGATAAGCGGGACGGTTGTCACCTGTTTGACGGCCTTATCTGGAGAGCTTTACAGGCCACTCCGACTGACATGTTTGTTAGTTAGGACGGGAAAACCCGACTAGAAATCACCAACACGATAAAGTTGGATTCTTGAAAGATTGATACCTTAATAGGTGTAGAGATAGATATCTAGATATTGTAGCTGGGAAAACTGTATAACAAAAAGTTCCTTTTATAATTCCCTAGTTAATACAAAAACCAAAGAATTTGTTCCTATAAATATCTATTTATTGTAAACCTTTGTTTATTAATTTATTTTGTTTACCTTTTCATAGAATTTGATCTCTTGAGTTTGCGGAAAACTTTAAAAACGAGTCTTTTTCATTGCAAGTTAGGTAATACTACTATTTAGAGCTAAAAAAAAGAGCCCATTCCAATAAGAATACCTTACACAATGAGTTTTAAATAGTTTAAAGCAGCACTACCTGCTTAGAATCCCAATTAACCGAAATAAAAACAATCGAAAAACCTTGGGTGAGTCACCGATTAGCAGCTTTCACTGTACCTCACACCGCACACGCACTTGATCCCGATCCCAATCTCGAGTTCTCACGCACACAGGGGCCCACCGACGGTGGACGTGAGCAAATGTTTACTCAATAACCGTTCTTGCAGAGACCGCAGTAGGCGAATCAGCAGCGAGAAGGAAGGCGGCGGAGGAGGAGAAGGATCCAGATCCAGATCCAGTTGCAGATCCACCGCAGAGATTGGGTAAAGCACACACCACCAGCAGCAGCATGGTGAGTACCAATCTGGTGGTGCCGGTGGTGCTGTGGGGACCCACGGCGCCCACGCACTGCATCTCGAGCGTGTTCCTCTCGGACGACCAGTTCACCCTGGTGACCGGCTGCTACGACGGCCAGATCTGCCTGTGGCAGGTGGAGCCCAGCACCCTGAAGATGTCGCCGCGCTGCCTGCTGGTGGGCCACTCGGCGCCGGTGCTGTGCCTGGTGCGCGCCTCGCTGCTGCCGGAGAACAACTTCCTGGTCAGCTCGTCGGAGAACGGCGAGATGTGCACCTGGGACCTCACGGACGGCAAGTGCATGGAGGCGGTCAAGCTGCCCCAGGTGCACACCCAGATCCAGAGCTACCACACGGCCAACAGCGAGGACGTGCGCCTCTTCTGCATCGGCTACTACGCCGAGATCATGGTCATGGACCCCTTCAGCCTGGAGGTGATCTACGTGCTCAGCTCCAAGGTCAAGCCGGACTGGATATCCGCCCTCCACGTGCTGCGGCCCATGCGCCGCAAGGACGACGTGGTGCTGGCCATCACCACCACGGGCACGGTGAAGGTCTGGACGCTCACGGGCAACGAGAACAAGCACGCGGAGCCCATCTACGAAAACGAGTCCAAGGAGATCCGCTGCCTGAACGCCATCACGATGAACTGCTGCGCCCAGAACCAGCGCACCGTGCTGCTGGTCTGCACCAAGTACTGGCAGATCTACGACGCCGGCGACTTCACCGTTCTCTGCTCCGTGATCGCCCCGGCGCGGGAGCGCTGGCAGGGCGGGGACTTCCTCACCTCGGACCGCGTGATGCTCTGGACGGACGAGGGCAAGGGCTACCTGTACAAGCTGCCCGCCAACTGCATTCCGGACAACAAGGAGTTCCACTCGAAGAGCGTGGTCCGGGACGCGCCCTACCTGTACTACGTGCTGCAGCACGCGGGCGACAAGGTGCTCTCCTGCCCGCCGGCCATGAAGCTGCTCCAGGGCGCCGGCGGGCAGCACAACCTGCTGCGCGGCGACTCCGAGGGCTACATCTCGGTGTGGAACGTGCCGGAGGTGCCGCTGGACAACATCAGCATCCTGCAGGCCAAGCAGATGCCGCCGCGCGTGCTCAAGCCGCACGTGTGCACCTCGCTGGTGGAGGCCTGGTCCATCATGGACCCGCCGCCCGTAGGCATCCTGGACCAGCTGTCGCGCATCACGGAGTCGCCGGTGAAGCTCACCTCGAGCATCTACCTGCCGCAGCAGAGCCGCCTGGTGATCGGGCGCGAGGACGGCAGCATCGTGATCGTGCCGGCCACCCAGACGGTGATGATGCAGCTGCTGGTGGGCATCAAGCAGAACTTCAGCGACTGGCCCTCGCACCAGATCCTGTACGGCCATCGTGGAAGGGTTAATTGCCTGCTCTGTCCCTCGATGATACACTCGCGCTACGAGAAGTCGCACCTGCTCTCGGGCGGCATCGACTTCGCCGTCTGCCTGTGGGACCTGTACAGCGGCAGCCTGCTGCACCGCTTCTGCGTCCACGCCGGCGAGATCACGCAGCTGCTGGTGCCGCCGGAGAGCTGCAGCCCGCGCATTCTCAAGTGCATCTGTTCGGTGGCCTCGGACCACTCGGTGACGCTGGTCTCGCTGCAGGAGCGCAAGTGCGTCACCCTGGCCAGCAGGCACCTCTTCCCCGTGGTCACCATCAAGTGGCGCCCGTTGGACGACTTCCTCATCGTGGGCTGCTCGGACGGCAGTGTGTACGTGTGGCAGATGGAGACGGGCCACCTGGACCGCGTGCTCCACGGAATGCTGGCCGAGGAGGTGCTGTCGGCCTGCGACGAGCAGGCGGAGGACGGAGGGTCGGGAAGTGGTACTGTATCCAATGGGACTTCGGCCAGCGAGATGGGCATGGCCAATCCGGCAGTGCACTTCTTCCGCGGCCTCAAGTCGCGCAACATGAACGCCATCCGTCACGCGACGCAGCGCGGGATCAACCAGCTGCAGCAGCTGCAGGGACACAACCAGGGAAACTTCGACTTCCTGATGAAGCACCGCAGCAACCCGCTGGTCATCCAGGGACTGCGCACCAACCCCAAGGACGCCGAGAGCCACATCCTCTTCTTCGACATCGAGGGCCTGATCTTCGAGCTGCACAGCGAGGAGTACGCCCAGATGACGCCGGCCACGCTGGAGTCGCTCGGGGTGCACCTGCAGAACCCCAAGGACGGCAAGTCGATGCACCTGGACGCGAGCAAGAAGATCGGCGACTTCTTCAGCAAGGTCAAGAACAAGGCGGTGGACGTGGAGAAGATCCTGAAGGACAAGGACAAGCACGGCCTGGTGCAAAAGTTCAAGGAGAAGACCGAGATCGTGGAGAAGAAGGTGCAGGCCAAGGTGGAGAGCCTGCAGAAGGCGGTGGAGCCGCACGAGGAGCAGCAGGACCTCCGGAGCAAGATCGCCTCCAAGATGGAGGTCACGCACGTGATGGAGGTGGCCCAGCTGCTGCTCTCGCTGCTGCACTCCTGGGGCCTGGACCCGCACCTGGACAAGATGTGCGAGACGCGGCTGGGCCTGCTGCGCCCCATAGTGCCCATCTCCTACGGCGTGCTCTCCAAGGCCGGCTACATGTCCCTGCTGCTGCCCACGTGGCAGAACAACTACGCCATTCCGCCGGGCCTCCAGCTGCCCTCCAGCTCCAAGAAGCGCCCGCTGCCGGAGGAGCTGCAGCGCCTGGAGCACCTGACCGCCGTCTTCACCTCGCGCCTGCACTGGGAGCTGAGCACCACGCTGACCACCAACCACATCCTGGCCCTGGTGGCCATGTCCAACACGCTGCTCTCGATGAGCGCGGCCTCCTTCCTGCCGGACAGCGAGAAGCACAAGAAGCTGCAGCGCCTGGCCCAGCGCACGGACTCCACGCTGAGCAACGAGGAGGAGCGCGAGGAGCTGCTGGCCCACCACGTCTCGCAGATCAAGCACGCCTGGAGCCTGCTGGCCACCCACCACTGCTTCCTGCTGCCGGATAAGATCGAGGCCCTCGAGCCCAGGAAGTTCAAGCGGCCGCAGGTGGAGATGATGGTCAAGCGCTGGCAGCACCACTGCATCGAGATCCGGGAGGCGGCCCAGCAGATCCTGCTCGGCGAGCTCACCCGCATGGGCAAGAAGGGCCGCAAGCAGCTGGTCGAGAGCTGGGCGCAGTACCTGCCGCTCTACACGCACACGGAGCCCATAGTGGGGGCCCAGCAGCAGCTGGCGCTGATCAGCCAGCCGGCGGGTGGCGGAGCGGGCGGAGGAGCGGGCGGCAATGGCGGCGGAGGAGGAGGAGGCGTGGGAGGAGGTTCCGGAGGAGGAGGCGGCGGAACTGGAGGTGCCGGCAACGTGGCGGGCGGCGATCCGCACCAGGACGAGGACTACGAGGAGGAGGAGGAGGAGATCATACGCAAGCCATCCAGCCTGTCGGAGCTGAAGCGCAAGCAGACCACGGCAGTCATACTTCTAGGGGTCATAGGAGCCGAGTTCGGTCAGGACATCTCGCAGGAGTCGCCGAACCACCGGGGCAGCATCAGCATGGCCACGGGAGCGAGTCTCACCAGTGGCGCTGCCGCCGGCGGCGAGCGGAGGAAGTCGAGTGTGGTGGAGGGCTTCGGCATAGCCAACAACCTGGCCCGGCTCACCTCCATGGCCCTGGCCCACCTGCTGTACGCGCCGCCGTCCCCGAAGCTGCCGCAGTACACGCCGCTGCGCCGGGCGGCCATCGACCTGCTGGGCAGGGGCTTCACCGTGTGGGAGCCCTACCTGGACGTGTCCAAGGTGCTGCTCGGCCTGCTGGAGATCTCGTGCGAGGGCAAGGCGGTGCCGAACCTGAACTACAAGCTGCCGCTGACCCCGCAGGCCGACGCCTGCCGGACGGCCAGGCACGCGCTGCGGCTGATAGCCACCGCCCGGCCGGCGGCCTTCATCACCACCATGGCCCGCGAGGTGGCCAGGTACAACACGATGCAGCAGAACGCGCAGTCCATCAACGCGCCGCTCACCCAGTCCGTGCTGCACAAGGCCAAGGGCGAGATCCTGCAGTGCGTGGAGATGCTGATCGACAAGATGCAGTCCGAGATCGCCGGCCTGCTGGTCGAGGTGATGGACATCGCCCTGCACTGCGTGGACAGCAACGAGCTGAAGAGCCGCGGCCTGGCCGACCTCTGCCCGGCCATCTGCCGCTTCAACCAGATCTCGCACTGCGCCCAGACGCGCCGCATCGCCGTGGGCGCCAACAGCGGCAACCTGGCCATCTACGAGCTGCGCCAGAACAAGTGCCAGATGATCCCGGCCCACACGCACCCCATCACCTCGCTGGCCTTCTCGCCCGACGGCAAGTACCTGGTCTCGTACTCCTGCGCCGAGAACCGCCTCTCCTTCTGGCAGACCTCCACGGGCATGTTCGGCCTGGGCCAGTCGCAGACGCGCTGCACGAAGGGCTACTCCACGGCGCCCATTCCGGACGTGTCGCGGCTCAACCCGATGCGGCTGGCCAAGCTGGTGTGGATCAACAACCGCACGGTGACTTTAATGCTGGCCGACGGGTCGGAGACGCGATTCAATGTCTAGGGAGGAAGCAGAGGAGGAGCAGGATAATAAGGAGAGTCCTTCGGGGTGTATAGCATGTTATTAGGCAATCAGCGCGGGCTTCAAAAGCAGCAGGAGGAGCAGGATGATTCGCAGGAGGAGCAGAAACGACATAACAATAATTATTCAAAAATAAACAAAAATACAAGAAAAACAGAAACGTCTGGCGTTTCGTTAAAAATAATTAAGGCAGAGGAAACAAAGAAAAGCTAAGCAACATTAAGTCAAAAACTTAGGCAAACGAAAACTAAGCAAAATGAATGCAAACAACAATTCACAACACACATTTTGTTATTTATTTATATACTTACCCTATATATCTGTAACTTATCTGTATCCGTATCCGTATCTGTATCTGTATGTATTTTAATGTATTACACGATTTTAATATGCCCCCTATATTCCCCCTGCTACGTCCATTTTACTTTTTAGTGCTAAACTTTTACTACCCATCTACTCTTTAAACACGTGTTTCTGTTCTTGTTGTTCGCTTCCCATGCGGAAAAAACAAAAACTAAATCCAAATATTAACAAAGTAAACAACAATTAACCAGATGCAGGCAAATAACAACCACAACCACACGAGAATCAACAAAGGAAATGAAAAAACGATAAAAAACAAAGAATGAAAAGCTGTTATTATTATTACACAACTATTATTATTACTATTGTATGCTACTATTATTATTATTGATATTTGTTATGCCTAATGTATTGTTATATATATATATCTAAAATAAACCTAAACAAATGTATTGAGCAAAGTTACGAAACGAAACGAAACAAAAAACAAATCACCAAGAAGGAAAACGAACATTAACTAGAGAGCGAAGAGTTTTTTTTTTTTGAATACTATAATTACTGTAATTCCCATATAGTTTCTTCTTTCGATGTAATATTTCCGCTAAAGCGTGTGTAAAAAGTCTTTGTTGTTCTGTGAAAATGTTATAGGAAAATCGAAATCTGTTTATAAAGTGCGAGCCACACAATACACACACATAATTTATTTGCGGCGTTAGTGTGCATCGATGCATCGAGCGAATAACGGTACTCGGGGGCCTGAGAAGTCAACTGTCAAACCCAGAAATGCGGTTAAAACTATTTATCCTAACTCTATATATATATACATATATATACCCAACTGAATTTGCAATATGTGTTCGTTTACGTATTCAATACAACACAGGCAAACACACGTGTACTATGTGAGAGAGTTAATTGAATTTGTGCTTAATTTCAATTACGAATTATATATATATTTACATGGATATATATGTGAAGATACATGCATACTTATATACGAAATCCTTCAATCAAAGTATTACACAAACGAAACGAAGCAACTACAACAATTATGTACGGAGTATACAACAAATAAAGTCAACCAAACATGAGCAAATCCTGGCATTTTCCACTGGTGGCGGTAAAAAAAAGTGTGGCCAACGCCGGGATTGAAGCACACTGAAGGCAGTGTGGCCGTGCTGTTTTCGTTAGTACAGTTAAGTACAGTCTGCCTGCTGTAACTACCTTAGACACTATTTATAATCTAATCTACTGCCCTCTCAACTGACCAACTCTATGCTCCTCGAATTTCAGCTTTTTGCTCGCCCAGTGAGAATGCCCGTCGCAGAAGCCCACAAAGGCCGGGGCAGGAAGGCAGCAGCTTCCGCATCCGCATCCGCCGCAGCCCGGAGGCAGTCCGCCGCCCTCAGCGAGGAGGAGGATGGTTCCAGCAGCAACAACGTTCAGCCGATGGACCAGGACGACGAGAACAACCGCGATGATCTTGATCTCGACGACGACGACGGCGGGGAGGAGGAGGAGGAGGAGGAGCACGTCGACGAGGAGGACGAGGACGAGGAGCCGGACAGCAACGAGACCAGCGAGCCGGAGGAGCAGGTGGAGCCGCCGGCCTTCAGCCTGGCCACGCTGGGCCTGCAGCGCGTGGGCAGTGCCCCGCCCCCGAAGCCCAAGGTCCAGAAGGCCCCCATCCTGACCCTGAACGCCCGCGGAATGCCCGCCCGCATCCGCAAGCGGAACCGCCTCTTCTACGACGAGAACATCATCAACGACGACAAGCCGCTGCGCATGAGCCTGGCCCCCAAGAAGCTGCCCGGCCGCCCGCCGCTCTCCGCCGGCGGAGGCTCCGCCCAGAAGACCCCGCTCACGCCCTCCAAGGTGCTGAAGAAGCGCAAGGGCGTCGTCTCCCGCTACATGCGATCCAGTGAGCAGGGCTCCAGCTCGGCCAGCAGTCAGTCGGCTGCTGCTCCTGCTGCTCCCGCTGGTGGCAAGCACAAGAAGACGCCGTCGAAGGCTCAGTCGGCCAGCAAGATGGGCCCCAGATCCGGCAGAGGAGCCCACTTGATCGGCGGCAAGGGAGCGGCTGCAGCGGCGGCGGCGGCGGCGGCTGCCGAGGAGGAGGCCAGCCAGGCGGAGGCCACGGCGCTGGCCAACAAGCGGCTGGGCCAGTCCATCGGCCTGCGGCTGCGCAACCTGCTCAAGCTGCCGAAGGCCCACAAGTGGGCCATCGCCGAGTGGTTCTACTCGTACATCGACCGGCCGCTCTTCGACTGCCGCGACGAGTTCATGAACCACGTGAACGAGCTGGCGCCGCGGCTGGGCACCCGGAGCCTCAACCGCCACGAGTGGGTGAACATCCGGCGGCGGATGGGCAGGCCGCGCCGCTGCTCGGCGAACTTCTTCAGCGAGGAGCGCAAGGAGCTGGACAGGAAGCGCCAGCTGATGCGCACGCTGCAGTCGCGCAAGCCCGGCGAGTTCAAGGACTCGGTGCTGCTGGCGGACATGCCGGAGAAGATACCGATGCCCCTGCCGCTGGGCACCAAGGTGACCGCCAGGCTGAGGACGCCCCAGGACGGCATCTTCGCCGGCACGGTGGCCGCCTACGACTCCCTGAACGCCATGTACCGCGTGACCTTCGAGCGACCCGGCCTGGGCACCCACGCCATCCCCGACTACGAGATCGTCTCCGAGAACTTCCACGAGATGCTGCCGCTGCACAGCTTCACCAAGGACTTCCGGCCGAACCTGATGAGCATCTACCAGACGAACAACCTGGGCTTCACCACCAACCTGGGCTTCACCGCCAACCTGAGCAACAACTATCTGCAGAAGAAGGACAAGGCGGGAGGAGGCGGCGGAGGAGGAGCAGCCGGAGCCAAGCAGCCGCAGAAGCACCTGGCCAGCAACAACGCGGCCGCCCGGAACGCGCTCAGCATGAAGCTGAACAAGAGCGACCCCCTGCTGGGCCAGGACTGCGTCGGCGAGAGCCCCATCCGCCAGCAGCTGGCGCGGCACCACGCCTACTCCAGCTCCCTGCTGGAGCACCTGGTGCACCTGGAGAAGCACATCGCCGTCAAGGCGGACCGCATCCAGCGGCTGAACAAGATGAACGCCACCGCCGAGCTGGCCATGGGCGAGATGGTCAGCCAGGACGAGAACGGGGACCGCCACCGCCGCCAGATCGCCGACAACTTCCAGCGGCAGTACGCCTTCAACATCGTGTCCATCGAGCGGCTCAACGGCGAGCTCATGTTCGAGCTGACCAAGGTGCAGGAGATGTCCAGCAGCCTGACGCGCAACCCCAACGTCCAGGCCATGATCTCGCCCACCTACCTGCGCGAGGAGTGCCGCGCCAAGGCCTCGCAGACGGTGGACGACATCAACAAGGGCATGGTGAAGAATCCCCGCATGATCCGGCTGCTCAAGAACCTCACCACGCTGCTGATCGTCACCCAGAATCTCGGCGGCGACTGCGACGTCGGCGAGGTGAACAAGGTGCTCGAGGGCTGCCTGGAGGAGGTGCGCAGCAACCTCTTCTGCGGCGACAACAGCGAGGTCTTCCAGAAGAGCGTCCAGGTGCGGCTGGAGTACATAGCCATGGACATTAGCAGGAGCTTGGAGGAGCGCAGCGCGAGTCGCATGGCGGAGGGCGATGACCTGAAGTCGCTCAAGTCGGAGGACAACGAGGGGGATGCCGATCAGGGGCAGGAGCACAAGCAGGCAGAGCCCTCTGGCGACACCGCCAAGACGAAAGCGAAGGGCCGCCCCAAGCAGGCCGAGAAGAAGGAGCAGGCGGACAAGGACCAGAAGGAGCAGCTCATGGACACCGAGGAGGAGGAGGTGGAGGAGGAGGAGAAGCTGGACTCCGACGAGCACGAGCACGACACCGAGGAGCAGCACCTGGACCCCGAGGAGGAGCAGTCGCCCAAGCCGGCCGCCACCGAGGACACGCAAATCACCATCGAGTCGATGAAGGAGTCGGATGAGGAGTTCCAATCCACAGCCGAGACGGAGGAGGAGGACGACATGGTTGGCCTGGAGCAGCTGAAGATGGAGGGGGACGAGGAGGAGGAGTTCCTGTACGTGAAGTAGCCGCCGAGGACCCAGGATCGAGCACCGAGCACCAGACCCCAGCTCCTCCGCATATTCGCTTGCCGAATACCGACTTTTTTTATTTAGTTTATTTTCCCGGGCGTTTGAACACGAGTGTGAGTGGAGAGTTCCGGAGAACGCGTCGCAATAAGAAATGTATCAACATGGCCCACGGAAATCGCTGGGACCCCTTAACGTTTTTTTTATGTATAGCACCGACTTTGTAAGAGAGCCTTCAATAAAAGGAAGTGTGAAAAAAAGTGCGAGTTATTTGTGGGAAGGGTTTTCTATTGGTAATCTATTTCTATTCTTAAAGCAGTGTCAAATTGTATTTGCAAATTAGAGCCCTGCTCGAATCATTCAATTTTTGTTTTATCATAGTATGCCATGAAGTTTCTGATTAATTTAATTCTATGTGAAATAAATTGAATGTTTTTCTAATTCATTTCGAATTGAATGAATGAATTTTTTGAATTTGCCAGATTTATTTTGTGCTTTCTTTTGAGAACAAAAAGAGGAAAATTGTTAACTAATCAACTGCTTGGAAAATAAAATTCATGCAGATTTAATCGCAAAATTGTGGTATTTTCTTCTTCAAAAGAAATTGTCGTTTGTCATTCATTCAATTCTATTAAACTGAAAAATTCAAATTCATTCAATTCTATTAAACTCAAAATTCTAATTAATTCATTCGTATAAAACAAAAAATTCTAAATAATTCATTGAATCCATACATGCAGGCTCTATTACAAATACTTTTCTTTGATTTTCCCTTCTTTTATTTGGATGAACCATGGCGTGGTAATAAAAGGAAGTGTGAAAAATAGTGCAAGGAAAATTCCTTCAATAAAAGGAAGTGTGAAAAATGGTGCAAGTTATTTATGGGAAGGGTTTTCTATTGGTAATCTATTTCTATTCTAAAAGAAGTGCCAAAAATACTTTTCTTTGATTTTCCTTACTTTTATTTGGATGAACCATAGCATGGTTCAATAAAGATTACAGAGGAAAGGCTTAGAAAAACAGTACAAAATAGCGGCCAAGACTTAGTCCTCTTCCTCCTCATCGTCGTCGTCCTCCTCGCTGGACTGATCCAGCCAGGCCACGAGCTTCGCCAGGCTCTGGCGCAGATGTCCGTGCTCCTCCTCGTCCAGCTGCTCGAACCAGCCCTGGATGGCGTCCTCGGACACAAAGTCCTTGTCGTACAGGTAGTGGACGATCTGCGAGATCTTCTCCCGCACCAGCGGATTCTCCTCGTACACATCCTGCAATCAATAGTCAAGTAATCAAGTCAGGAAGCAAGTCGAGCCATTAACTGACCTCCAGCGCCTTGAGGCAATCCAGCATGGCCTCCTCGCTCTTAATGTAGTTGGAGACCACGGGTCCCAGCTGCTTGAAGGCGGCATTTATGGCCACCAGCACGTTGTTGTTCGCCGGCTCCACGATGCTCTGCATGCCGAACACGGCCTTCACCACATTGAAGTTGACCTCCTTGAGGGACATGTTGTAGGCGTAGCGCGACGAGTTGATCTCCAGGATGAGGAAGTCGGGATTGGACTTTTCGCGGAAGCCTCGCGTCAGGGAGTCGATCACCTCGCCCAGGAAAACTAATGGAAAAGCAAGAGGAAAAGGTAAGTAAAGAGCATTTTCCTGCCTCTCCTCAACACTCACTGTTTGTGTCGTCGGGCAGCGGGGTCACCGCCCGCGAGGCATCCTCGTCGTCCTCGCTGAGATCGCTGCAGTCGCTGATCTCGTCCAGCGGCGCCGGGAGGTCGCCCATCTTGGGTATGCTCAGCGGCTGCTGCGGCAGCAAGTCCTCGCCCTCGGAGTCCTCGGGGTCGCCGGTGGTGAGATCGCTCACGATGAAGGCGCGCGGACCGAGGGACTCCAACTCGACGGCCACCGCCTCCTCCTCGCCGCGCTGCGTGCTGGGCGTGCTGGTGACGAGGGTCCTGGCCAGCGTGGTGCCGGCCGGCAGCTCGCTCCCGGCCCCCAGCACGCAGCCGGCGCTCACGTCGCAGTTCTCGTTGACGGTGGCGCCCGCACCCACCACGCAGTGCTCCAGCCGGCAGTTGTCCCCCACGACGACGTCGGCCATGAGGAAGACGTTGGTCAGCCGGCAGTTCCGGCCAATCCGGCAGTTGGCGCCGATCACGCTGTCGCCGATCAGCGAGCCCGTGTCCACGCGACTCCCGGCCTGGATGACCACGTTCTGGTGCAGCGCCACCTTCGAGACCTGCGCCCCGGGGCTCTTGTAGATGTTGTCCCGGTGGAAGACGTACTGCTGCTGCAGCTTGTAGACGCCCATGTCCGGCACGAGCGGGTAGGCCCAGCGGTTAATGATGTCCCGGCTGACCAGCTGGTAGGCCGGCCAGCTGTTCACCTTGTGCGCGTACTGGGCCGCCGGCAGCAGGGCCACGTAGATGCGGCTGTCCAGCAGCTCCTCGTTGATCAGCAGGCCGCGCACGAAGTCGTCGCGCGTCTGGAAGTCGAAGTTGTCGCTGAACAGGGAGAGCATGGACGGCGAGCCGATGGCGATCTGCGGATCGAGCAGCTTGTGGTGCAGCGCCACGCACGCGTTGCCCAGGAAGACGTCGAGCGGGATCTGGTAGCGCGGCTCCTTCTGGTGCGTCCGCAGCCGCTGGTGGTAGTGCAGCCGGTCGTTGCGGCGGTCCACGGCGATCAGCAGCTCGTTGCCGGTGCGCCCGTGGCTGGCGCACTCCTTGAACACCAGCGTGGCGGCCGTGCCCTTGTCGAACTTGGCCTGCCGCTTGTGCTGCTCCAGCACCGGGCGCAGGTCGGCGTTGGTCACCGTGTCGGCGCCCAGCAGGATGAAGTGGCCGCGGATCAGCGCCTTGGCGTCCAGGTCGCGCATGGCGTCGCCGAAGCAGCGGCAGCCCTCGCCGCCGATCACGTGGACGGTCATCTTGAAGGACCAGGAGGCGTACGTGGCAATGCCAGCCCTGCGGGAAACGAAAATCGTGGGTTAGACCTGCAATTGCATCATCCTGGCCAAGCCACCCACTTGATGTGATCCCGGATGTCCTGCAGGTAGAGGCTGGCGTACACGAACACCTCCTCCACGCCGCTGCGGTTGAGGGCGATGAGTGCGTAGTCCAGCATCCTCACGTTCACCAGCGGCAGCAGAGCCTGTCGAGAAACGGGTGGTTTAGTGGTTTAGTGGGGTGGAGGGATTGCGGTTCCTGGGAGGATCACCCACCGTGGAGCCCTCGTCGGAGAGCGGCTTGAAGTTCCACACATTGTTGTCGGCTATCAGCACCGCCTGCACGATTTCCTTCTCGAACTGGGCCATTTCCTCGGCTTTCCTCTTGGATTTCGGTTTTTGGGGACTTGGAGCGTTTCCCCACGCGATTGCGATTGCGATAACAACAGTGCTATCGGTTAGCCAAGTTCGCAATCATTTACGAGTGGGTCTGGGATGGTCACCCCTAGCCAAGTTCCGCACCGCACACTGATTCGTGGTATTTCCGGGCATTTGCAAACTGGTCACCGAGCCCATTGCCCGGAAAATAAATCGAAACAAATAATAAAATTACGCCAGTAATTAGGGTCTTGCGGGTGTTTGTGCCCCGTGTTGAGTGTGTTTCCTGGCCACCCCGCACCCGGTCAGCCGGTGGAGATTCGCCCAGCAATTATTACCATTGTCATCGCATTCGCATTTCCACTGATGAATAAGTGCCCCTGTGCGCGCGTGTGTGTGTGCGTGCGATACACCCACCTTGAGGGAGCACGACAACAACAGTAAATCAAGCGAGAAGACGGAAAACTGAAAACAAACACGGGGCTGCGACTGCATACATTCCGGTTATTCCACGGTTACGCAGCCCAAGAGCAGGGTCACCCCGTCACCTGGCCACCAGAAACCAGAAGCCCAGCAAAGAACACTTCCAATCCGACCCCGTAATACATCACACACCATATAGCCCATACGAATACGAATACCACTTTGCTGGGCGTTCGCGCCAACTATAAATAGAAAAAGCAACAACGCAGCAGCAACAGCACAGCACAGCAAACAACTGTCCATATCCCTATCTACATACATTTATCGACTCGACGCAGAAGAAGAACCACCCAAGTATTACTGCAATCTTCATTCCGAGATTAAGGGAGCCAGCAGGCGGAGGAGGAAGCATAACCATAACCACATCAGGAAAATGGACACGGCGAGCTCAGGGGACAGTGTGCCCAATGGAACCGCTCCTGCGGCCACCAGGACGCTCAAGGACATCGTCAAGGAGCGGTTCAAGGAGGACGAGACCATAGAATACGTAAGCAATCAGTAGTTAGTCAGGAGTAGTAGAAGAAATGGCTTATGGGCACTATATAACAATTGTCATCCAAAAACAAAGCTTAAAATATGAATATTAAAGGACTCCTAATATGGGACCCTAAGAACCTACACCATAAATATGTGCTAACGAATCTTACCACTAAAAATATGATTAATTTCATCGTCGTCCGTCTTAATCGATATAAATTAATTTTTTATTTTACAATGGGAGTTGTATGACCTAATATTTCTTTAATATGAATCAAATAATTGAAAACACGCCACGTTGTTTTTTATATGGTATTTTGACTACTCATATACCCGTATTTGGAGTTTTTTCCATAGAGATCCCAATAGTTTTCAAATTGTAACTTCGTAGTTGAGATCTGAAAATAAACTTAATTGTTTAAAAACAATATTAATTTTTATTTTGAATTGTCCACGTTTTTTCATCATTTGTACTATGACTAACTCCCCAAACACAATGCCAAAGCATTTCTTGTACACTCTGATAAGAAGCCAAGCCTACTGCTTTCTCTATAAGCATGTATATTATCAACTAATTGGAACAATCCTTTCTTTTCACAGCTATTCGAGGCTTATCAGATCAAGGGGCCGGAGTACACCAACCGGCTTTTGGCGCTGGTTTCCTCACAGTCGGGCGGAACCTTCGCCATCGTCGCCTTCTCCTACCTGCGCACTCCGCTGACCTCCGTGAACGAGCTGATCATCAACAAGGTGTTCGCCATCGACCACAACTTCCAGTTGAGGCAGGGTAAGGAGTTGTCGTGGATCTAGAATCTAAGATTATAAAACTCCAAAACAGAAAAAATCCAATTTCAGTAATCATTGATTAGTTGTATCTTTGCTGGCTAAACTAATTGCCTTAAACGCCTGTTATTTGCCATTTTAAATGGATGACAAATATTTAACTCACAACATTGCACTGAACAGAAGCTGTTTGTAAAGTAGACACCTAATCAATAAAGTTCGTTCTTAATTATAGGCAAATAACAGAATAGATGTGTACTTACATTTACAAATACGTAAAGAAAGTGTCAGTAGTTCGTGTTTAGAAATTGCAAACTGATAGTTAATTGTTTATCTGCTCCATTGGTTCCCTTTCCAGATAGCAAGAGCTCCATCACCACGCAGCAGTTTGACCTGTCCACAGCCGAGGATGGGCCCATCAAGTACTACTACTACGCCACAGAGGGCGACCACTACGAGGAGTTCGTGGCCAAGGTGATCTCCTTCAAGAGCACCATGACCCAGCACGACCCCGAGACGGTGCTCAACTTCAGGTGGCTCAACGACTACCGGCAAATCGGAGAGGTGAAGCAGGAGCTGAAGAAGCGGGAGAGCGAGTACATTGTCTACAAGGATATCATGTGAGTGGAACCCTGTTAACCCCCCTGATATTTTTATACTCACTGGTTTGTGATCTTGCCCTGCAGCATCTACTGCGCCACGTGGAATGTGAACAACAAGACCTGCAGCGACAGCCAGAACCCACTGAGAGCCTGGCTGGCGTGCAGTGAGCAGCCGCCGGACATCTATGCCATCGGGCTGCAGGAGCTGGACACTCCCACCAAGGCCATGCTCAACTCCACCCAGGTGCAGGCCCTCGAGAAGCACTGGATGTGAGTGTTCCTATGGGTTATTTTATATTTTAATGCCATTTCACAATTGTGCTCGCCCTGGCAGCGATATGATGATGGACAGCGTCCACCCGGACGTGGAGTACGAGATCCTGATGTCGCACCGCCTGGTGGCCACCATGCTGACGGTCATCGTGCGCAAGGAGCTGCGGCAGCACATCATCCGCTGCCGCCCCAAGTCGGTGGCCCGCGGCATCTTCAACACGCTGGGCAACAAGGGCGGCGTGGCCATCAGCCTGCAGCTGAACGAGGGGAACATCTGCTTCGTCAACTCCCACCTGGCCGCCCACATGGGCTACGTGGAGGAGCGCAATCAGGACTACAATGCCATCGTGGAGGGCATACGCTTTGACGACGGACGCACCATCAGCGATCACGAGTGAGTGAGGGGGAAAACAGGTTGATAAATATCAGTTTTTTTGCCGAAACAAAGGAAATATTAGTCCAAATATGGAATGCCATACCTTGTTGAACTCGTAGCTTAATACTGAATCGATTTGCGTTCAAATCTGGACATTTTAATTTTTGGCCGTTTTTTTCAAAAAATAACAAAATTGCGAAAATTGGGTCAAAAATTAATTTTCTCAAATCAGTCGGAAAGTGCGCTGATATTAATATTTAGGTTGTCAGCTGCACAAAACAGTGCGCCTTTTTGATTTGGGACCATTTTTGTCCAAGTTACAGCAAAAAATCCATTTAAAAAAATCAAATTTTTACCAAAAATCGAGATCCTGATTTTTCACCCCGAAAACAAACAGAATTTTGGCCAGAACAAAGAAAATAATGCGCCAAATATGGAATGTCATACATCGTTGAACTCGTAATAAAATTCCGAATCGATTGGCATTTCAACCTGGAAATGTTTAATTTTGGCCATTTTTCGCAAAAAATCATAATGGGACCCCTTATCAAAAATGCGAAAATTGGTGAAAAATTAAATTTTCTCGGAAGTGATGGGGATCGTTAGTTTAGGTTGTTAGCTGTCCAAAACAGTCGGTCGCTTAACTGTCGGCCTTGATTTGTCCAAATTACGACTAAAAAACCGAAGAAAAAATTAATTTTGGTCTAAAATTTCTATTTTACCCTAAATAAAATATATTTATTGGACAAAGTGGCACTTAATCCTTGTAAATATTAGAGAAGTTTTAAGAAATGTTTTCATTTCTGAAGTATTTAACAATAGTTCAAAGTCATCAGTATAGAAAAGTACTAACATTTAGGGGGACTTTAAAGCGTTTACACAACTGAACTAACTTCGCCATGGTCTTCTTTTTGCAGTCACATCTTCTGGGTGGGCGACCTAAACTATCGCATCCAGGAGCCGCCCGGCCAGCAGCGACCAGGACCGCTGAGCGACGCCCAGACCTACGAGCTGCTCCTGCAATACGACCAGCTGCGCCAGGAGATGCGGCGCGGCAAGTGCTTCGAGGGCTACACCGAGGGCGACATCAAGTTCCGGCCGACGTACAAGTACGACCCGGGCACGGACAACTACGACAGCAGCGAGAAGCAGCGGGCGCCGGCCTACTGCGACCGGGTGCTCTGGAAGGGGACGCGCATCGAGCAGCTGGCCTACAACAGCATCATGGAGATTCGCCAGAGCGACCACAAGCCGGTGTACGCGGTGTTCCGCGTGAAGATCAAGACGCGCGACGAGGTCAAGTACAAGCGGGTGCAGGAGGAGGTGCTGAAGGCGGTGGACAAGCGGGAGAACGACAACCAGCCGCAGATCAATGTGGAGAAGACGGTGATTGACTTCGGAACGGTGCGCTTCAACGAGGCGACCACGCGGGACTTCAACGTCTACAACAACTGCCCGCTGCCCGTGGACTTCAGCTTCAAGGAGAAGGACATCCACGCCATCTGCGAGCCCTGGTTGCATGTCGACCCGCGCCAGGACTCGCTGCTCATCGACTCCGCCCGCAGCATCCGTCTGAAGATGCACGCCAATGTGCGCACCATCGCGGGCCTGCTGCGCAAGATCCGCGCCAGCGACAACTTTGATATACTCATCCTGCACGTGGAGAACGGGCGGGACATCTTCATCACGGTCACCGGCGACTACCAGCCCAGCTGCTTCGGCCTCTCCATGGAGACGATGTGCCGCACCGACCGCCCCCTGAGCGAGTTCTCCCAGGAGCAGATCAAGCAGCTGGTGAGTAGGGTTTTAGATTATCTTTTAAAAAGATTAGTGGAATACATTTAAACTCACCTTGCCTGCAGATGAACGACGAGTCGCCGGAGTACCGCGTGACCATGCCGCGCGAGTTCTTCCTGCTGATCGACTACCTGTACAGGCAGGGCTCCAAGCAGGTGGGCGCCTTTCCGTCCTACGACGCGCGCCTCTCCCTCGGCGCCCAGTTCAACGCGGTGCGCGACTGGCTGGACACCTGGTCGGACGAGCCGTTCCGTAAGTTGGCCACCTTGCAAGCTCTAAATATTTCTAATCATTATTTATTACTGGCAGCTGCCAATGCGGAGACCGCTGCGCAGGCGCTGCTGCTCCTGCTGGATCTGCCGGAGCAGGCGCTCCTGGAGCCGGTGGTCGAGAACCTGCTGGAGTGCAGCAACAAGTCGCAGGCCATGGACTACATCTCGCTGCTGAGTCCGCCCAAGCGCAATGTCTTCATGCACCTGTGCATGTTCCTGCGCGCGGGCATCGAGAGTCAGTACTACGACCTGCACCAAGTCGGTGGGTAGAGATCCCATCCAAGCTGTGTATCATCCATATAACCCCTTCCTATCCCCGACAGCCTCCACCTTCGGACGCATCCTGCTGCGCAGCACCGAGCGCGCCGCCTGGATGGACTACCACAGCCGCTGCATCCAGTTCATGCGGCTCTTCATCGACTCGGACGCCGAGACAGTGGGCAACGGCAACGAGGGCGCCGGAACGGGAACGGGAACAGGATCCGGATCCGGGGCGAGGGCCGGACTGCAGGCTTAGTCCGGGCGATAGTTGTACGAGTCTGTTGATAGTTAGTGTTAGGCTATTTATTTTACTTGTTGGTACTTTGTTGGCAATTAGCATTTATAGTTTCTCTGTTTTACCTGTTAATTGTTTGTGCCCGCCTTCCGTTCATTCCAACTTGGTTGCCCCGCCCCACATCCCGGTTATGTATATCACCTGGTTGCAATGCAAACATCACATCAAGTCTCGAAGCATGAAACTTGGGATCCATGGAGGAACGGGTGCGTGTGCAGAGGCCCGTGGAGCAGGAGGCCAACGTAAAATTTAAATGTATCATGTAAATAGGTTAAACGAAATGTGCTGCACACCCGTTAAATCAATGTTTAGTTGAGCACAATGCTTGTTAGTTTAGATTAATGAGGAATTCCGCAGGGAATCTCGTGACCCCGTACATCCCGGTTTCAGTTGCAACTGAAAATAAATAACACCGTTACATACAGTATCAAAATGGTGACTCGGACTTCTTGATCTTAGCAGGTGTAAGAAAATCAGTACCAGGCGAACAGAAGCGATTAGCAGGTGTCCAACGATCAGCTGATCAGTTTATTCCACTCCCCCTTAGGGATGGCCTTTTTGCGGCACGCTCCATACAAACTCGTGAATATCGTGCCGATTTCGTGACACGAACACAAGTACAGCGTGGTCGCCCATCCCTAATTTGGGCTTTCCTTTAAACTAACGGTTGTCTTCTAGTAAGCTTGGCTCTGATTGGTCAATGGATGGCTTCCAGGCCGCCATCTTGAAAAAGAACCGTTATGTGAGCAAAGTCACAAAAACCAGCAGCGTCCTCCTGCTCATTCTGTGCGCCTGGTGTCAAAAATCAGAAAATTTTTCTTGAAACGCACAAGTCGAAGATTACGGTAAATTTGGGGTCGAGTTGTGACCAATTTGGTCCGAGAAGTGCCAAAAATTTTCAAAAAGTGCAAATTTTATTGAAAAAATCCAGGAAAAATGAAAATTCCCGACAAAAAATTTAAAAAATTCTGTTTTTATCCTTTTTTTTCCTGACAAACAAAATCAACAAATTAAATTTTTATAAAGAGTCCGCCAGATCGGCCAATTTTCTGGTACTTATAGTTTTAAAGGCTAGGCTGCAGGATATGGAGAATCCTTGTGACGTCATTGATTTGTATCCTTTGATTTGTGGACAATTTATTTTTTTTTTCTTTTTTAAGTTTTTTTATTTGTCTTTGCGTTACTAGCGCCACCTACATGTCACGTGTCGATACGTGGTAGGTGTATTCTCTAAATCAACTATCGATTACACATTGTTACTAGGGATGGAACAAAAGTCGATGATTGGTTGATGTGCTCGCTAGTTCATTTCGCAATCGGTTGGCAGCCCCGCAGCTGTGATTTGTAAAAAGTAAACAAATCGAATAATGTTTGCCGGTCGTTTGCTCGCCCGTGTGAGCCGCCAGAAGGCACGTTTGGCCACAATTGGAAGCTGGCCAATGCCCCAGGAGCTCGCCGGCCATGTGATCTCGACCAGGACACCGGCGTCAGGCAGTAGATCGATCCAAATCGCGGAATGCAGCGCAAGCCGGCGGTTTTTCAGCAGCCAAATTGAGACGGAATCCACGCTGGACGCTGCCACCTACGAACGAGTGTGCTCCGACACCCTGGATGCTCTGTGCGACTACTTCGAGGAGCTGACGGAGAACGCCTCGGAGCTCCAGGGCACCGACGTGGCCTACGGGGTAGGTGCAAGATTCGCAGAGCCCGCTGTGTTACATCATTTCCCTCTCTAATCGCCCGGAGTGTTCTTTTCCGCAGGATGGCGTGCTCACCGTGAACCTGGGCGGCAAACACGGCACCTATGTGATCAACCGGCAGACGCCCAACAAGCAGATCTGGCTCAGTTCGCCCACCAGCGGTCCCAAGCGATTCGACTTCGTGGGCACCGTGGCGGCGGGCAGGTGGATCTACAAGCACAGTGGTCAGTCGCTGCACGAACTGCTGCAGGAGGAGATACCCGGCATACTGAAGGCCCAGTCCGTGGACTTTTTGCACTTGCCCTACTGTAGTTGAACCGGGAGTTGCTCCCACCATAAAGTCTGTTGAAACCCTTGATCTGATGTGATGTGTATATTTATTCTGAGGTCTGGCTAAACAGCCTGGTTCAAGATCTTTATGTACTGCATTCCCAGACGTTTTATTTTTTTTTATTCAATCCCAAAATAAGCTTAATTCCCACTACAAAAAGTCTGAAGGCTTTGCATTCGATTTTATCAAATTTATTATGAGGTGTGGTTATCAGATCTTATGGGGTTTTAAGTCTGCGATGTACGTTGTCTATAAGAATAATTTGCAGTTTGAAGTTAAAGTGTTGTGCAAATTCAAACTAAAGTGAGTAGATTATTTCCATTTATTTTCGGTCTTTACATCGTTTTAAAAATGACTTGGTTAATACAAGTTCCTTTAGCAGAGTTAGTTTCAAGTGAGTTTTTTATTTTTTAAGTGTATAATCCATTAAATCAAGAATTACCTTTGTTTTTAAACGTGTGCTCCTAGGGACTTCAAAACATCGGGCTGATATTCCGCAGTTATTATTTTTTTGAACTACAAAACTTTGTGTCTTTTCGGTCACTTTTTTTAAACCATGTACTGAGAAAGCATCCTTTAAGAAATTTACGCGATCATTTATAAAAACTTTAATATAAAATTCGAGGTTTCCCTTATGTTAAATGTACAACTAAAAGCTCCCAATGAATAAAACGAATTTTAAATTCAGCTATAGAATAGGGGGCCTAAACAAAAGTCGTTAAAAAGTTAACATTTGCGTTTCTTTATTCTTTTGCTGTTCAGATATAATTAATGCGTTGAATACCTTCCGATTTGTATAATTCAGCTGTAGACGGGGGAAAAAAGGTGACAAAAAAAAAGGGTTTTATGTTAATAAATCACTACGCGCATTCACGGGCACTTCAATGGATGTTCATGGTCTTTAGTCTATGTTTAAATCCTCATGATTTAATATTAGGTCTAGTATCTAGGACTTAGTGGCTCTAGTGACGCCCCCCGAACATGTTGTTGTAATGCGGCGGCGGCTGCTGCTGCTGGGCGCCCAAGAAGTTCTGGGGCATCTGATTGTAGGGCGGCTGCGGCGGCCCGTTGTTGGCCCAGGGATTAATGGGACCCCCGTAGCCGCCGGCGTGGCCAGGAGCAGGTCCTGGTCCGTGTCCCATGCCCGCATAGTTCTGCTGCACTCCATTGCCGCCCGCGTACGGATGATAGCCGCCGTAGGGCTGCTGATTCGGGTACTGGCTGGGATCGGGTCCGCCGCTCATGCTGCTCATCAGGGGCTGCGGCTCCTGGCCAAAGTTGCGGCCCTGCTGCTGCGGCGGATAGCCGTGATTCTGGCCAGGATTCGGATTCTGTCCCGGCTTCTGGCTCATGCTGGGCGCATTGGGTGCTCCGTGCTGCTGCTGCATGCGGTTGCCTTCCGAGGAGCCACTCGATCCCCCCGAATTCCCGCCCTTGCTGAGCGTGCCCATCAGGTTGGCTATAATGCTTTCGGTGTCCTTCAGTGAGATTTTCGAGGCAGCCGCTGGCTTGAAAGTGAGGGCATTCGGAGAGGATTCCACGGGTACAATGGGCGCTCCCGCCTTCTTGGAGCCGCCACCGCCACCACCACCACGCCAGTCGCAGGCCTTCATCACTAGATCGTCAAAGTTGTAGTCGTCCTCGTCGTCATCATCGTCGTCGATCATGAAACTGGGAGTGTTGCGGCCGCGTCGCTGCTTGCTGACGGGCAGGCTGGTCATCTCGCGATCGCGGTCCCGATCCCGCTCGCGATCCGTGCTGGGACGGCGCGTGGTCAGCGAGGCGAGAGCTACCATCGCGGAGGCGGAACCGCTGGCTGCCCCCCCGGAGGAGGCGCCTGCCATCGACTTGGATTTCTCCATCGTCTTGGCTGACACACCGCCGATGTTCACCACGCGCGACAGGAAGTCACTGCAGGACTCGCCGTCGCCACTCAGCTCCGCCAGGTTCACGTACTTGCGCAGGTGCTCCACGCGCGACGGCTCCTGCACCTCCAGGTTGCGCAGGTGGCCGATGAGGTGCACCTGCTCCTCGTTGGACAGGAACTTGAAGTTCTGCAGCAGGGTCTGCAGGTCCGAGTCGGTGAGCGACTCCATGCCATTGCTGCCGCCGACAGCAGCGGCGTCCTGCTGGACCTTTCCACTGGCCGCCTCCGGGCCGCCGGCAGCGGTGGCCACGTCCAGGGACTCCTTGTTCAGCTGGTTCTCCACCTCCTTCATCAGCTCGTCCAGGTCGATGCCCATGTTGTCGGGCGGCGCCTCCTTCTGCAGGCCGAGCTTCGCCTGCACCTCCTCGAAGGTCAGGCCGTTGTCCTTGTCCGCCTGGCGGCGCTGCTTGTCCACCGTCACCAGCAGCGTCAGCAGGTGCAGCAGGCTGTTCATGTCGCCGGTGGTCACGTCGTAGTAGCCCTTGAGCACCAGGGCGTTGGCCAGCTTGGGGGCCACCACGTTGCGCTCGAAGGGCAGCTGGATGGGCGCCGGATTGGCGTTGGCCTTCACCTTGGCCTCGGCGACATCGGGGACACCTAGATCACCCAGTGGGATGATCAACACAAGAGAAAACAATCAGTTAGGACTGGCAGGCGTGCTTGCGTTCAGATGGAGCTGCAATGGAGCTTCGGCGTTCGTACCGCACGGAACTACACAAATTACATTTATACTTATGGATGGTGTGGATCGACTGGTCTGGACTGGCGACTGGACTGCTCACGGATCGTCGGCACACTTTGTTTGCACACCCACCAAAAGTAAGGGAAAGCTGACCGGGAGACGAGTATACCGACTATTTACAAGTGTTTTCTTGGTGGAAACCACAGCGATTTGCCAAAGTTTTTCATAGTTCAATTCGAAACTTGACTCTAAAACAATTCAATATACAGAAGCCCCAGGCATAGAGTTGCATATAAATAAGACCCAATCAAAACGCGTATTTATTTCTTTTATTTTTAACAGGTCTGTTGGAGGTAACCTTCTAAAGACCGAATTAAAGTAAGAGTTGGGGGAACAGAACCCGATTAGTGAGTGAACAAAAAAAAGGAGACGAGCACGGAAATCAATCCAGAAACAAGCAACGTTGGAAGACATGATATTTTCACTTTTTTTAATCAATTAACGATTGAAATACCTGTCCCATAGCCCAAAGTAATGCTTTATTTATCAAGAATTCTCGCTGAGCAGCTGTATCGTTTAGGATTTAGTGTAGTGAGCAGCCAAGATCATTTATTTCGTAAAGGCTATTAACGCTATTGAGAAAACTTAATTGTATCTAGTGTTAAACCGCAGAGGTTAGTAGACGAAAGAGGGGAAATTCTAAAATAATATATATCTTTATCACAAACACTGAACAACAGGCTATTCGACCGATGGCACAGAACTCACATTGCCTCCAAATCGGAGTTAAACTTTGGAACTTCACTAGTAAGAGGGTTTGGACAACGGAAACAGATAATTGCGCGAGTAACGAGTAAGATATCGGGCAGCCTGCGAACTTTCTACACTCATACTTACCCAACTGAACTCTTAACTCTGACCTCTAACCGCGAAAAAGAGAGAGATAGAAGTAGGGATTCGAGTGGAAGGGCGCACTTACCTCTGGCGGTCACCTGGAAGATGATGGCCGCTATGTTGGTGATCAGCTTCTTCACCACGCGCACCTTCTGCGGGTCGTCGAGGACCTCGGCGATGAGGATGCCCTTCAGCTTCTCCTTGGTGGTCTCCAGGAACACGCAGTTGTCGTCGTTCAGCAGCAGGTCGTCGGCCGCGTTCGGCTTGGCCATCTCCATGGCCAGCGCCTTGCTGAGCAGGTTGAGGGCCTTGGGCCCTAGGCTGCCCAGGTGCTCCTCGACGGCGGAGAGCATGCGCAGCACACTGACCACGGTCAGCGGGCCCTCCTCGACGATCTCCGAGGACTCCTTGTCCTTGACGGACGAGACGGCCGGCGAGATGGAGCGCACCTTGGGCATGTTGTACTCGGGGTAGACGCGCGAGTCCAGGACGCGGAATGTCTCGACGTGGTCGTAGTTGCGCGGGGGCCCGCGGCCATAGGCCTCGCTGCGGGGCGGATAGTAGTCGGCGGAGCGCTCCCGCTCCAGGCTGCGGCCGCGATCCACGTAGTCCCTGGGCCCGGGCGACAGGGCCCGCTCCCGGGAGGCCGGACCGCGACGATCGCGCTGCCGGTAGTAGGGCGGCGAGCGGGATCTGCGCCGCAGGCTGCGGGAACGCGAGCGGGAGCGGGAGGAACCTCTCCGGTAATTGCGGCGCGGCGAGCGGCTGCGGGAACGCCGCATGGGACGACGGCCTCCTGCTCCTGGCCTCTTGGGGGAGAGGGAGTGGGAGGGGGAGCGCCGGTTGTAGGGGCCACGACCTCGGGAAGGCGGACTGGAGCCCTCGTCGTCGCTGATGTCAATGACAGCCTCGGGTGCCCCTGACCCTGCCCCCGATCCTCCGCCCGCCGGCCGATTGCTGCGGAAGTTCTGCTTGCGACGATTGACCACGTTGGCGCTGGCCGGCGCCTCCCGCGGACTGGCCACGCGGATCTTGTAGCGCTCCATCAGCTCCTTGGTCTTCTCCTCGTCCTCGTCGCCCAGCTTGAACTTCTCCTTGAGATCCTTCTTGATCTTGTTCACCGCTATGTTGAACAGCTCGATGCGCCGGTCCTTCCAGTAGCTGATCCACTCGGGCTTGTAGTCGTACTGGTTGGGATCGCACTTCTTCTCCTCTTGCAGCTGCTTGTAGCGGCGGTTCCAGAACTGCTTCCACTCGTCCGGATAATCCGGGTGCTTCTCGGGGTTCGACTCGTACGTCTCCGTCTCGTCGCGCAGCTGCTTCAGCTGGAGCTCCAGCATGCAGCGGAACTTCTCCCACTTGTAGCGCTCCTGGGCGATCAGGGAGGCCTGGATGGACAGCTCCTTGGGCGTGGGCAGCTGCTGGGGCTTGGCCACTCCGCCGGGAGGCGGTGGCGAGCGGTTCACTCCGCGGCCACTGGCATCTTCGGCCAGGTTCTTCTTGCGCAGCGTCACCTTCGGCACCGTGGGCCCCGAGGGACCGCCAAAGTTGTCGTCATCACTGGAGATGGCGTCCAGGGAGATTATGTTGTTGCCCTCGTCGCGCTTGCTGTTGTTGCTGTCGCCGCCGGCGGCTCCGCCCTCGTTCATCTTCAGGCTGATCTTGATGGACTCATCCGGCTTCAGCTCGCGCAGGAGGCGTTGGGCCTCCTCGACGAAGTCGTGGCCGGTGCACTCGTCGAAGTGGGGCGAGTCCCGCACCTGGCTGAAGATCTTGGCCCGGAAGCGGCGGAAGTCCTCGGCGGACGAGGTGACCAGCTGGCGGGACCGGCCGAAGTGGTTCTCGATGGCCTGGACCAGGTTGCCGGTGGCTATCACCAGGTCCCCGGAGCTGTTGGGCGTGCGCTTCAGCCTCTGCAGCACCTCGTGGGCCTTCTGGAAGTGGGTCTTCAGGTATTTGGTGCGGTGCGCCTGCGACGTCCAGTGGACGAAGACGCTGCGGCCGTCGGTGCAGGTCTGGCACAGCACGCAGAAGTAGTCCGGACGCAGCTGGGCCGGCTCGTGCAGCTCGATGGCGTACTCGGTGCCGAGGAGCGGGCCGCCGCTGTAGCTCTCGATCTGCTTCACTATGACCGCCGTTGGGGCCACGTCGTCCTCCTCGAAGCCGGGAGGAACCGGCTCCCCCGGCAGAAAACTCATGGCGACTTAATCGGCGACTTAAACTGGAAACGGAATCGGACCCTGTGTCCAAGTCCCCGCCTGCGAATGGGAACCACACGAAAAAGAACGCCAGTGAACGGAAATTGCCCAGGGTCAGCACTTACCTTCGTGTCCGCTTCCGGATCCCGAGATTCTATATTTTTTTGTTTGGCTTTGGTTCGCTTTTCCCAACGAAGCCCCGGACTTTCTTCTTCTTCACACTTTTGCACTACCGTGTTCAACTTCACGCTTGTCGCAAGTTTTTCAAACGAGGGTGGCTTTCGCCAGCGGAGTTACCATTACTTACTTTGTGTAGTCGATAGTCGCAACCTAAGGCATGTAACTATCCGTTTTAAAGCGCCCTTTATCGCTTTTTGCTTTAATTGCTGCGAAAATTCCTCTCCTTTTTTTTTTGTTTGCTTTCCAGTGTGACCATTTGCGGCTGGGGCAGTAAAACCACGCACTAGTAGAGACACCCTCCTGACGTAGCGGATACACAAAAAAATACTGATATTTTAGGGCGGCAATATATTTGGGAACTTTTTTTTTCGGTTTTTCAGTCGTAATTTTGACAAATCAAGCTAAGCGACCGACTGTTTTGAACAGCTTACAACCTAAACTAACGATTCCCATCACTTTTAGGAAAATTTAATTTTTTTTAACGTAAATCGACTCAGATTTAAGCTACGAGTTCAACGAGGTATGACATTCCGTATTCGGGCAATTATTTTCCTTGTTTCGGTTAAAAAACTGAAATTTTCGGCGAAAAAATAAACTTTTTCTTCAGTTTTTTAGTCGAGATGCTCTCCAGATATGACCCTTAATTAGGTATTTATTTATTGAATTAAATTTTTTTGATGTACAAGTAAAATGAATTAAATTTACAATAGGCCACGTCATCGATAATGTTAATTAAATAGATGATCGCCTCAGTGGGTACTTATAATTCTCAACTAGTTCTAGCTAAAAATTTACGACCCAGGTGTTATGGTCGCCGATAAATCAGTTGACCGGAAGTTGGTGTGGGTGTTGGTAGTTGTGAATTGACTTCAGGAGACTCACATATTGGGATGTCATCTGGATGGAACTGGACTCCAAGATGCAGTGCATCGTGATCCTGTCCAGGTATGTCCCTTAATTAGGTATTTATTTACAACATGACTTATAAAAAATGCAAAAATTGGTCAAAAAATTAATTTTTCCCAAAAGTGATGGGAATCGTTAGCTTAGGTTGTTAGCTGTTCAAAACAGTCATTCGTTTAACTGTCAGGCTTGATTTGTCCAAATTATGACTGGCAGTTGTAAAATGATAAAAATTACAATGGGCCACGTCATCGATAATGTTAATCTAAAAAGATTCTTTCGGTGGGAACATATAATTCCCAACTTGTTCTAGCTTAAAATGCATGACCTAGGGGCTATGGTAGCCGATAAATCAGTTGACCGGAAGTGGGTGTGGGTGTTAGTGGTTGTGAAGTGACTTCAGGAGACTCGCATATTGGGATGTCATCTGGATGGAACTGGACTCCAAGATGCAGTGCATCGTAATCCTGTCCAGGTATGTCCCTTAATTAGGTATTTATTTACAAAATGACTTATAAAAAATGCAAAAATTGGTCAAAAAATTAATTTTTCCCAAAAGTGATGGGGATTGTTAGCTTAGGTTGTTAGCTGTTCAAAACAGTCATTCGTTTAACTGTCAGGCTTGATTTGTCCAAATTATGACTGTCAGTTATAAAATGATAAAAATTACAATGGGCCACGTCATTGATAATGTTAAGCTTAAAAGATTCTTTCGGTGGGAACATATAATTCCCAACTTGTTCTAGCTTAAAATGCATGACCTAGGGGCTATGGTAGCCGATAAATCAGTTGACCGGAAGTGGGTGTGGGTGTTAGTGGTTGTGAAGTGACTTCAGGAGACTCGCATATTGGGATGTCATCTGGATGGAACTGGACTTCAAGATGCAGTGCATCGTAATCCTGTCCAGGTATGTCCCTTAATTAGGTATTTATTTACAAAATGACTTATAAGAAAGGCAAAAATTGGTCAAAAAATTAATTTTTCCCAAAAGTGATGGGGATTGTTAGCTTAGGTTGTTAGCTGTTCAAAACAGTCATTCGTTTAACTGTCAGGCTTGATTTGTCCAAATTATGACTGTCAGTTGTAAAATGATAAAAATTACAATGGGCCACGTCATCGATAATGTTAATCTAAAAAGATTCTTTCGGTGGGAACATATAATTCCCAACTTGTTCTAGCTTAAAATGCATGACCTAGGGGCTATGGTAGCCGATAAATCAGTTGACCGGAAGTGGGTGTGGGTGTTAGTGGTTGTGAAGTGACTTCAGGAGACTCGCATATTGGGATGTCATCTGGATGGAACTGGACTCCAAGATGCAGTGCATCGTAATCCTGTCCAGGTATGTCCCTTAATTAGGTATTTATTTACAAAATGACTTATAAGAAAGGCAAAAATTGGTCAAAAAATTAATTTTTCCCAAAAGTGATGGGGATTGTTAGCTTAGGTGGTTAGCTGTTCAAAACAGTCGGCCGTTTAACTGTAGGCCTTGATTTATCCAAATTATGACTGGCAGTTGTAAAATGATAAAAATTACAATGGGCCACGTCATCGATAATGTTAATCTAAAAAGATTCTTTCGGTGGGAACATATAATTCCCAACTTGTTCTAGCTTAAAATGCATGACCTAGGGGCTATGGTAGCCGATAAATCAGTTGACCGGAAGTGGGTGTGGGTGTTAGTGGTTGTGAAGTGACTTCAGGAGACTCGCATATTGGGATGTCATCTGGATGGAACTGGACTCCAAGATGCAGTGCATCGTAATCCTGTCCAGGTATGTCCCTTAATTAGGTATTTATTTACAAAATGACTTATAAAAATGCAAAAATTGGTCAAAAATTAATTTTTCCCAAAAGTGATGGGGATTGTTAGCTTAGGTTGTTAGCTGTTCAAAACAGTCATTCGTTTAACTGTCAGGCTTGATTTGTCCAAATTATGACTGTCAGTTATAAAATGATAAAATTACAATGGGCCACGTCATTGATAATGTTAAGCTTAAAAGATTCTTTCGGTGGGAACATATAATTCCCAACTTGTTCTAGCTTAAAATGCATGACCTAGGGGCTATGGTAGCCGATAAATCAGTTGACCGGAAGTGGGTGTGGGTGTTAGTGGTTGTGAAGTGACTTCGGAGACTCGCATATTGGGTGTCATCTGGATGGAACTGGACTTCAAGATGCAGTGCATCGTAATCCTGTCCAGGTATGTCCCTTAATTAGGTATTTATTTACAAAATGACTTATAAGAAAGGCAAAAATTGGTCAAAAAATTAATTTTTCCCAAAAGTGATGGGGATTGTTAGCTTAGGTTGTTAGCTGTTCAAAACAGTCATTCGTTTAACTGTCAGGCTTGATTTGTCCAAATTATGACTGTCAGTTGTAAAATGATAAAAATTACAATGGGCCACGTCATCGATAATGTTAATCTAAAAAGATTCTTTCGGTGGGAACATATAATTCCCAACTTGTTCTAGCTTAAAATGCATGACCTAGGGGCTATGGTAGCCGATAAATCAGTTGACCGGAAGTGGGTGTGGGTGTTAGTGGTTGTGAAGTGACTTCAGGAGACTCGCATATTGGGATGTCATCTGGATGGAACTGGACTCCAAGATGCAGTGCATCGTAATCCTGTCCAGGTATGTCCCTTAATTAGGTATTTATTTACAAAATGACTTATAAGAAAGGCAAAAATTGGTCAAAAAATTAATTTTTCCCAAAAGTGATGGGGATTGTTAGCTTAGGTGGTTAGCTGTTCAAAACAGTCGGCCGTTTAACTGTAGGCCTTGATTTATCCAAATTATGACTGTCAGTTATAAAATGATAAAAATTACAATGGGCCACGTCATTGATAATGTTAAGCTTAAAAGATTCTTTCGGTGGGAACATATAATTCCCAACTTGTTCTAGCTTAAAATGCATGACCTAGGGGCTATGGTAGCCGATAAATCAGTTGACCGGAAGTGGATGTTGATGGTTGTGAAGTGACTTCAGGAGATTCATATATTGGGATGTCATCTGGCTGGAACTGGACTCCAAGATGCAGTGCATCGAGATCATCACCAGGTATGTCCCTTTATTTACTTAATTAAATGTTTTTAATGTAATATTAATGAAATTTACAATGGGCCACGTCATTAATAATGACTTATTTTTTTGGGCAATTATAAACTTTTTTTTTCGGTTTTTCAGTCATTTTGACAAATCAAGTCCGACAGCTAAGCGACTGTTTTGAACAGCATACAACCTAAACTAACGATTCCCATCACTTTTGGGAAAATTTAATTTTTCACCAATTTTCGCATTTTGTTTTTTTGCAAAAAAGTTGACAAAATTTAAAATTTCTAGGTTTGAATGCCAATCGATTGGGAATTCAATGTACGAGCTCAGCAATGTTTTTGGATCATTATTTTCAATGTTTCGGCCTAAATACTGATATTTTAGGGTGGAATATATGGATTGAAATTTTAGACCAAAATAACGGTTTTTTTTTAAGTTAAGTTTAAGTTTTGTTAAGTTTAAGGCCGACAGCTTAGCGACCGACTGTCTTGGACAGCTAAAAACCTAAACTAACGATCCCCATAACTTTTGGGAAAATTAAATTTTTCACCGATTTTCGCAGTTTTGATAAGGGGTTAGATCATAATTTTTGGCAAAAAATAAAATGTGCCGACTTTAACGCAAAAAGGTATTTAACGTTCAAAAAGGTATAACATTCCATATTTGGGCTATTATTTTCCTTGTTTCGGCAAAAAAACTGACATTTTAGGTAGGAAAATATGGATTGAAATTTTAGACCAAAATAAAGGTTTTTTAATCAGTTTTTCAGTCTTAATTTAGACAAATCAAGGCCGACAGCTAAGCGACCAATTGTTTTGGACAGCTAAAAACCTGAAATAACGATCCCCATAACTTTTGGGAAAATTTATTTTTTCACCAATTTTCGCATTTTTGTGAAGGGCTACCATTATGATTTTTTGCAAAAAAAGTTTAAAAATTAAAATGTCCAGATTTGAACGCAAATCGATTCAGATTTAAGCTACGAGTTCAAGAAGGTATGGCATTCCATATTTGGGCAATTATTTCTGTTGTTTCGTCAAAAAAACTGATATTTTATGGTGGAAAATAAATGTTAACCGACTGGGATTTTTAAATTTAAATATATCTCGTAACCCGAAAATATATGAATCTGCAAATCAGTGATGGATTCAGGATTTCATTGTGGGGTACACCAAACAAATTTTTCGTTGCATAAAAATGATATTTTATGGTGGAAAATAAATGTTAACCGACTGGGATTTTTAAATTTAAATATATCTCGTAACCCGAAAATATATGATCTGCAAATCAGTGATGGAT